ACACAACAGCAGCAGTCACAACAGTTTCCTCAATTTAATTAAATAATTAAGACCAAGACACACTGCGAATGCGACAGCCTTTGACTAATTAAAAAAAAAACATACACACACACCGAGAGAGATGAAACATAAGGCTGAAAGAATGCAAATTTTGTTGTGAAACAAGCGCCAGACGCCGTTCAGTTCAATAAAATATACCCCAAGCCTATAGCGTCACCACCTACGGAGGTATTTCTCTAACAACAGTCAGGGTCAGGAAAATAAAACAGGAATTTGCAATAATATTTAACAATTTAATTGTATATACAAGAACATATTTAATGTTTGCATGTGCTTTGAAAGTTAATTAAAATAAAAAGGTTGATAAGAATATTTTTAGACTTTCAAGTCTTGTTTTTTAACATTCCTATATAAATGTCCTTATCTTTAGTTCTTTTATCTTGACCGTTGGTGTATACATATATAGAAACTATACAAAGTATTTAGATTTACGTATGTGCTACTTTGTGGAATATATATGCCACTCACTGCAAATTCAATGCCAGAGCATGGAAAATTTCTATTGAAAAGCGCTTCCCTGCTTTTTTGCTCACACCTCTCTCAGGCTTTTATTTTTTATATATTTTTTTCCGCCTTTACTTTTTCGTTTTTGCTTTTTTAATTAAGCGATTTGAGCTGTGATAAGCAGGTAGCAGAAAGTGTGTGTGTGTGTGGGCGTGTCTGCCACCTAATCAAAATGTCGCATAAACACACAGGCACACTGTAAAAACAAAAGACGGGAAAATGTATCTCAGGGTGAAAGAGATAAGATACGAGAGTCTTGCCACCTAAAAAAAACGAGGTATTCTTCTTCCAAATGCCTTACTTGTTTCTTGTTCTTGTGTGCACTTACGCCGCCGCTCGCCCATACAAGTGTTAATTATTAATTGTGCAGTGCGATTTTGTTTAATTTGCTGCAGCTGTCGCCTGCCTTGAGTGCTGTTATTGATTTTGTCCATGACGCCACTTTGACCATAACAGAGAACTTCTGTTTGCTCTGGATAAACGAATGAACCTAAGTACTTATCCGGACTCAAGGTCAAATTTTCATGATTTCATCCCAGCTGAAGAATTTCCCCCCATTCCTTGATGCTATAAATACACGCAAATTGAATTAAGAATATTTTCGAAAATAAATTTCCTTCGCTTCCAAGTTGAATTGCACTGCAAATGGAATATGGCCAAAACGGAAATTTATTTAATGCCTCCCCGCCGTCACCCCGGCCTTTCTGCCAGGTTGTAAAAATATCAGCGAAAAGATTTTTCACTGGCACCGAATTTCCCCCCAAGTCTAAATATATATTAGTGCGGTGAAAAACGTCATTAATTGCCGCAAAAAAATAAAAGCATAAGAAAGTCCGAGAGAGAGAGAAAAGCAAAGGAAAGGCCAGAGAGAATGAAAAACGAAAATGTTTGACATAAAATGTGAAAATATTTCTAAAGACTGCTAGACAGCAGCCAAATGAATGTAGTTTTTCCTAATGGATTTCTTCTTTGCAGACCCAAATACACTCATACACACTCATACACTCACTTCCGAACCTCGAACATTGACTCATTTTTAAGCTGATTAAAATTGGCAGTTTATTGTGTGCAATATAAATGGTTCATTCAACGAGGATTAATGCAACAGACAGCTGAAAATTTGGCAAATGACATCACTAACTATGAATATGATAAGGAAGTGAAGGAAACAATATATAATTATAAGAACCCTGGAAGTTAAATGAAAAGTTAACCTACGTCAAGTGATTCATTAGTATTCTTTTTAAAAATAAATCAATACTCGGAGAGATTTCTTCTTTAAAAATAATAAGTAAAATATATGTATGAAAATTGGCAACAAGAATTCTTTGAATGTCTGTGTTAAACATGGTAATAAATCTTTGATTATAGAAACAGAAGCAAATTTTTGATTAGCTCGTACCCTTTGACTGATCAAATGTAGGGCATTCCAGTCCTAGTGTTTCTAATTGACTTTTTTATCGTTTCATTTCGCGGCGTTTTTCTCATTTCTGACATCTACACAGCTGATTGCTCCTCTCGTTAGCGAGCCGTGCGAAGAAAAAAATGCAAACATTTTCCAAAACAAAGGCAAAAATCTGGGGCTCGGCCCAGTAAGCGTTTCGTCTGCCTAGACAGACAGACAGACAGACAGAAAAGTGAGGGCAATCATCTAATTATAATGAGAGAAACATTTTGCCCTCCACTCAGACGGTTGTTAATTGGCTGTGTGCGAAATATGTTTACTCTGGAATACTGCAGGTTTCTTTTATTCTATTCAAACCCGGCGCTGGCTTCGTAAATTGTACAAATAAAATTGATTTGTTCCCCTTGCAATGGAATCCTCAATTGCCAATAGAACAAACAATCAAACAAAATGCTTCGACCAGACTGTAGTTTTGCTTGAGGCAAGCTGGCCATTGCAAATAACGAAAATATTTTCAAGTCAAACACGAAAACCTGGACTGAAAATCCCACAAGGGGAGTTGAGAGGGTGGGTAAACATATATATAAAAAAAAGGAGTTCCACTGCAATCAATTTGTGGAGAATTTCACAAAAACTTTACGTTCTACACATACTTCTACTACCGGAATTCGATACAATACCATTCACCGAAGATGGCTGCTGTTTTTATGGTTTTGTTTACACCAGAGCCTAGAGTAAATCAATTCAACTTGGATAGAGTTGAAAGAAATATGTGTGTGCGGGCTTTATTTTTAGAGCATCCAGGGGAATGAAAGCGAACATATAAAATCCAAAAGGGAACAAAGAGTATCTAGAACTGCACAGGAATAAACCAATTCAAAAAGAAATGTAATTCAAACCACAAAACATAGATACAAAGATGAAAACATAAATGTGTTTGAGTGTTAAGTTCCACGATTCCTAGCAATTTTCTCAGTGTGAAATTAGGGAAACTGTTTCAGAGAGACAGGTGTAGCCCAGCAATAACAATTCGTACATAACGAGGGGTGACAATGGAAGGGGAAAACACAACACCACACACACCGCGCACACATAAAGCGACTGAAAGTGAGGTCAGTTATGTCAAAACAGACAGCCAGAAATGTACACAAGCGAGTGAGTGTGTTTGTGGTCATTAAGAGGTTACCAAGCTTCAACTGACAGAGGAAAATCGGCGGAGAAAGAGTCAACTTACAGCAGGCAAATTGACTCTGAGCACGCTCTTTAACTTCTGCGGTCGGGCAGAAAAGTTAAAGCTGCAGCGAAATTAACAACAACCGCGGGGAGAATGTGCGTCAAAAAGGTGAACAGACGCAAAGCAGGTCGTCCCGAAGGGAGGGGGCAGCCCCAGAGACATAGTAATTTTATAATAGAGCTCGTCTTTCACCCGATACGGGGGGACTACTATAGATAGAGAATGCAGAGTGAGCTTCATATGTATGTGAAGGCATTTTATGGCAGCAGGCACATTACATTCTCCTTCACAGTGAAAACTCCAGTGACCGCACAAATTGTTGCTCATACACACATGCTGGCACGACACTCATTTGGGTTGGCCTGTCTCGGTTAATACTCGTTAAAATACTCAAGAAAATTAAATCCTCCGAGATAATCGGTTACAAACTGTATCTACAATTCAAGCTAAACTGATCAAAAGTCAAATAATCAAAGAAAACACTAACTTTATATAAAGAAAACGCAAACAAAACTTTTAAATTTCATAAATACAATGACATTTAAGGTTATAGATCAACTTTTGGTTTGGTTTTTACTCACAAACAAGTTCTTGCTATTATAAAAATTAAACATTTTAAAACTTTACGATGATTAATTAAGCCCTGTTGTACAATGTTTTGCGGTATTTTCCTTATTTCAGAAGCTTCAAGCTTCTGTCTCAAACACATTTCAATGGTTGTTTTGTCAAGTACAATCCTTATTTTTAAACAACCGTGACGTCAAAGTCAAGTAAAGTACAAAGAAGCAGACTGGGCCAGTAGTGTATCACACACACATGCGAAGCAGTTAATGGCAGGTGACAAACCCGCTCGGACAAAAAGCGAAAAGCTCGTAGGGGGAATCGATCGCAGGTAGAAAAAGTGCTATACGAGTGTGATTTTGTTTTCTTCTGCACTAAGGCGAAAAAAAAAACAAAATAAACTTAATTGCTCACAAGTCACGTTCAATTTGGCAACTCTCTGTTGGGCGTGCTGGTTACCCTATGGATTACTGTAATTAAACTGATCTGTCCGACGATATATCAAGTACGGATTATGACTTAATTTTAGCATTGCAAGGGCCTTGTCACCTGGCTGACAGGTGCGAGAGAGCCTCCGAAATGATTTACCATTTACCATTTTGACACATTTATGCTAATTTCGAGTAGGCTCGACGAATTTCGTGTGTGTCCCCACACGTATGTATCAATTGGAACTTGTTAATTTGCCGAGCAGGTTCTCCCCTTCCCCTTGCCCCCTGCTGCCCAGCAATCACTCAATCAATTAGAACCAGTTCTTTGTCTGACTTTCGGTTGGATAGAGCTTAACCCCATGCATACATTAAATTTGGCGTTTTGGGAAATTAAATTGGTTTTTAGCACATATAAAATACTGGGAAATAAATTAGGTCTAAAATTTAACTTTAAATATTTTAAATTATTATGAAATATCTGGGTATCTGGGTATATATTTAACCTCTTGATTCAAACCCTAACTAAACGAGGCAAAAATTATTTTTGCAAACCTTCAGGCCATTATTGTTAACTCTTACATTAGACTCAATTTCTCGATTCACTGATAATGTTATTCGCAACGAACTAAATAATCTAATTTGCACATTTTTAATTTGGTTTCTTAAATGTGATAATTGGTATTTAATGTACCATGGGCACTTAAAGGGTTAAAACATTGAACGGAAATAGAGCGAGCTTTGGCCCAAAATGGTTACGATTCGATTTGAATTTGTTGTGGGCCAACTTCCGTTGGTCTTGGCATACCTTTTGCAGTTCGCGTTTCTCGATTTCTCAGTTTCTTAGTTTCTGTGTCTCAGTTTCTTGGTTACTCAGTTGCTTGATTTCTCTGCTTCTCCTTAGTTGTGCTCTCTTATTTGCCTACGTCACGGAGTACGGAGATTGAAGATGCTTTTTTAGCTTTCAGCTGCTGTGTTCGGTTGCACTGTGGATGTGTGTATAGCGTTTGACATAATTGAATTAAAACTGTAGTTCACGAGAGAATTTTTTGCACAACGCATCGCGCGGGCGGGCGGAGAGGGGGGATGGAGGGGTCCAAGTGGGGTCAACACATGTAAATGCGGTGTCGAAGCAAACAAAAAAAATAAAACACAAAGCAGCAGCGGATTTTAAGCAAAAGCCCGTGTGCGAGTGTGTGTGTGTGTGTGTAGCCGAATGGGAGAATGACAGAATGGGAGAACGGTAGAATGGAAGAATGGCGGAATGGTAAGGAAGAGTGGAAGGTGAGAGAGCGCAGCTGTTTTGATGGGGCTCTTTGCCTTTGCTCTTTCTTTCGCTTCACTTCGGTTTGTTGATTCCTTTCTTTTCGTTTTTTGCAGTAAGATTAGGTAACTTGTGTCTATATGAACATAATTCTTAACACATTTTACTGCTTGACACACACACTTATCATAAATATGTATGTTTCAAACACACACTCACACAAACGCACACTCCTTGGTGCGAGAGAGACACAAACACACACTCGCACGCACATACACACACACACAGGCAGACAGCGGGCAACAAAATCGATATTCTAAAAATAATATAAGTAAAAAATATATATGCTCATACGAAATCCAAACGAATCTCAATTGTAGCCACCGTACGCATGTGTGAGTGTGTAATTACATATTTATTTATTTATTAAAACTTTGGGAACACCGAATTGCGTCTGGGTTTTAGCCGCTTACTGCGCACTTGAAAAATTTGCATTCGAATAATCGCCACGAAAAACAGCCTCGATTGGGTGCTCGGCTTATTTAGCTGCGCTTTTTCGGATTTCAATTTGCGGTTTTGCTTTTGTTTCGTGCTTGCAGAATATTTTAGAGACCGACCGATAAAGCGGACTGCGTTCTATATCAGGAGTGTGTATATAAAAGATTTCTATATCTTTTGCACCGACGACGAAGGCGGCATACGGCAAATGTGGCGATATTTTTTTCATTCGTCGCTCTCTCTTGCCTTTCGGCTCGCTCTCTCTTTCTCTCCCCCACATGTGTATATACTATAGGTACGTGAGAGCGCGCACACAGCAAAAGCTGAGAAATGAGCAGTACTTGAAAGTATTTGTCTTATTGTTATTGTTGTTATCGAGAGAGAGAGAGTTAATACTGGCGCACAGTGTCACAATTTCACACCCAAGTGTCTGGCCTAGTCACTATCACGATTACTCGTTTTGCTTAAATTTCGATACCACTGTGCCAGATTTCTGGGTGAGAGCGTGGTGAGTTTGGGCACTCACCGCAAGCTGTTGTTGCGCGTCACTCTCTCCGCTACGCTCTCTCCCAAATGGTCACATCACAGGTAAGATATCCAATGGTCCGCACCACGGTCATACCGCTATTTTTTCCTATATCGAGGGCGATAACCAAACAGTGGCTATCGTCATCGGCCTGTCGCCCTCTCGCTCACTCTCTCTGTATGGCACCCACTCGCACAATTCTCCTTTATGCCCTTCCGCCTGGTTTATTATCCTGCTGACTTGATGTAAATTTAGCACAATGTTTCCTCTGCACTGCTGGCTGCAACGAAGGCGAGCACACAAAAAAAGCGACGCAACGCACACACACCTCAAATTCTGGTTCGGTTTGGTACACCCGATTCGCTGCTGTTTCCTGCGTATTTCGCGCACGCACTGCCACAATTTCACCATATAATCGCGCCGCGGTGGAGGACGTGGACTTTTCGATCGAATTTGGCGGCCGGCGGTTGAGTTTTATGCGAGAAATTTGACTTTTTTCGGCAACAAGAAAATCGTTCAGAGTAGAAGTGACGCCATCTTTAATGATGGCAATTGTTACGCCTATCGATATTCTGATAGTTTTTGTGGTATCACATGCGATACTTTTAGTATTTTATTCTCGACGGTAGCTGGTCACACTCAAGTCGCTTATTACGCTGACGCAGATTAATGTTTATTTAGGCGGTTGATAAATTTTCGCTGTAGGATATGCTCATAATATTATTTGACTAGCTGTTTTTAGTAATAATTGTGTAAGTGTTCTGGTTTCCACCCGGGAAATTATCGATAGTTGGCCTATTTGATATTTTCAATGTTGTGATAGCGAAAACTCGGTACTATCGATAGTATCGTTCTTTGTACAAAAACTATAGCAATTATTGTATTTATGACTAATTGATAACGAAAAACGGTACAAAAGAGCCATTAATTTAAAATTTCACCTGCCACAACGCACCAGATCGCCACACCGTGTTCCAGAAGTTAAAAAAAACCAACCGAAACTCCACAGAGGTACCCGGAGACAGCGTCGCAAAGTGGACAACTCCCAGTTTTCAGAGCAGCATCACCTGCAGCAGGCGGAGCATTGCGACAAAAAGGCGAGACTGAGGCGCAGCAGAATGTCCTCGCTGTCCGCGTCCGCGGAGAATGTGTCCAGCTTGGGCCTAGGAGCCGGAGGCGGTGGCGGTTCCCACGACGGCAACTCGCAGCAGGGTTCAGACGGAGGATCCAGCATGTGCCTGGAGCTGGCCCTCGAAGGCGAGAGACTCTGCAAGGCCGGAGACTGCCGGGCAGGCGTTGCCTTCTTCCAAGCAGCTATCCAGGCGGGCACAGAGGACCTGCGCACCCTGTCCGCTATCTACTCTCAGCTGGGCAACGCCTACTTTTACCTGGGCGACTACAACAAGGCAATGCAGTACCACAAGCACGATCTCACACTGGCCAAGAGCATGAACGACCGTCTGGGCGAGGCCAAGTCATCGGGCAACTTGGGCAACACGCTCAAGGTGATGGGTCGCTTCGACGAGGCAGCTATCTGTTGTGAGCGCCACCTGACCCTCGCTCGCCAGTTGGGCGACCGCCTCTCCGAGGGACGGGCTCTCTACAATCTGGGTAATGTGTATCACGCCAAGGGCAAGCATCTGGGACAGCGGAACCCGGGCAAGTTCGGCGACGATGTGAAAGAGGCTCTATCTCGCGCCGTGGAATTCTACCAGGAGAACCTTAAGCTGATGCGTGACCTAGGTGATCGTGGAGCCCAGGGCAGGGCTTGTGGCAACTTGGGTAACACATACTACCTCCTGGGCGACTTCCAGGCAGCTATTGAGCATCACCAGGAGAGGCTTCGCATTGCCAGAGAATTCGGAGACCGAGCAGCCGAACGGCGTGCCAACAGCAACCTGGGAAATTCGCACATCTTTCTCGGGCAGTTCGAGGACGCAGCCGAGCACTACAAGCGCACCCTGGCCCTAGCCATGGAACTGGGAGAGCGCGAGGTGGAGGCGCAGAGCTGCTACAGCCTGGGCAATACCTATACGCTGCTGCACGAGTTTAACACGGCCATTGAGTACCATAACCGACATTTGGCCATTGCCCAGGAACTTGGAGATCGCATTGGCGAGGCACGGGCTTGCTGGTCACTGGGCAATGCCCACTCTGCCACAGGTGGACACGAGCGAGCGCTCCGCTATGCGGAGCAGCACCTGCAGCTGGCCAAGGAGTTGCACGATCCCGTCGGCGAGAGCACGGCCAGGGTGAACATCTCGGATCTGCGTAAGCTACTTGGAATGCCAGAGTCGGAGCCCTCGCCCACCGAGGAGGAGGCGCGTTCGAGTGCCTCGGATCATTCGGCCAGCGGTCATCAGTCGGATGGCTCGGAGAACTCACAAGGAAGGATGGTGAGTACTCGTTAAGTTCTCAGGTCATAGGTTGCTTTTACCCTAGATTAGATATTATTTATTTAGAGTGTATACATTTTCCCTTTCCCTATTTTTGGATAGAGGAAACTTGCATGCTTTTTGTTTATAACCCCCGCTGTCTGCGGTGATTAGCAACAAATCGTAGAATAAATATTTAGACAGCGAGAAGACCATAAAGCAGGGCGGCCAACTGTAAAAGAGAAAGCAGGAACTCAACAGATTCATAAACATATTTTTCATTATTTTAATTTATACCTTTTAGGTGCGTGTTCGTCGCCAGAGCATGGAGCAATTGGATCTGATCAAGATTACGCCGGATGGCAAGCGCCTGCAGGAGGAGAAGAACCGGGCGCAAGCCACCAATAAAGCCAAAGATGACGACTTCTTTGAGATGCTCTCCCGTTCGCAGTCGAAGCGGATGGACGACCAACGCTGTTCGATCAAGATAAACCAAGCTGGAGCTCCAGCGGTGGCCACTGGCGCTACTCGCAAGCCGCTCGTGCAGCAGAACTCGCTGTTCGTGGACCCTACCAACCTGCCTGGCCTAAAGTCGCCAACGACGGCCAATGCTGCGGCCATCGGTCATGGACACGCGCATCCTCCGCTGGCAAGGAGTGCCACTACCACTCAGCAGCCGGACGACGCCTTCCTGGACATGCTGATGCGTTGCCAGGGCTCGCGGCTAGAGGAGCAGCGCTCGGAATTGCCACGCCCTAATGTTACCATGGATGCAGAGGCGGAAGCACCGCAGCCACAGGCTCCAGATGCAGCTGTGGGTGGTGCGGCACGCGGACAGACGGGACGCGGCGCCACAGTGCCCGACGAGGACTTCTTCTCGCTGATCATGAAGGTGCAGAGCGGTCGCATGGAGGATCAGCGTGCCTCGATACCGTTCCGCAGTGCAAATAACAACAACAATAGCCGGAGCAATAACAACGGCTCGGCTGGCGGGGCTAGAAAGTAGAGGAGCCGAAATAAGTCCAGAATAAGAGTCCAACCAGAAACAATCCTATCAGTCCATCCCTGGCCGCAGTTCCCAATTCATTTTTGTTATACCCACGTACATCTTGCGGCCATTTTTTCAGCCGTTCAGCCGGCGGCTAAGCATTTTGTTCTTTTTATAAGATTTATACAAACACACGTAATGGAATATTAATTTATGACTACCGACTAACCAAGTAACCAAATATTAGGGGCCTGCGTGCCCCCAAAGCGAGCGGAAGCAGACGCAGACGGAGAAAGAAAGAAAGTGAAACTACCATTGGATGACGATGATGCACTCACTCATCCAGTCATGACTCATTACACACTCACCCTGAAGAGAGAAAGAGAGTTGGCCATGATATTGAAACAATCTGCACACGAGTTTTACGATATTAACGTTTGAATTGCATGTGAATCTAGCTTAAGCTGATTGTGAACTAATCCCATTTGCTCAATAGACGGAACCAAGTCTTCTCTACGATCAACGATCTTTACTAATACTATATACATTCTCTAACCGCATTCAGCTCTAAAAACCTAAGTTTTAAGTCTAACGAACAACCACATATACTGTATAAGCAATGCATTTTCCAAATCAAAAATCTACAAATGTTTCCAATTGTATCCATATGAGTATTGCATTTTGCTCCAAACATATTTTAAGCAACTTACAATTTTTTTTAGATATTAAAACACAATGAGAGGCGGCTCGGCTTTCCCTTTCTGGACCGACGCGCGCTTGTGTTTTTAGCACGTAGCATACGATATACACATTCATACGTACACATATACAAGATACATATGAACAATATATAGTTATACCAATGTCCGGCGATCGGTCGATCCCGGATGGTTCTACACAATATACACAAAAGAAAAAATACAAAAAACTGAGTTCGAGTTGCATGAAATGAAGCCAAAATTTATTGATGTTAAACGTTTATGTGCCGCGATAGAGGTGTGCGCTCATGGAGCTAATTGTAATGGTCAGCAATGGAGATGTCATTATGATATGAAGTTGCAAAACATACATACAGGCGGACAAATATGTCATGTATTATTAAATATTAAAATCAAAACCAAACTGTTTGCTGACAATAAGCAGATGTTCTTATTGGGAGGCATTACAAGAAACCAATTTAGATTGGTTTAAAATTAATTCTTGTAAATGTATATGTTGACTGAGCTTCCGTTTCCGGTTTCCAAATATTCTGATATGTTTTCTTCAAGCTAAGTAAACAAATACCCTTTATTCTTTCGACTTTAAAGCTTTATTCATAAATTAATCGTCTTAGTAGCTAGAACATATGCAATAATTATTCGACAGTGGGGGCCTCTCCAGCCTCACTCCCCTTTTGGCTTGGTTGGGGCAGGATTGAGACCGCTGACCTGGAACTCCTCCCCCCTAAAAGTAGATCTTAAATTTGCTCTTTTTTATTTACAAATTGATTTAGATAACTCAACAACCCCTCCTACGCCTTGACTCCCAAATGGGCTTCCATGTCACTGGCAGCGAGCACAAAGATGGGCGCCGAATAGTCTACGGCCTTGTCGCCACTTAAACCGGCGCCCTTGACATAGGAGTGTACGGCCTTGGGGCCACGCCCCCTCTTAAGCATCACGTACACAACGAATACGCTGACCAGGAAGGCCGAGCTAGTGGCCATGATGAAGAGCACCAATTGGATGGACTCGTCCTGAGCAGTGGCCGCCTGGGCCACTGGCACCGCGGCGCTGCGGTGCACAAAGTGGGAGCGTGTCAAGTCGGGACGGAAATGGCCACCAGCCAACCGGAAGTCGCCCGCAGCAATGGCCGTTTCAATGGCGAAGGCCAGATCCACCTTGGCTTCATTATGCAGCTCGAAGCGGACAATTGCTGAGCCATCGAAGTTCTCCTGCACGCGGAGATTCTCCACGGATTCACCGCCCAGCAGCTGCTGCAGCTCCCGCCGAATGGTATCGTAGGCATTGCGTACACTTCGCCCACTACTGTTGGTCAGGTGCAGCTCAATGGCCACGGCCTCGATGGGTACATGGCTGCAGTGTCGATCTCCGGCCCCAAAGATATGGGTGGCCTGCAGCTGATTTCCAGCGGCATCCACGCACCAGCAGCTCCTGCCGTTGCACTGCAGGGGACGGAAGGAACCCGTCTCATCGCAGCTCACGGGGAAGGGAGCTGTCTCCGATAGAGCACGGCATCGGGTGGTCTTCATTTCCATGGGCTTCAGAGTGGCCTGCTCTACGGACAGCTGAGAGTCCAGCAGGGAGTTGGCCAGCTCGAGTACCCTTTCGGTGACACTCGATTCTGCTGCAGTGGCTGTGGCCGGTAGGATCCTGGCCTCCAGTTCATCAAAATTCAAATCCTCGCTGGCCACATCATTCAGTTGGGTAAGCTGGGCTATCAGCTGCTCCATCAGGGGGTCACTGACGTCGAGGTTCTTGCGGTTGCGAGCCTGACGACTGTTGCAGATGGGTTCGCTCTCCCGGGTGAGAGTACCCTTCAGCGGAGCACCCTTCTTGTCCGCACACCAGCACACACCGGGAGTTTCTTCGCCAGCGGAACCGGAAGCTGAATCGGAGGTGAAGGCTCGACTCACAATCTCCGTGTGTGATGGCCTCTTGTCTGAAAGCTGTGGCTGCTTGCCCAGACATTGAACGGGACTCCAGTGACCGGTGACAGGATCACAACGCGGCTGGAACCAAACCGAGGAGTGTCCGGTGCGCTGGGCGGCCAGGCTGTTCTTCAACTTCAGCCGTTCGCACTGGGTAAGTACTAGGAATGAAAATAAAGGGTTTTAGATAACTATAATCACCACCAAGGGTATGGAATTTTACCTGGACACACTGAGTTACAGGCCAGTTCGTTATGGAAGAGGTTCTTGGTCTGACAGGCTGGCGCCTCGGCATCGATGACCACGGCCAGGCACTTGTTGGCTCTGGGACTAAACCGGAAACGAGTACTGTTTCTCTCCGACTTGGCGGTGGCCTGGCAGCCACTGTCCATGGACTCGAAGCACACGTCACGGGTCTTGGAGCAACATACACCACGATTGGTCACAGGATTCAGCTGACAAGAGTGGGTGGTGGGACAGGCCTCCTGCTCGTTGTGGGGTCCGCAGCTCATGTCGAGGTCTCCCTGCTGAAGGGGATTACCCTCGGGACAGACGGATGCCCGACGTGGCACACAGATGGGCATCTTGGGACAGGGACTGTCGACGCACTCCACAGAGATCAGTTGACACTCCTCGTGCGGGGAGCAGCTGACCTCGTTGCAATAGTTCCTGCACTGGCAAGTGGGGCATCCATTGGCATCCATTTGGTGGCCACTCTCGCACTGGAGGCTGCAGTTGGTCCGGGGACAGTCGAAGCTGGAGTTCTCCTGACACTTGGGCGCTGCCGGAGACTTCACCTTGGTTCCCGGCAGTATCATACCTTGGTCGTCCACGCACCAGCAGTGACCATCTGGGGAGCACTGGACCTGCTCCCACTTGCCGCTCTGAGCATCACATTGCGCCACAGCCATCTGACGGGCGGGAATTCCCAGCTCAGAGCTCTGGTGCAGTTGGATGGCTTGCAGGTGCTGGCAGGCTGTCTTCAGTTGGGGGTCCACGCACTGGGTGCCACAACCATTGGAGCAACAGCGTCTGGCTCCCTCGCAATGGGCATCCGTACGACACTCATAGGCGCAGGTATTCGCATCGAGGTTATCCGGACCTGGGGGCACCAGATACGGACACTGTCCCGGTTTTCTGGGCAGGCATGCCGGCACCGGAGGGCAGTACTCGCCCTCGCAGCTCACGTCCACCACGCGACACTCCTTGCCGGAGCCGCAGGTTACGCCTTCGCAGGGATCACGGCACTGGCAGGCCGGACAGCGGGTATCCGGATCCAGGGCAAAGCCATACTCGCAGCCCATCCGACAGGTGAGGTCCAGACACTCCAGGTCATCGCGCACGTTACGGCAGGTCTCCTCACTGACATTGAAGCCACGAGTTTGGGGTATCTCGGTACCAAAGCTATCCACACACCAGCATTGCTCCACTTCCATTTCGACGAGGTCATCCTCGTTCTCTGGCGGCCGCTTGGTTGCCGAGGCCACCTTCTTAAAGTCCGTTTCGAAGAGCTGACCCAATCCCTGCTGGCGATCGGCGCCCATGTCAATCACCTTGGCACTGCGACCCATCACAGGAGCTGCCACCTGGACCTTTAGAGCACTGTCCTCCACTCGGTACAGCTTCAGGCGCTCCGTATCACGACGACTACGTTTTGAAGCACTGGGAGCAGCGCTAGCCAGCAGCATCCTCATGCGACGGATGGTATTCTCCTCGAGGATCTTGCGCTGCTCGGCGCGGGTAACACGAATCTTCTTCAGCTGACACTGGCGTCCCTCATAGTCACCATCGTTGGTGCAGCGAGGCGAGGGAACTGCCAGCTGCATGCCCTCCTCGGTGCCCTCCATGCGCTCCGAAAAGTCCCTCAGGTATTCGCACACTGTGAAAGGATCTGTGGGTTAGATGTGTTGAATCTTATTAAGGATATTCTGTACTTACTGGTCTGCTGATGTCCACCTGTTACTCCCTCGGCAGGAGTACTCTGCTCGGGCACTGGACAGCACACACTCTCCGTTTCCCTGTGAAGCTTTGTGCACTTGTATTGATCCGGACACATGATGCGGTTGCTCATGGAACGGCCCTGTTTTGACAGCGTATCCGTTTCCGGTTCGAAAAAGGCTGTGGGCTGGAAGCTGCGACCCTGACGTTCCTCGAAGCAGTACATCACCTCACCAGTTGCCGTGTCGGAGAGCGGTGTTCCCACATCACAGGGATTTGAGTAAACCAAATCAGGTTTGCACACAGGCCAGGAGGCGCAGAGTGAGGATCCCGACTCACACAGAGGATCGGTGGCCACCTCACAGTGGGAGCCAATGGCACACTTGAAGCCCTCACAGGGCTCGGAGCACTCGCAGGTGGGACAGCCATTGTGGTCATTCTGAAATTTAAGAGAAAACAATGTTTTACAATTAAGATTTCATAATTCAGGATAAAAATATACCTTAAATCCATATTCACAGACGGCGGCACAGATGTTGGTGTCGCACTGCTCCATCTGGAAGCTCCTGGCATAGGAGCGACTGATCATGTTCTCCCATCCCTCGCAGTTCACATTGTTGGCGGCACCCATGGTCTCCTTGATCTTGTGTCCAGTCCGAGGGTCCACACACCAGCAGACGAGTCCATTCCGGGAGCACTGCTTGGGAGAGAACTGACCACCGGGTCCGTTGCACTCTGGGACATAGCCGCGTCCCTCGCGCTCGTTAATGGCCAGAATGTCAGCCAGAGCCTTGGCCTGGTGGCAACCCGTAATATTACCCGGCTGCTGGCAGTTGAACTGACATCCCTTGGTAAAGCAGCACTTCTCCAGGTTGCGGCACTCCAGGTCGTGGGAGCAGGGCGATCCGCACATATAGCCCGTGCGCTCCGTATACTGGCTCTGTTCCGGCGCTGGACAAATTCCAGGCTTCTGGAAGGTGAGGGCACTGGGACAGCAGACGCCATAGTCATTGCCGGACTCCACCAGGCACTGATACAGGGGCGGACACTGTGGCTTACCGGGATCCAGGCCACACAAGAACGGTCTCACCGTGTCATCGATGGCCAAAGGCAGTCCGGCGGGACAGAGATTGGCCAAGGATCGGGCCTTCTTGCAGGTGGGCAGCGGCGGACAAGGCTCCGATTTGCACTGCACTTCCTGCAGCTGACAGGACTGACCGCGAGGACACTCCAGTCCATCGCAAGGATCACGGCAGCGGCAAACGGAGCAGCCAGTCTCAGGATCCCGAGCGAATCCCGAGGGGCAAAACATGCGGCAGGCGGAGGCAGTACAGTGCTTGGGCTCGGAGCAACTTACTCCCGCTCGTGTCTCATTGCGACTGCCGGGCAGTTCCACTCCATACTCATCGACACACCAGCAATTGCGGCCAGCTCTCTCGTCCTGGCACTGGATGGTATCGAAGTCACCATTCTTCTGGCAGCGGGGAACCCTAACTGAAGGTCCCTCAGTTCCGGTTTGCAGGGCCTTGGCTCGTCTCGTCTCTGCCCTTCTCAGATGCTGGCAGGCCGTGAGATTGGCTGTAAGTATATAAATAATAATTCGTAATTAATTTATAAAGATTGGAGTTTATTAAGCAAGAAATCTGTCAAATTGAGCACTAAATTATAGAGCCAATGAAAAAGGTAATTAATTTATGAAGTTAAGTCAGAGGTCAGCTCTTGCGAAAGTATAATTTATTAATCTCCCCCAGTTAATTTTATGTGATTTAAGGTTACTTATATGACTAACGTATTTATTAATGGAAATCAATTAAAATATGCTTAAATTACAAATTAATTTGCTTAAAATATTGATTTTGACAAAGTTAACTTGAACCAAAGCTTACATATGTATTCCTAACTAATTATTAGACTAAAAGTCGATATGAAATAGACTCACTTTTAATATTTGTTTAAAACTTAATCAAAATATTTATTTGTAATTTTATTCACTATTATTTATTGAAGAAGTTATTAAGAATATCAAAGTAATTTAATTTTCTTCATTTATTTTCACGAGTGAGAGGGCTTGACATACTTTCGTGTTATTCAACTGCCGAATCGCAGCTAACTACAATTTCACTTTTAAAATATTTTTTTGGGACGTGACGCGTGCGTTTACCAACAAAATAAATAAAAACCGAGTGTCTATGAAAACTGCAAAATTGAAATTAAAAATACAAAATGGAATGGCCGACGGCGGCATTGCTGAAATTGTTGTTATTTGTGCCAGACATTTGCAGCTGTTGAATTGTTTCATTTGCCTAAAGCGGCTTTCCAGGGCCAACCAAGTCGGCGTTATTTGAATTCAACGCTTTGTATGCCGTGGAGGGATTCACTTGTCCACGGGGCGTATAAGCAATTCGCTTCAACTGGCCACGAACGGACTTAAACTGTGGATGCTCTGAGCATTCTGCTTTGGGAAGACCCAAGCCATTGTCTCGATGAACGTCTTATGCAATTAAAGCGAGTGATTACCATCCCCCCTTTTATCCCCTTCCCCCCCCCCCCCCCTACCTGTCCAGCACGCAACGTTGCCTTTGGGGTTGCGACAGCTGAGCTGAGCTTTTAGTTGCGTCAATCGCAATGCTCATTGCTGGTCACTTCCCGTGCACTTTCGATACACATTAAATGCAACATAGTCATTATGCAACTGTCAAGGGGCACTCGGGGCACATATGTGTTAGGTTTGCACTGGAAAATACTAGATTTGTGAACGACAATCTATATATTTCTCAAGTATTTTTGAAACAAAATTGATATCTTCTTTGTTTGATTGTGTACTTTCCATAGTTTAATGCTTTGAAATGATCTAGAGCTAGAGATAGAGATATTTCATTATCTATCTTGAACTGTAATTAAATTTTAAATATTAAAAAATATTAGGTAATATCCTGTCAAATATTTATTTAATTAAAAAATGCCTTTTCCTTGACTATATTATTTACTCATCCAATTTCCTTCTGCGTAGCTAACTTTCTGGTAAGTAAATAGAAGCTTAAACTAATTTAAAATATACATCAAATTGTTTTACATAAAAAATAATACAAATTATGTTAAGTTAAGATAAAGTCTCTTTTAATTTTTATTTCTTTGTAAAACATATGTTTATAGTAAATTGTTCGCCTTGGCAACCGTCGAGTAATCGCTGAACTTATTAACAGAGATTTCTTTTTTTTTTCCCCGCACATCCGCCTTGGCTCATCCGAAATTTTGTATTTTTATTTTTATTTTTTTTTCACTGTCTTTTTTTCTGGACTTTTCGCTAGAAATTGAATGAAAGTTTTTTTTGGCAGCGCCTCGAGCTTGAGTTGGCCATCAATTTGTGGTATTTGCTGTAAACACAACACACACATGTACAAAATGAAAATGGCTTTCGGTTTCTGTCATGAATGAAAAGAAAACAAAAACAACAAAGCAAAAGCCGTCGGGCAGCTGGCAATTAAAGCTGGCCAATGATGAATATAATCAAGCAGAAAAATACAACAACAAAAGCAAAGTTGGCGTCATTTGGAAGCGACTTTTATTCTCTCGCCTCTTTGCCACAATCAAGTTTGTCGCCTAAGTCTTTCGTTTTGGCTTCCGCTCCACACAAGAAGCGCAAAAAAAATAGAAGGCGAATAAGAAACAGAACCGTAACGAAATCGAAATCAAAGCGGCAAACTGGTACGTACCTAGGAGAATTGTCCCCCTCTCTCCCCTCCCTCACCTATCCAAGATGGCCCATTGTGAAGTGGCTGTGGGACTTAAGACTGAGACTGGGACTGGGTCTGGGTCTGGAACCCCGCCTGACCGACTGACACAGTGTCCGCCTGCAGCTGGAAACTGGCTTAGAGTTTCGACTCTCTGTCTCCCTTTTGCTCTAGCCGGGTCGGGCTCTTAACGGTTTCTGGCGTATTTTTCAGCTAAGCGCTTTTTAATGATGGCGTGCCACATTTTTCGCACCACCCAGACACACAGGCAGACCGCGTTCTACACGAATTTCCACACACGTCACGTTAATTATTGCAGGTGCAACCTGGCATTTAATGAGCCACCAAATGGTCCACATTTGCGACCATGGCGGGTTCAATGACTGCTTTTGGCAACAAACAAAAATAATAAACGGAAACAGAAAAGGAGCAAAAAGTTCTGGCTTAATAAGTCATTGACTTGAAAGTTGCCTCTCAACTCTGCCAAACTTTCCAGTACACAGAAAAATAAGCACTACCAGAAGTTGGGTAATATTTTTATATATATATTACATATTATATTATATATTATATTAATTTATGTTTACTCTTAGAAGATTCTAAAAGGTTCTGGGAATTTAAATAACTTTGGCTGCATGCCCAAATACATAGTTCCAAAAATAATAATATCAGGAATAACCTATCAGATAAAAAGTCCAATATTTATTTAAAATAAATTATATAAATTAAATTATGAAAACCTACACAAAATAATTAGCTTAATTGAATACTCTTTATTTAAAAATATTACCTATACTCATACAAATATAGTTCTATTTATATTTAAAATAAAACTAGGGAAAATTTTCTAGAGTTAAGAATTCTCGCACGTCTGTGCATATAATTCCCAACTGGTTCCAACATCCCTGGAACGAAGTCACGGTTGCCGGCCTAGTCTTAGATACGTTTGATATATGTGATATTGCAAGTCATGGTTACTTACTTACTGTTCACTTACTTACTTACCCTAAAATCAACTAACTAACTACCTAATTCAGGATTAAAATATCCTTAAATTAAAAAGAAATTCGAATTTTTTTTTAAATCAATTAGACCTAAACTACTAGAAATCTTTATAAATATACGAAAATAAACATTTAGTTAGGAAAAGTTGTTTCCATTTTTATGAGTTTAGCTTACATAGCTATGACATACGTTCTAATATATAATATATATTTTTTTACAGTGTACTTACCATTTGATCGCTTGGCATCCGAAACCTGCAGAGCCAGCAGCAAGAGGAAGAGGCAGCCGGAGAAGAGCTTCAGCCAACGTTGATCATAGTGCGCCATGTTGGGGCATCCAAGAGTTGCCAAAAAAAGCGAACCAAAAGTTTCCTGTTTTCTGCAAACAAGAAAACGATAAAAGACAAGAGTGAAAGAGAGGTGCGTGAGTAATGCAGCTGCTTCGCTTTGGCTTTGACGTCACACGCGTCGCGATCCGTGAGATTCAAAAATTTTGAGCTTGGATTTCCAGCTAGACACTTTCACTATCATCGCGCTTAGTGAGCTTGCTCTGGCATACATTTGCATCTGCTTTGGGGCGCGGCAAAAGAATTCAAAGCGTTTATTTTGGTTGCGATTGCGCAACATGTGAAAATGGAGAGCATTGTGGAAATGGAATCGGCCACGGGGGTCACGAACCCATCATGGATTGTCTTTGGAGTCCAACTGTCTTCGCTTTACGGGCGGGTGATTAATCTGCCTCCAAGCACTGACTCTGCTGTCGCTGCGCTTTCACTTTGGCAACAGAAAAAAATAAGGCAGCAACCAGTCAACTTTATACATCATTTATTTTTATTTATTTTTTTGTCTTCTCTTCAAAATTCACTTCAGCAGCGCCTGTGCGTGTGTGAGCTTTTGCGTTTTCCGGTCCATTGAAAATGGCTCAGCTCAGGCAGAGGCGGCATTTTGGGGGGCAGCTTAATGCCACTCAGGATTTTCCCTCATTAAGACAAGTCAATTATATAATGAACCAATACGCCTCCCCCTAACGTTGGTCAAAAACTATAAAGTTTGTGTCCTAAGTCTTTTGATTATTTCCCACATACAGTCGTTTTTATAGCGGTTTTTTTGGTGAAAACTCAGGCTGTTGAATCACTGGCCGCATTTGCAAATGAAAACCCGCCGATCCACAAAGAAATTTCAACACGGAACTGCGGCGGCAAAAACCCAAAAAATAAATTCAAAAGGAAACAAAGGCAGTCAGTTTTTTTCGCTTTTTTTTGGCTATTGCATGGTTCTGGAAAAACGAGGCCAGCCTGCATGGAGCAGCATTTTCACAGCAGTCAATACGAAATGAAAGCCTGGTTACTTGAACTTGGGCCAAACTTGGGCGCGCCTGCCAAAAGATTTCACCTGGCGCATGCAAAGCTGCAAAAACAAAAAGAAAAACGCTGGAAAAACCTCAACATTTGGCTCAGCACTTGGCTTTATGGTTTGTCATTGACTGGGGGCCACGAGGAGTCAAGTGTGGCTAATGGGTTGTGGGTACTAGCTAAGACTTGAGACTCAGACTAAGGCTAAGATTGAGACTGAGACTATAACTAAGGCTAAGACAGAGACTGAGACTGAGGCTGAGTCTAGGCCTGAGGCATCTTGACCCTGCCTGACATGCTTGGTTTGGCCAGCAGTTAGTAGAGTGTAAAGTTAAATGATTGGTGAAATGAGGCCACATGTGTCAGTTGAGGGCTCTGCATAACTAAAGGGATTTCATGGCAGCTTTGTGTCTTAAAGTACTTGGGTAAGGAATGCCTGTAATCCGATCATGTAAGTGCTCAACCTTTAACCCAGATATAGCTGGGAAATGTATGGATTTGAATGGGTATTGAAATTGGTTTACAATGTGCCTTTTCCTCTGAGATACGAGTATTGTTACTGCACTTAAAAATTAAATAAACAATGCAAGAACTGATTTGGTGCTATTTATAAAAATTAAAGATAACATTGAAGTAAGAATAAGTATATAAGTATATAACCCTTTTCCCTTACTACTTTTATGACCAACTTTTTACGCATTTTCTGCGTTTCTGTAAGCACCTTTTCAGGAACTATCTGTAATTGGATCAACGGTGCGCTCTCAACCCTTGGGAACCCAGCACTCTACATGTTCCACTTTAAAGTCCAACACATCAGTCTTTTGGTTATTTTTTGGCATTTTCCCTTGGCAGGCTTGGCTTATTGCCAACATCTTTTTTCGCTGCTGCAGCTACAGTTAGCTTCAGTTAGACCACACTTGCGAAATGGTTTTTCGGCTTACACCTAACGGTTCGGCTTGGACTGGCGCAGCAGTTAATGTCGTTTCTTCTTTGGCTCACTCGTTTTTTTAGAGCCGTTTAAATTGCGCGTGTCGAACTCTTAAGGGGCTGCGACTGGAGCTCAACTGTCAGTGCCTCGCTCTGACATAATTTCGTAATGAACTTAAAAAATATTTGCCCAGAACGCGTATTTGTTTACTCGGTTATTCCAGTTTGGAGAATCGCAAAGCGATCGCAAATGCCAATAGTTCACCTTGAGCGTACAATTAACGTTTGCACCTAAATACAACAAAGATCTATATATGTTGATCGATGAAAATTTAATATATGTAATAAGATATTTTAACAAAAATTATTATTTTGAGCTCATAGTATATTTTTTCTTAAGTGTTTGCTTGGGGTTTGCTTTATAAAATGAAAAAATCAATATACATGGAAGAAGAGCTGAGAAAATATAAATGTCATCGATTTCAACTCGATTTTCACACACTGACATATCGAAAACTTTGATTTAAGATCGATTATTTATTTTAAAAATAAAAGAAAGCCAAGTAAACTAATAACTTATCTGAATAACTCTCAAAACCTTTGTATTTCAATGATTTAAATTATATTTTTTTAAACCTAGTCTTGTAATAGTTTAACCCCCTTTTTTCTCTGTGTGGGTGTCGGATGTAAGACTCATTGGAATGATCGAATTGCAGCTTAATTTGCTTGCTCAAAAAATAATTGATTGTGGGCACCTTTGACACCATTTACGAGCGACACTTAAAGTTTCTGTTTTCGGTTTTCGATTTCAATTAGCAGCAGTCTCCGCACCCAATTCCTCTATTCAAGTTGCTCAACAAACCTGTTTAATTAAGATGAGTTGCTGGTGCGGCTAATCCAATAAAAAGTGAAAACTATTTTGATTGGTATCGGTTTCGATTTCGATTTCCAGCGGTGTGCTTTAATCCAGGTGCACACAGCTGGCCGGCTCTATGAAATTTGCAATTTTCACTGAATTTCACTGGGCAGCACAACAAACACACACATAAACATATATGTATATATTTAGCAGAAAAGTCGTGCCAATTTGGGTTTTCACTCCGATCACTTCGTAAAACTCTCTCGCGGTGCAAAAAACTTAACAATTTTGCGTTTCGCGGCAGCAATTTAAATTCGCGTGCAACCTCAACGGCGGGCGGTGCGCATTTGAGCTTTTGCAAGACTCCGCCGTGGCCTAGTAGTAGCGCTCCGCCGATGGTGGCTCAGGTTCGATCGAACATGTCGCGGTGCGACCGAAAAGGCCAAAACCCCAAAACAAGTCGGGCTCCAACTAACTCATTTCAAATACCCATGACGCATTCGAAGGGGGTCTGCTAGTCAAAGCTGCAAGGCCGAAAAAACGTTTTTAAATTGGTTATTCTGGGAAGACGTACACTTTAGGTACCTTTGTACTGAATACAATACAAATTAAAAATAAACATGGTTATAGTTTGGCAGGGAAATAAGTTTAAACTAGATTTAACCTAAAATGAAAATTTAATTTGCTTGTTTAAATACGAGGTAATCCATTACAAAGTGAGCTTAGGTTGTGCTTGATTAATGTGTTATAAAATAGACTTATGTATTAATGTATGTATATTAAATTATTATTGAAAATATATTTTGTATATTATATTGAACATATTTATTAACATAATCGATTATTTTATAGTCCTTTATAAAAATGCTATAATATACATTTTATTTTTGTTTTCGCTTTTAACATGTAATGATTAAATAATTAAATATTGTATTTATACAATAATGTTATTTAACTTTATACATTCGTCATACTTTTATGTTCATTGTTTATATAGTTTTATAAATAAGGTATACAAGCCAAAATATTTTAAGAAGGCAACATCAACTATAAAAAATGCAATACCTTTTTTTTATAAATTATAAAAAATGAGCTAATAATCAAGAATCTCCGAATATTTCTTAGAAACTTTCTCCGCTATTTCGACTTCCGCTCCAAATACACAGATTTTTGTGGAAGACATAATGTTCCCAATGATTTAATTTAGGTTTTTTTGGTACGAAAATGGGTCTGGGATAAACTCAATTTTAAATGATCGGAAGTTAAAAAATTAGAATTAAGAACTAGTTGCATATATATATATATATACAACAACAGATCTAACCATGTCCGTCGGTCTCTGCTCTCCTCTCTCTTTTACTCTGGCTCCCTTTTTCCTCTGTCGCATCTCCCTCTCTCTCTCTCTCTCTCACTGACTATCTAAAGATATTCCTAGCTCTGGGGATATCTGTTTCTCTCCCGCTCTCACTTTCTCCTTTCTCTTTGCTCAGCGACTATAAATACAGCCGCTTCACTCGCGCGGCCCTCAGTCTGTACGTGGCCTTCCCAGTGATTACATCGATAGTGATAGTGGCTATGATAGTGATTGCTCTTCATGATCAATGCAATTCATCTGGATAACCAGGAAGAAGCTTACTTCGAAGATACCATGGAAAGCCTAATTAAAGTCATCAGGAATATAACTCAACACTGGATGGAATTACTCTCCTGCTGTGGTAAGTCTTAACCATGACAATAATATCAAGCTATGCATTTATTTTCCAATTAATTCCCTAATTGCCATGGACCCCATTACATAATTTTAATATAAAGTGATACAGCAATTCGTATAGTCAAATTTAACATTTTAAAGTAATTAAAAATTATTTACCAATATAGCTTTTTTACCCACTTACTAGGGGCCGTCTCCATACAAAATAAGGAATACAAAATTGTAAGGCTTATTACTTCGATTTACAAACGCTTGCACATATGCACGGTATATAGGCTTACTAGGGGAAGATTAACGAATATTTAGTGGAAATTTTAATTCTTTTAACCGTCAGATTTCGAGAAAATCGAATAACAGTGGGTGGTGTATTTGGTCTGATAGCTAAGGCGCGAACTATGAAAATGGAACCAGCAGAGAACCACTCGCTGAACCAGACCGTGGAACCATGTTAAAAAAAATACTAAATTAAATAAAAATAGCAAAGCGTTGAATAAAAGATTAAGAAATGTGACTGCCCAATATATGGAAAAGCCATTCAAAACAATTAGGTGGGATTTTTATCTAGTTCAGAGAAAGATTATTTTAGTATATACAACGGCGGAATGTTATGCCCCTCCCCGACAAGCAAAATCGACGCAAACTTTTACAAAATTCTTACCCCTTTAAATTAACGCGTGCATCAAACTATCTCAAACTATAGGGACAAATATTCTATAATTATAAATTAAATCTAAGCCACAGATTTTAAAAAATTAACGTCTTCTTTTTCCGATCTCATTCACAAACACTGGCTTCAAATCGATAGGGGCGCCTCCCACACCCTGTCGATGAATAGCCCGTCAGAAAATATTCCTATTCACCATTTAAGCAATTGTATAAAATATGCATGTCCCATGAATGGAATTGACATTCCAAGCATTTTGGTAGATGTTTCATCAAAATCCGTTAAGCCGTTCAAGAGAAAACATCACTTTTTCATTTATTTCCATAAATGCTCCTTCGAAGAATAAATGTATCTGGCAGCACTGTCTGCTTAAAATTAATCAATTTCATTTAAACTTTATTAAAAACAGCTTATGCAAAATGAAGATCGTACCATTAACGGGATCGCAATTCTGAACATTTTGATCCACGTTTCGTCAAAATCCGTTCAGTCGTTCATAAGAAATCCCGACTTTTTCATTTATTTCCATTTATGTGCCAGCGAAGAATAAATATATCCCGCAGCCCTGCCTGCGTAAATACCAAGAAAATTGATTTAAACTTTATGGTAAAGCCTATGCAAAAGGAAGACTGTCCCATAAACGGCATCGTAGTACTGGACATTTTGATCTATGTTTCATCAATATCCGTTCAGTCGTTAATGAGAAATTTGACTTTTTCATTTTTAGCAGTTGGGTACCAGGGGTGCACAGTCATGCCTCCTTAGTACATAAATTAGTAATTCAAATGTTAATTTCTCCCAAACTACTGAACGGATTTTGATGAAACACCTACCGAATTGCTTAGAAAAACGATATCATTTATTGGGCAGACTATTAAATGTTATTTCGAAAATTTGCTTCTCAAACCTATGGCTGCAATACCCTTGCCTTGTAATATGATTTCAGGTCAAAAATTTGCAACGCAGTGAATAAATTATTTTCGACCATATAAAGTATATATATTCTTGATCAGCATCAACAGCATAGTCGATCTAGCTATGTCTGTCTGTCTGTCAGTCCACTTATATGGAAACTAGACCCTCATATTTAAAGCTATCTAAATAAAACTTTCCACTTAGTCAACTATACACTTTTACCAGTATATAATGGATTAAAATATTCAGAACTACAGTGCCGGTTATTCAATTTGCATACATACGTCCTACCATTAAGTTTAAATAACATTCTTTTATTTAATATTCTTCGTCAAACATGCACACATACATACATACATATGTATATACATTTACGGCAATAAATGAAAAATCAGAATTTCTCATTAACGACTGAACGGATTTTGACGAAACGTGGATGAAAATGTTCAGAATTGCGATCCCGTTAATGATACGATCTTCATTTTGCATAAGCTTTTTTTAATAAAGTTTAAATGAAATTGATAAATTTTAAGCAGACAGTGCTGCCAGATACATTTATTCTTCGAAGGAGCATTTATGGAAATAAATGAAAAAGTGATGTTTTCTCTTGAACGGCTTAACGGATTTTGATGAAACATCTACCAAAATGCTTGGAATGTCAATTCCATTCATGGGACATGCATATTTTATACAATTGTTCCAATGGTCAATAAGAATATTATCTGGTGGTCTATTTATCGATAGGGTGTGGGAGGCGCCCCTATCGATATGAAGCCAGTGCTTGTGAATGAAATCGGAAATAGAAAACGTTAATATTTAAAAATCTGTGGGTTAGATTTAATTTAAAATTATAGAATATTTGTTTGCAACGTTCATTTAAGGGCGTACGATTTTTGTAAAAGTTGGGGTCTATTTCGGTTGTCGGGGAAGGGCATAACATTCCGCCGTGGTATATACTAAAATAATCTAAAAGAACGAAATAGGTAATTTTCCCTGATTTATATGAAATTCCACCAAATTGTTCTGATGGGCTTTCCATATATTGGGCAGTCACATTTCTTAATCTTTTATTCAACGCTTTGCTATTATTATTTAATTTAGTATTTTTTAACATGGTTCCATGGTCTGGTTCAGCAAGTGGTTCTCTGCTGCTTCCCATCTGGTTCCATTTTCATAGTTCGCGCCTTAGCTATCAGACCAAATACACCACCCACTGTTATTCGATTTTCTAGAAATCTGACGGTTAAAAACAATTGAAATTTTCACTAAATATTCGCTAATCTTTCCCTAGTAAGCCTATATACCGTGCATATGTACACGCGTTCGTAAGCCTTACAATTTTGGACTCCTTATTTTGTATGGGGCCGACCCCGAGGTTAGACCACTGTTATGCGATTTGCTTAAAAACTGACGGTTTGAAGGAATTAAAACTTGGTAGGGTAAAACTACTATAAATGTCCATTACTTTGACATATCGGGTATTGCTGCACGCATTTGATTAGCCGATATATTTAGAATTCCGTGAATTCACATTTTCACATGCTTTTTTTAATATATCCAAATGTCAAATACTTTCAAACGCAGTAAAAAACAATAGTAAAAGTTGATCAGAATCAATAGCCGAGTTGAACCAGCTATAAATGATAAAATACAATTTTCAAAATGTTCAAACATTTTTTAATGGGTTACATCATTAAAATTGTCAAAATTTGATCAAAAATTTTATTTTTAAAACTGAAAAACTCAATATGCCAATTTGTTAACATTATGAAAACTAGCATTGATAAGGTTTCCGAATTGAAATCAGTCAATTCTTAGCTTAGTTATGATATTTAAAAAGTTTTAGTTTACACACAAAAAAAAAAAAAATTGGCATATAAAAAATAGATTTTATATACCTAGAATACATATATTTTAAATATTGTTGGAAGGAAAAAAATCCTATGATTGCCATATGCCAAATATATTTTGATTAACTCTCAAAATCTTTACCAATAAATAATAAAACATTTGATAAATGTAAGCGTCTGAATAAAAAAACATAAATAGTAATATATATATTAACAAAAATTTATAATTTTATGTATCTTTGACACTTTTTTAGATATGCTGCGTAGTAGGGTTGGTTTTCGTTGGTGCCCCATATGTGGACACTTATTCATGCTCCAATTCCACTGGCAACGTTGTCGCCGGATTCTCTCCAAGCTCGGGGCATTCCACCGTTGATTCATAACGATCTGTTAATGCTGATAATCATTTGTTATGGGGACGCAATAGTTCACTTAGCCGCCTAGTGCGTGCTGGCCTTCGCGGGCCAGAATTAGCTTAACGGCCGGGTAAAACCAACTCAACTTACCCGCACATCGGCTGACTCAACTCAGGTATGCACAACAATATACATATCCATATATAAACACACGGTTGGTTATGCTTGAATACCAAAATTTGTACGTCAATGCAGTCAGTCAGTCAGGCACCAAGGGCGTTGATTTCGTCTGATGGATGCTTTGACAGAGATCTCTGCTGGCAGCCACTTCCGCTTCAATTCGGTTTTCGCACGCTTTTGCCGGCTTTCTTCTTTAATATCATTAATAAAATCGTCATCATTAAATTAAATGCGGTGCTTGGAAATATCGTGACACAAAAGCCACGAAAATTGCCCCCCCCCCAAAAAAAAAACGTAAGTTATCGTAAGAGGGGAGACGAGCCAAAAACGAAAACTGGCTGAAAGAAAGAAAGAAGGCACAGGAAAGGGCCATTCCCAATCCACAATCACAACATCCGCATACGTGAAAGAGATCTTGTTTTTTACAGAGCCCACAATTACACCGATCGAACGAACCTCGACCTGAATCGGAGTCTCACATTTACCTGGTTTATCAGGCCATGCAGTTGGGCCGTGCCACGCCCCCGAAATGTACTCCTCCGACGGCTACCGAAAGTGAAAGTTCTGCGCATGCGCGCCAGCTGCTACACTGGAATTGATGGATGAAATGGAGACGGGAGGAAATGAATAATAGTTGACTTACATTTGGAGTGTCTTTTTATTGGTTAATAAAACTAATATATGATTCTTTATCTATTTATATCTCGCTGCTGCTGCTCTGGCTGGCTGTCAGGGATCTTTGAGTTTTTTTGTCTTTGTTTTTGTTTTTTTTTTTTGGGCGAACAAACAAGTCTTCGGTTGTTTATTTCTATGTGTTTTTTCGGGGCAAGTATTCTCATTCATATATATATATATTTTGTATATATCTTATGTGTATATCTAAACGCATTTTACAATTGAAATTAAATTTCACAAATGGACTTTTGTTGGAACAAAAATATATAGATTTACAACTGTTGTCTGTCCTGCTGGCGCGAAGCGACTGGAGACTGTGTACTTTGTTGAGAGGTTTTTTTCTAAGTGTTAGTTCAAGTTGAGACGAGTATCTTTTGATTCTAAAGGTTGTTCTTACGGAGATAGAGAGTGAGTGCGTCTAGTAAATTGGTGTTGTTGTCCTAGTTTGATTTGAATCGAGTTAATTAACTGCGTGAGTTGTGGTTTCAGTAGTCAAACGTTGCCAAGAGGAAACCTTACGATTAGTTTGTGATTGAATTTAAATTTTTGCTTAAATGTTTGATTTGTTTTCTGCGCGCTCTCTGTATTTGTATAGCTGCTATCTATATAGCGGTAATAAGAGTTACGTATCTTTATTTACACTGGCTTGCTCTAGTTTTTGTTCTGTCCCTCTCACGTATATTGCGTTGTAAATATTTGCACGATTATCGAAAACATAAATATTCCTATTATTGAACACAGTAATTGCATGTTTTCGTCACCATAGCTCCCATGTACATAAATGTTCCCCCATCGCTTTCGTCTGTCATCGGGTTTTTTGTTCATCACTTTTCACTAAGATCGATTAAATGTCTTTTTGTTTCCGTTCCTATGTCCGACACTGTCAAACGCAGCGCGCAAAATTTGCATAAATAAATTCTAACAACATGCTTAAGCTATGTGTATGTGGATAAGTAAAAAAAAATACAATAATCATTTGAATACAGCTGCTTGCCATCGAACTTAGCTCACGTACGCGGTATAAATAATAAATTAAACATTTATAACTATTGCAACGCTACTCGACCTATCAACTATATCAAATTGTATATAACCGTATATAAATATGTCCTTTTGCTAAAAATTATTATTATTACTTGTTTTGTTTTTTGTTTGTTTGTTTGTTTGCTTCTCGCTTCGTTACTAGTCTAATGCATTAAAGTAATAATAACTGCGGATTATCAACTTGCTAGCTTGCCTTTTGTGTTAGTAGAAGAAAGTCGGGGCAAATACGCTATATACTCGTGTGTGTGGGCGTGTGTGTGTGTACCTATTCTCTAGTTAGATATTATCATAATTATTATCAGTATCGTTATCGTTATTACTTTATGTAGGTAAGCATAGTGTTACGGTTGGCTATTATGTACAACTGTCTGGGTGCTGGCTCTGCTTGCGCTTCGACTTTGGCTCCTTGGGATGCTGGTCGATCGACGGGCGCCGCGGATTGCCGAGCGTGACTAAGGCGCTGGCCACCGCCAGTCCCGCGGACTGACCAGACGGCGCCTGCGAAAGGCCACCTGCGTGGGAAAAGGGTTTTATAACTCAAATGCTTTAGGAGATTCTTAAAGATCCTTACCCGTGGGCAGCCGGACTAGAAGCGAGAGCACAGCGGCTCGGTTGCCGCTGCAGGGCTCTAAAGCAATGGGACTGGGGCATTCCTGTAAAAAATATACATAATATAGCAATTAGACATTATTAATCATAATAAAAATCTAATAATTGCTTAGAAATATATTACATACTAGCAAGCTTGAAGATATCAAGTTTAAATATTTTAATTACAGATTGGTTTAAATAAATAACTTAAGTTGCTTCTATCTTTGGAACCTAACCTTATAAGTATGGTGCGCTCTCGAATTATATTAAAATTTTGTTGTTCTTTTTGCATTATTAAATTGAAATGTTTTGGGTGAAGCTTAATTTTTCCAAAAATAAATTATTTCTTTATAGTTCTACGTAGATATCACAAATTTCTATAAAAAAACAAACAATCTTTATATGGATACTAGCCTTTAAAGTGACTCACAACATTTAATACTAATTTATTGATTGATTCGCCCACCTTTTTGCGTTTCTTGGACAAGTGGCCAATGCCCTCCAGCGTCAGACTTAGATCAATACTGTCGCGGTTTTCGATATCGACCAGCACCTGTTCGGAATCAAAGAGTTGAGTAACGGGAATCGGATTAAGTCTTTCTCTTCAGAACTCACCTGGGAAAACGGTCGACTCGCCATCTGTTCCATTTCGACGAAGAGGCGCTGACGCCGCCTGAACATGTCGTACCTCTGCTTGATCTTCCAGAGGACGGCGGCCATGAGCAGCAGCAGCAGGAAGCAGGAGGAGAAGGTGATGAAGAACTGCTGCAGATTGAGCTTGGGGTACTGGGAGAAGGCGATCTGGATCCATATCGGGGGCTGGAAGTCATGTACGAACACGTAGAACGTGGTCAGCGAGCTGTTGTCGTCCGCCGAGTGTCCGAACTGGTATTCTGTCTTGGCGAATCGATGCCGGAATGTTGAGCAGTTGACCCCCACCAGGATGAGCATGTCCGGCGAACCGGCCCTCTTCACCGAGATGTCCATCTTGGCCGGCACGCTGCACGTGATCGTAAAGTCCGCATCGATTTCCGGCTTGCCCGGTGAGTTGCGGAAGTTGATTTGCGTGAAATGCCGGTCCTCCTTCTTCGAAAGATTGAATGTGAACTGGTAGTCTATGGTCAGCTCGTAGTAGCAGGAGCCCTTCAGCGGATCCCCGTGGTAATGGTTCTGCGAGTCGCACTTCTCGCAGTGGTCACCCACAATGCCCTTGGTGGTGCAGTAGCACTTGCCGGTATCCGGATGACAATAGACGCCCTGGCCATTGCACTCGCATCGCTGGCACTTGCCACCGTTGATGGGGTTCCCCCAATAACCGGTGCGGCACTTCTCGCAGTGTGCTCCTGTCGTTAGATTGTTACACGGCTGCTCGCAGTGTTGCTGGTCGTTGCAGTATGAATGACCATTGCAATTGCATCGGGGGCACGACGTGAAGAACCAGTGTTTCAGCGCACACTCCGTGTCGTCGTAGGGCGCCAAGGCGCCACCCACTACGCATCTGCCGAGGCCCGTATTGGAGCCGTTGTCACACCAACCACACGCTGGATCGTCCAGGCACTGCTGACAGCTGTTGTAGAAGCCACACTGGGCACTAGAGAGTGCCGTGGTGCTGCCCACGCTCAGTGCCGTCGATTTGGTGGCCGGAGTTGAGCGGCACTTGGCCGTAAAGGTGGTCCACTCGCGGCACTGCCCATAGGGAAAACTGGCCGTATAGGCGTTGCGGTCAACGCAGCGCTGCTCGTTCTGGCACCAGATGCACTCATCTTCCGTGCAGTTCTGGCAATTGGTCAACGTCGAGCAAGCCGGTGCGCATGCTACCTCATCCTGCGTCCTGTTGGCTGCCATTCCCCCGCCGGATGAGTGACTCCGGCAGCGGTTCTGCTCCGAGTCCCAACGGCAGGCCAGGTTCGCCGAGCAGGCTCTACAATTGTGCAGCTGCTCGCAAACGGACTGGATCAGGTAATCCTCTGAAATGGGACAGGAATCCAGGTGCTTGGCATTCAGCGGAGGACCCGGCGTGGACACGGCCAGCTGGGTGGACGATTCAAAAAAGACGGAAGCCATTGAGGTGGTTTCCCGACATCGCTCCTTGATGCACACTCCGTTGCCGCAGTACGTGCAGCCGAAGGCGGTGGACACACAGGACTGGCAGCTGGCCAGCTCCTGGCAGCGATGCACGTCGTGCAGCAGCTCCGAGGTGAGCGTAAGCCGGCTCTTCGACGGACAGGCCACATAGTCGTACTGCTCGCGTCCATAGATGGCCGAACGCTGGACCTGCGTTATGGCAATGCAGCGCATCTTTTGTACGTCCCAGATGCACTTCAGGCCGGGACGAGCCGCCGTGCACTTCTCCTGCTTGGTATAGTAACTGCAGTAGCCCGGCTGGTAGCGCAGCATGTCGTTCAGCAGCTGGCCGTTGAAGCCTCCGTAGATGTACAGCGACTCCTCGAACACCACCGAGCTGTGGCCGAAGCGGGCCAGATCCGCCTGCAGGTGGCCCGGCATCGGATGGTAGTGCCACGAGTCGCAATACACGTCGTACACGAGCAGGTCCTGGCTGTAGCACTTCGCTCCGTAACTCTGCGAGGTATCGTTGTGCGTGTTTCCGCCGAAGACCATCATCAGGCCCTGGTTCACAAAGTTGGCCGTGTGCATGAGCCGGGCACTGGGCGCCGCAGAAAGCAGACTCCAGACTCGCGTGGCCGGCTCATAGGAGTACAGCCTCGAGCTCAGCACCTGGCTGGACTCGCTCTCAGACACGATGCCGCCGTAGACGTACACCTTCTCTGTGAGGAAGTCGTAGGCGGCGCTGTGTCCGTAGCCGCCCTTCACCACATACCCTGTGGTGGGAATGATGCGCCACTCCCGTGATCCAAAGTTGAACTCCTGCACCGTGTTGAGGTAGCCGTAGTTTGGCGAGTGGCCAAAGATGACCACCATGTACTGGTAGTTGTTCTTGTCCCCGAATCCGGGCACCAAAGTGGCCGTGTGGCCCACCACGTGCAGGGGTCCACACATGGCGGTGGTTCCGCCGGTGGCATTGCACGAGGGATCTGATCGAACGGAGATATTGGCCCAGGTTCGCGCGGAGACATCGAAGGCCCACAGCTCGTTTGTGATGCCCTGGCCCTTGACTACGCCGCCATACATGAAGATCTTGTCGCCGTACATCACCGTAGAGGCACCATAGCGTTTATCCGGCACCTCGCCACCCTCCTCCGGACGCACAGTCTCCCACACATTGCGGTTGAAGTCGTAGGTGCTCATTAGTTCGCCGCGTCCGTACGATTCTCCGCCCACAATGTGCAATGTGTCGCGCCAGACGGTGGCGCCATGTGAGGCGGTGCCTGCCGGCGCCGGAGAGTGTTTCGGGTGAACAGTGGTCCAGGCTCCATGGGCGCTGATCTGGCTGCAGTCGTCGCCGGCGAATCCCTCGTAGCAAGCGCAGCTGCACAAAATTAAAGGGTTTCGTGAGTAATTAATGTAATTGGCACTATTAGGGTTTCACTTTCAAAGTTACTCCCGATTTTTCCTCTCATATCTAGTTTAATTTACATTTTCAAGTTGGGTACATAAGTTAAGCAGCTACGTCAATTGCATTTAAAGCTTTAATTAGATGGGTGACTACGTTGGTGTTTGGTTTAAAAATAACTTGGACTATTTAATTGTTTTTAAGTGTGTTTTATCAGCATTAATTAAACCGGAATTATGGGTTTAAATTACGCTAAGGATGACGGAAAAGATAGAAGCAAGGCTCCGACATGCGATATATACAAATATTTACGTTGTTTTTTTATCCCTTAATGAATACCCAACTCACCGCTCTTGTTCGGGTAGGCAATGGCCCTGGTTCTTGGACTCCAAACAGTTGTTGGGACAAGCAGCAATGTTGCAAGCCTCGCCCCGGTACATGGGATCACAGATGCAGTCGCCTTCCCGGCACATTCCATGGCCAGAGCACTCAACCTCTGCAATGAGCCAAATATTAATAATCTTTAATTATAAGGATAGGTTTCTATCTTACCATCGCTATCCGAGGGACAGCCGTTCATCTTGTAGGTGAGGTTGAACCCTGACATATTGTAGGCATCGTCGCTAAAGAAGTGCACCAGGGCAGTGCCGGACCTGGCTATGACCTGCGGCACTCGGCGAATGGAGAAGTTGCCTCGATACATGAGACCACTAAAAGGGAAAGGATGAAAGGCATAATTGGTTTAATATTTATTTATTAGGTTTACAGACCAACTCACCTAAACACCGCCAGCAGGGGGGAGTCCACGCTGTCGCCATCGTATATATACAGGTGATCCCAGCCGCACTCAGTGGCAAATTCGCGCAGGTGGATCCGTATGTTGGCCGTTCGCGAGGGATTCGTGTTGTGGCGGCGGCTCCAGTGCGGGTGCCGGGCATCGATTAGCCAGCTGCACTTGACACTCACCGAGTAGTTGCCCCAGCCGTCGTGTATCGTGCCCATGGTATGGTACATGCTGTGAGATGTAAATGAAAATAGAAACGGGAAGAGGGGCGGAAAATCCATTAGCTTGGGAGGCGCAAGCAAAGTGGCAAAATAAATCAATTCCTCTATCGATTTAGCGATAGTGGAGCGCACATTGCCATCCGTCCACGTATGCAAATGGCGATGATTCGATGCTGTGCACAGATAATTGAATCTGCTGGCCAGCGGAATTGCAATCTCCAATTGATACGGCGAGATTGTGAACGGTATGAGCTACATATTATATAGTAGTACATAGTAAAGTAGTGTAGTGTAGCATGTGTGACCGAGCTGAAGCCTCAAAACTGTTGACTTGTTGGCGGCGATGGCAGCCAAGTCGCCATTGGTTCTCCAAGTCTCTGTGGCTTTTGTTCTGCAAGCGGCAGATTATGAGTGGGGAAAAGGTCTTGGACGGAATGCGACAACTTAAGCGCGAACATGAAACTCGATAAGGGTATTCGACAGTCGCGTTTTTGCGTCGACTTCCTTTGTTTGTCTTGCTTTTAGCTTAGCGTATTGTGTGCACATCCGCTTAAAAATAACTACTTTCTTCTGATTTAGTCGCTCTGATTTCAGTTCACAGCTGTGCCCGGACAAAGCCCAGTGCTCTGGTCAATTTAAATTAAAACCAAGCTCCCCTTTCTTGCCATAAGTTTATCCCTAACCTTAAGAATTAATAGGTCAAGACAGTTGAGAAATCAAACGAAATTCAATAGATTTTGATGTGTAAACATTTCTACTCCTATGAACAGCTAGCCGCAGACTTATTATAAAGATATAAGTGGTTGCGATATTATATGGTTGTTGCTCCTTACTTCAGATAAGAAGTCAGACTTTATTAAACAAAAACAGAGATTAATGCCAGTCATATAGTTGATATCCAGGCAAGGTATGGTACGTAATTTTAGATTATAGAAACTAAGCTTAGATTGAAACTTGAGTAGAATTCACATATTGATTCCCAATTCATTGTGTTCTACTTGCAACCAAAACCAAGTTTTGCAGACTCTTTCAAGATGTTTATTTATACACAAGTTAAAAACAATTAACTCACAAAGCTAGTGTACTGAGAGAAAGTGGAAACGGTTGCCTTCCGCATTCTAATGCAGCTCACGTTACACTGAGCAAGTGCCGATAAGTACTGCATATAGCACAGCTCACAGTCTAGGTCAAAACTATAGAATTAACCAAGATATCCTCATATTGGGAAGTATTTTTTAATGGGAAATCAACAAACGCCTTATATTATTAAATTAAATGTGTTTATTCTCAATGCATCTCCCTTTAAATTTATGTTTTTCAATTTGTCAAAAATGTGACAATATGACCTGTTCATGAAATACCGTTTAGGTGATATGTTATCAATTCTTAGGTGTTTTACGCAATGGACAATATATGGAAATATATTATTGTATTAGGAAGTCATATGAAAGCAGAAATTATATGATGGGAAACTAGCGTAATATTACTGATAACATTTCCTTATATCACTAAAAAAAACCCCGATTTTCCCTTATACTTTATCTCTCCTAGCTCTACGTGACATCATTCTGCCATATTTCTGTTGGTTAAGACCTAAAATGGTCTTGAAATTTCACCTTTTTAAGCCGATTTCTTGAATAAATAATTAAAACTTGGGATTTTAGGAACCTGCTATTATCTCATCCTCAACTGTATGAGCGTGCCTTGGTTGGGCGTCAATTCTCGGTCAGTTCTAAACTTTGAGTAAACACTTGGCCAGCCGGAATGCAGCCCGTGTCGCTGCCCCGTGCCCATGCCTGTGGGCGGCAATTCCATCGATAGCCACGAAAAATCAATGCTGGACAAAGATATATTTACACTCTCATTGGCAGCCGGCGGGTGAGTCACACTCTGTGCACTCGAGCGCTAAGCTTACGCACGGCTTTCGAGCTTGAAGCCTAGGAATCGGGAGCCGGTAGCTGGAAGCCAGACCAGATGACCAGGCGTCCTCGTCATGTGGCCAATGGTCTGGAATGCATTTCGGAGGGAGTGAAGGTACGGGTTGTAGGTAAAACCAGTTTGATTGCGCCCAGTTTTTGTCTCGGATTTTGCATAGAAAGCCGGCAAATGCTGCTGCTGCTGCTGCTGCTCCCTCTCATGGCATTTCAATTGGAATCGTGTGCAAACAGAGACAAGAGGGTGGAGCTGGTGGGCTGGAATCGTGAAAATTCACAGGCGATAAGCGGGCAACAACAGCTGATAAGAATGTTAGTGAGCGAGTTTGGTTATCGGGGGCGTAAATCGAACGAACGGAGTGAGTGTGTGGCCCCGGAATTTACGGTCCGTTAAACGCAGGTCGAGATCAGAGGTTTCTACAAAACCGAACTGGTTCCGATGGTGTGGCAGGTGAAACGACCTCAATGCTCGAGTGCGCAAATTCCCGCGCTCATCACAGCACTGCAAACGGAGGGCTTAATTAATGTCAAGATAGAACATTCGCTTATCGTGCTACGCGAACAAATAGCCGTTGTTAAGAAACATAAACAAACCATTTCATAAGCTTTATGACGCCAGCGTGAGCAACCAAACTGGCCCAGTGACATCTCTTACACATGTATCTACAGTATAATCGTGGGCAAAAACTATAAAAAATGCTTTTCACAGTGTCATCTTAACTTTTAAATATTACTTTGTCTTTATGGAGAACAAGTATTTTGATTAGGATCATAATGTGATCATTAACTAATGTATACATCTATTAAATTATGTGGTATGCTACCCCATTGTAATGAAAACTGTTCTACAAATATATCAAGTGGGTCAAAATGTGAATTTAAAAGCTCACAAATTGAGGTATTTTAAGGAAAGTTCTGTTTTTGTTTATATAATGTAAATATATACATACATATATGAATATTTTTGTATTTTGCCTCCCAGTTAACAGATAAAATGGTATAATTAATTAATGAATTATTGCCATGTTTTGTAATTAATTTGACCTTTAAAAGGCAAGCGTCTGAATGGCTAAAAGTTACACAATGGTTTCTGACAACTTAAGCTCAAGGTAGATTTTAGAAACTTGAAAAACAGAGGTTTAACGACTTCAAATCAAATTTCTGTATATCATATTAATTATTATTTGTAAGCTTAACAAAATATTTTGTATTTCTAAAATTAAATCCATCCTTTTTATATTTTACCCAATGATAATATGGAGCTAGCTACAATAAGATAACAAAGAGATTTCTTAACAACATGGAGTAAATTATTCTAAGCGTTGAAATATTTCACTTCATATGTAGTTTTGTAAATAAACATTTCAATCCTAAACAAGTTCACTGTACTGAACGTGCACTGTAAGATCAATGTTTATGCCTCCCAAAACGGGTTCTGCTTTCAAAGACATTGAGATGGGAAAGTTCGACCATAGATAATATAGAACTATTCATTGTGGAGGCCAATAGACATGTTTCCCGCTATGAATAAATGCTGTGCTTATGACATGTGACACCCAATTAGACCCTGAGTGTACCTGGATATCCCCACAAGGACTCCATATGGTTGAGGGCCCTCTGTCAGGGCGACAAGTTCAAAGTCAAATCGAACTAATTAAATAATCCGTATTGGAAGCAGCAGGAGGCGATGGAGAAAGCAGAAAGCAGGTGAAAGAATGCACACTGTGAGGCAGAGGCAGAGGGAGAGAGCGAGCGAGCGGGAGATTAAGAGAACGAGAATGGGAACGGGCAGTGGAGTGCTGTGCTGTGCTGTGGAGGCCAAGAACCCGTCCGACGAGATGAAACGGAACCGTTGCCTGACACAAATAGGCCAGGCCACACCAAAGCCAAAATAAGAAAAAGCGAATTGAGCGCCGCTGATTGAATAACGTGCCATGAATCACAGTTTCTCCCGGATAACTACTCACCGCACTTTTCCGCCGCAGAACTGGCACTCGGGACCCTGCCAACCGTCGGCACACAGGCACTGGCCATCCTCCTGGCACTGCCCATCGTTCTGGCAGCGTCCGCCGTGTGCCGTGCAGTTGAAGGCACTGGCCCGGTGCAGGCCGCTGAAGCAGCCGTGGAAGAGGAGCAGCGTCAGCAGGAGCAGGCATTTTCGCCTATATTTGGCGTTGAAGGTGGGCGAGGTGCTGCCGCCCCGCTGGCCAGCGGATGGGATACTGCTCCGGGCGGGGTGCTCCGCCAGGCACATGATTTGACGCGTCCTTGTTTCGCCCGCAGCTCGCCAGCAGCTTCACATCGTCGTCCTGGGGCAGCAGGTCTTCGATTTTCGCATAGCAGCGACTATTGCACAATTTTTTTATTTGGGTTTTGGGCTTTTGGGGCCTCTGCTGTTCGCAGTTGGGGGATCCCAAGGCCAGTGGCCAACACACACTTTCACACACTGGCACACACGCACACGCACGCGACTTGCTGTTTAACAAATAAACGGAGAGGAGGACACAAGTGTAGGCGATAAATAAACAGCAAATTTCTTCGTGGAGCAGCACGTAGGGTTGTCGAAGATATATCAAAATATCAGTATATCGATATATAGGCAAATATTTAATCGCGATGTGTTTTGAGCAGATGTATCGAGATATCGATATATTTATAATTATAATTTTATTATATGAAAAGCCGATGCGTTTGAAAAGATGCCTACAATAATTCTGATTTATATATTCAATTAAAATATCAATCATATAGCCAGCAGGCGAAATTTCAAGATATTGGAAAAAAGGCTTATATCAACTTTTAAACTGTTATAATCGGGGTTGATAACATTGCTAAGGTAAGGAACATGGCTAAAGAGCGCGCAACGATGAAGTTAATTAAAATCGGGGCATTAAAAAATTTAAGTTTAATTGCAAGAATGTATATAATTGATTATAAAATTCAGTTAACAACAGAATTTTCTTTTATAATTATTAATTTTTATGCCATACCTGTAAAATAACAAATTAAAAGAGAAACGAAATATGCTACATCTAACCTGAAATAAGCTTTTCCCCGCCAACCCCAAAAACGGCAATTACCATCCTAAATACAAAGTCTTAGTCGACTCCCGGTGCATCGATTCTATTCGATCATTTTAGAAATCAAATCGATATCCGTTAAAAAGAACAACAATACCGTAAATTCCGTCAGTTTGACAGTTATGGGTGATAAGAACTATGCAGACATGCGCAGGCGCGCTCTTGGAGCTTTTCCGCTTTTCCAACCCCACTAGCGGCAATACCATCCCAAACAGTCCACGTTCGGACGTTGTTGCGGCAGTGTGCTAACGGGAATTTCTCCACCAGTGCTGCATGTGCGTTCCGTGTGTGTGTGTGTGAATGTGTGCGTTAGCGGATAAAAAGGAAGTGAAGGAAAAAAAAGAACGGAAAACGAGAAAAATAACGGGAGCGTCTGCCCCAAAACAGTTGCTAAAACACACTCGAAGCGGTTTATTCATATATGCAGCACTTTTTCGGTGCAAAAACTGTAATTCAATTGAATCCAGCCTTCGCCCAGCACAGCAGAGCAGCGAGTAGCGTCGAGAGACGCGAGAGGGGCGGTGACGACACAGGTGAGTTGTGGAATTCCGTTGTCCCCTTGGCTGGCAAATATCCTTTTTATCCCGGCAACGGTGACGATGGTGGTGGTTTGGATTTGGCCCCCTGCGAGCCATGGACACTGGGAATGTCTGTGCACTACAGTTTGACTTCCGTAAATCGAACTGAAATTGAAAGGACTCGCGTCATCGAGTCCTGTCCCTGTAAAACAAATATTCTTGCATTCTCAATGAATTTGTAGTTCAACTTGCAGAGGTTTAGGAGACTTTAGTAATGCAATGGGAAAAATTCTTCTCAATGTAAATTTACGATATTTGTACGTATACGTAATATCAGAAAACTCCGAGTTAAAAGGTGGTTATTTTTAAAAATGGTAATGCCAATATCTGAATATGGATTGTATTTGAAGTATCTTGATCTTATATATATCCAAAAGAGCTAAAATTCTAAGCTTTAAAAATTTATTATGGGTTTAATAAAGTCTGCTTTTCGATTTTTAAAGCAAATGTCTCGTGAAGAATTCTATATCTTATTCAGAAAACTATTGTAACTTTGGATATATTGGTTTTATGTTTTGAAATTAATTGATTTCCGATTAAACAGACCGCAGAGCAACTAACTAACTATTATCTTAGAAGAGTCCGATATTCATAGTCCTACGAGGCTTTACTATATAAGGATGATTTGTTATACTTTTTTGTGTTTGTTGTGGTAACCAGGAAAACACCTTGAGCACCACCGCAATTCGTAGAACTCAGGGCTAATTAAAGGTGTTTTTAAGCCACGGCCATGTGGGTTAATTTTTCCATTGGTTAAACGCTTTTTATCAGCCCTATTTGCCTGGGGCTCTCTGCTGACTTAAATTTGTTGCGTTTCGGCTTCGTTTTTAGTTTCGGTTGAGTGAGCTGCCCACGCACGTTTTCGATTAATCCGCATCAAACACCCAATGACAGTGAAAATCGATCGGCATTGGCTTTCCTCGCTACATGTGTGTGTGTGTGTTCTGATGGGTGGAGTGTGTGTGTTGTATGTTTTTCTTCGTAATCGAAAAACGACTCCGGCGGGAGAAATACGTACGTATGGCCGGAGAAGTGGCAATCAGGAGCACGCCTATAAAAAGCGCGTGGAAAATGCGTGCCGAAATTGAAATTCCGCTAGTTGGTCAGCTGGAGCGATAAGCATTTAAGCCACATAACCGTTACATTTACATGGGGGCGACAGCTGGACGGCGGGCGCCACATTAGGTGCACTCTAAGAAAAACCAGGACCTGAATTTCCATTCAAATTGGGATCATAAAAAAGGGAAATTTATTAAAAAAAATAATCAATTCAAAAAGAAATTCTTTCGAAAATATTTATTAAATTTTGTATTTTTCTTTTGAAAATGTCCAAACTATTTATTATTTTTTCGAGTGTGCATGTGTGTTGGGGCCGCAATTTCTCAGTTTGCATAATTTAGATGCCTTGGCGCCGACGTCGACTGCAGCAGCGACCGGCTCTGCCAACGTCAACGTCCACGTCAACGCCTACGCCAGCGCCAATGTCTTGTTCTTGGGGCTTCTTCGTCTTCTTCTTTGCCTTCTCCCCGACTGCTCTTTGAGAAATTATTTTTAAGTTTGTGTGTGCTTGAATGCTGGCGCGGGTGTGTGCGTTTGAGTGTGTGTGCCAATGTGTGTTAGCGTTGCGTTGGCGCTTGGCTGCCAAGGTCATTACATTTTGTCTTATTTTGCTGCGTTTTAGTTTCCCAACCCCATTCCCCCACAAACCGCATTTTGCGTTAACAGGTCAGCTTCGATAAGATGAATTTTCAGATAAAGTTGAAAACGAAATTTACAAAATTAAATTTCAAATAAATAATTTCATTGAGAATCTTTAAGATAAGGCAGAAAGTCATGACAATAGATGCTAATTTCGAAAATGCAAAATGTCATATCCTTGCATTAAGAATCGATCATAACTAAGTCAAATATGCATTAATTTTCAATCAGAAAACTGTTCTATACTAGTTTTTATTAATTAATTAAACAAATTAAAATTTTTTGTTCGATTTTTTTTTGGCAATTTTAACGATGTAACCCCTTATTAAAATTTTGAAAAAAATAAATTTTGGACAGACATAGCTAGATCGACTCGGCTGTTGATGCTGATCAATAATATATATGATTTATAGGGTCGGAAATGACTCCTTCAGTAAGTTTCAAGCTTTTGACTGAAAATTTAATACCCTGCAAGTTTCAAAATAGCCATCTTTTGGTAGCTTTTTTTTGTTTGCATATTTCTAACGATAACAAAATCGGAATATTAAAGTTAGTCACAGAAGTTGGACTGTATTTCTCGCGATTTGCATTATATAATTTGAGATGGCGGCGGGAGGACAATGTGGCAGGGCTTTTGTGGCAAGTTCAAGTGCAGTTTGCTCGATTTGCGGTTTTTTTTTTGTCCGAATGTTTTGCCAATATTTTCGCCATTGACAACAGGCGGCTTTGCTGTTGCTTTTCCATTTTTATATATTTTTGTTGTTACTTCTGTTATTGTTATTATTTTTGTTATTCCTTGCCTTGCCAATATCAGAATCTGGCATGTTGATTATTTTGCATAACTGAAGCAGCGGTAGCAGCGCCACCGAATAATGGAAAAATTGTTTATATTGTCAAGGAGAGGGCAAAACGCACCCGGCAACAACCGCAGCAAAAACAACGGGCGGGAACGAAAAAGAGAGATACATTTGGGTAACTGTAGCGCCATTGAGGCGCACAATTTTCCCCAACATTTTCCGAGCGGCGGGGCTCGAGGGTTAGGTTAAAGTAGAAACAAATTATGCGACACACCCCCAACAGCTCCTAACCCCGGGACAAAGTCAATAAACAAGCGGCAACAACTACACGGACAATGGATGGAAAGCAGGGAGTCCGTCAGGATTGGTTCACTGCAAAAAAATGTAGCCTCCAAAACCTTAAAATTTGTGATATTGAAATTGTTATATACTGGAAATTAGAAAATTAAACGTGTAGAGTAGTTTATTCCATTATTAAAAGAGGTTTTGAATTATATAATATTCTAATTTCACTGCTTATAAAGTAGCTCTTCAATAATAATTGAAAAAAGGAATAGAAGTAACTTCGCCTTTTATTTATTAACTTTTTAACTTGTTGGAAATTTTCACTTGCTAACTATATCTACCTTTAAATTGTTTTACATTTAGTTCTCCTCGTAGATTTCATTAAATAGTTATTTTGCTTTATACATTTCTTCAAGTGTAGGAATTTCCCCAGTGCCCCCAGAAGCCAACCTCCACTTTCCTTTTGAGTCTCCATTAAAGCTCAGTACACACATAGAGACATTCGATGTAGCTCTGGCACCCCAAAAGAGAGGGGTTTTTCCAACCCAAAACCCACCCACACACTCCATTCCTCCCATTCCTCCTTCCCCAAGGGTGCGTATTTGTCAATGTTGCTTTCCTTTGCTGTCATTTATTTCGTCATTTATGCAAAATTTTATTGCTTTTTCTTGTCTTTGGGTGCTTTTACCCGCGCATCATCCAAAGAGGAAGAGTTAAGGAAAAAGGGGAGCGGTTTGCCAATTAAATGCATGCACGTAAATGGTGTCGCCTTCTGTTGTTTTCCCACTTTTCCCACTTTTCCTATTTTTTCTTATTATATATATTTTTCAAACGCATTTCTTGTGCTTGCTGGCGTGTGGCTAATTAAAGCGAATGCCCCATGGGCAGTTGAAACTGAACTCGCAACAATTACTCGGTTGCCTGCAGCCCCCCATTGGGGGACGGAAGAAAATTAGAGGGGGGAAAGCGGAAAAGCGGGCTTTGAACTTGCCTCAATCCCACTGGGTGCCTGGCATGCGGCACACAACAAAGCGGATACATAATTAGGGGAAATTTAAAACCAGGAACAGTAGGAACAGGTCCTTCTTCCGAACAGAGGTTGCAGGAAAATTGCATGAAACTGATTTGATTTAAGTCTCTTTTGTGATAGGAAAGTTGGGTAGTTTTTATTTTAAATCAAGAAAACTAGCTTGATTATTCTTATAAAAGCAATCAAGAATCAATTGAAAATTAAGCCATTCTCAAGTAATTCAAATAATTGTTCTTTTCTGGAATAAATTTACTTTGAATAAGAACTCACAGATACTTGTACTTGCTCTATATGTTATTAAAATATATTTCGTAATTAAAAGTAGATTTCCAAATTGGAAATTTTCTTCTCACCAAGGGCTCTTGATTTACGAGCTACCACTATACTAAACAACCAAACACTTGGCTTGGGAGCAAAGGCTGAATTAAGTGCTTTCCCGATATATGTGGACATGTAAATATATGTGTATATAGTATATATTACATATGATATGTGTATGAATTTTCCTGCGACCAACGTCACGAACCCTTCGAGGCGAGGGCAACGCACACGAGTTCCGAATTGGGCACAAAGTTTTTCGCTTGCCTCCACTCGACTCTCTGCTATTTGGTCTTGTTTCATGCACCGCTGCACTTTCATTATACTACATGCAAAGGAGCAGCGAGCCGAGCTAGTTGCAAGCGGTTCAAGGACATTCCCAGCCCGCTGACAGCAATAACAATTGCAAAAAACCACGACAGCGACAAGGAAATATGAACAATGCCAGCTCGTTAGGTAGATGAAAAGCATGATGAAAATGAAATAATTGCGAGCATTCAAATTCAGTCCTGGCCCAAGGATCAAAAGCAAATTGCCACAATTAATTCGCCGACAGGATGGAGAGACATGCGCCGAGGATAAAAAAGTAAATCTGGATTTTAGCGGCATTAAGTGGGGTCCAAGCGACTGTCCATGGCATAAATAAAAGCACATTTTTGCATTTGCGGTAATAGTGGGTGTGTGGGGGGGGGAGGAGAACATGTTAATCCGAAATAAAGTGACGTAACCATAAGTGGCCATTAACTAAATAAAGTGTGTGTGTGCAGCTTAATCCTCTTATAAATATGAGTGTGTTTTAGTGAAATGGGCCATGTTTATATGAGCTAAGATTTAACATTGAGTATTTGCATAATTTAGCTTTGTTACTTGGATATGTGATTTTCAATAAATTATACTATGTTTCCTTTAATATTTACATTCTTAATATAAAATCCTAATGAGTTTAGAGACATTTTCACAGTTTCTTTTGACAAAATATAAGCTAAATTTCCAAGTAAGACATTTTCCAAGTTGAGTTTTGCAACTCCCACTGTAAGGATAGTTACCACATGCCAAAAATTATGCTATATCCTGCAAGAAGGGCAAAAAGTTTTACCGTTGAAACGGCATTAGAAGTAACAACATCAACGGCGGCAGCAGCAGCAGCAACAACAACAGTTACGACTACATAATAGTTAAGCGCCTTTCAGCCAACTGCGTACTACGTTGCGTATACGCAATCCAATTTCGGCAGCTTAATTGCAGCAGCCGAAGGGAAACGAACTAAAGTTTACTTTTGTTTTTTGGATTTCTATGTGTGTTCCGCCCCCGCTTCTTTCCACATAATTAACTTTTAATGGCAAAGCCCAAACAAATCCTATCCTCGTGCCAAAATGGCGTTGTTTGCCCCCTGAACTTTAACGATTGAAGGAGGTCAGAGCGTGAAATTATCGCTAAACAAATTGAAATATTTGTCTGAAATTCGATCCGTTTTATTGGATAATTAAAATATTTACACAACGCTTCTCCCTTCGATTGTTGCAATTGCACGAATAACAAAATACTTGGCGAATCGATTGAGTAATCTTTTACAGAGCAATTTCGGCTTATTTATTCGGAAGTTTAACTCTTGGCCATTGCCCAAGGCTGATGGCACCATTGTTGACGGTTAAATGCATATTTCATGATGTCTGGCCAGGCTGTCCGCTGCACACCTGCGAAGAATTTCCCGGTCTGACTGGCATTTCGACAGGTTTTCCGCCACCGCCGCCACCTCAGCTATTTTCGTTACTTTGCAGCGTTATGGCGGCCATGAACCGCACACGGCTAAAAAGTGCTCAATGTCGCATAAAAGCGCCGAAAGGCAAAGGCATAAAGCAGGTGACAGGGGCAGGGGCAGGGGCAGGGGCATGATTGCATGGCATCGTCCAGGATGGAATGGCAGATGGTGGTTGCTGGGTGGAAAAGTGCAGGTTGGTGGCCGCTTGCCACGTTGAACAATTTAAAAAGCAGCCGAACAATGGCTGTCTGGCTGCAGAGTGGCGAAAGTAACACGTCCCGCACATGTGCCCCATGGCGAATGTGCAATCATTCATCTCGTGAACTACTCGAGAATGCATTCCTACCGCTGTCTGTGTCTCGCATTGAAATGGAATTCGGAGGACTCTTCAATTTATAACGAGTTTGTAGTAGTTGGCTTTTTATCAATATTTAAGCAGGCAAAAGGGCCATTGCCGAAAAGTATTCATACCCAAGGATTCCATTAGTTGGCATTCGGTCTTTGTAGTGATCCTTGTGCTGATGACGGCTTGCCCCCGGGGCGTATACGCAATCAAAAATGGTATATAACATGTCAAATTCAATCAGACAGAGAGCAGGATATAATTGAAGCAAATGCGTGTGTATGTGTGTGTGCTTTTGTCTGAGCTCTGCTCCTCCTGCCTCCCCACTTTTCCCAACCCCAAGCGATGGCAGAGTGCACTGAGAGAAAAATAAAGACACCAATGAGATACATTTTAATTTGTCTAATGTAAAACAGCAGGGATATGAAGAATTGCAAATATATCTTTATGATGCTTTAGGCTTTTCTTTTTATAAAAATATATAAATAAAGTAACCTTTATAAAAGCTATATTTTCCTGATGTCCATTTCTTTCACCTTAAATAAAATCAAACCAAAATGAAAGCTAAATATTTTTGTTATCATAACTCTAACAAGTTTGAAACCTTCTCCTTTACTGTTTAAACATTAATTCACAGCTTGAATGTTCTTGGTATTATTTGTCCGTGTACGGACAGACCGCCTACCTAGGACCAAGTATACAAACAAATTCTCAGGCGAGACGGAGCGGGGGAAGCCAGTCAGGCAGTCATCAAACGAGACAACAGACAGCAGCAGCCATATCAATTATTCAGGCATAATTTGAAACATTCCCGTACTGAAGGAGAGCTGCTCGTCTTTGCTCTGCTCAGCAAGGGATTGGGATTGTTTTCCTTTGCCCAGAGCTCTTAGCATCGCTCAACTTTACTCGACTTTGTGCCTCTACAACTTTCTAAATAATTTAAATGAGTGGCGTAGGGTGAAAGTGACAAGACACTTTTGACAACATTTATGGCATTTTAAATATTTTTCAATTCGTGGAGAGTACAGACATAATTTCCTAGAATAAATCGAGCATACAATCTCAATTTGAATTTGAATTGTTAACAGCCTATTAAAGCGGCTTATTCTTTTCCAGTCAAGAAACGATTGAAGAATCCTTTGAACTAATTGGTTAATTTTGTAAAGGTTTTCTAAGAAATTATTATTCATTTAAGTGACTGAACAGTGCCATAGGAAGGTAATAAATTCGCTTTCCTTCTTTTCTTTTCTTTCCACCTTCAAAAGCCACTCCATCTCTTCAGGTTTTAACCCTTTTAAATTCATTTGTAAAGAATTAAGTACTTTGTAATTATTTTATTTAGCTTGCCATGCTCATAAACTAAGTTTTGGAAAAGCTAAAGTAACCAAATTATCAAAATTTAAACTTCAGCCACCGAGGCATTCGACTTCCGCTAAAAGTTTTCAACTTTTGCAGGAATATACACATACAAACGTGCACGAATATGTAAGCCATTTGCTAAAGAGCATTTTTATGAGTCCTGTGCGAGTGTGTCTGTGGGTGTGTATGGGTGAGTGGGTTATCCGGGTTATCCGTGCGAGTGGCGGAGCAAAGGCAGATACGACACATCCACTTTCCCACTAATACCAATTAGTGTGCCCTGCAAAGTATGCTTCAAATTATGTCGTGTACGTGGTAGTGTGTTGTGTGTGTCCTTCGAGCTCTTCCTGCGCCATTCGTGTGCAATTTGTCAACCCTTGAGGGAAGTGGAAAGATGAAGTTGATACCCGAAGCACGGTGAACATATGCCGGGGACATCGTTCCACCCGTCGATAAATCCCCGTACAAAGCACAGCCAATGACCCGCAGTAAGGCAGGGTTTGCCTGACAATGTGTGTGTTTTGGCCTGATAAGGCACCAGTAACAACAGCAACAACAACTAAAACAACACGAAGCGTAATAATAACAACATTGGCAGCACGAGTGGGCCAACAAGGAGCAACAACAACAACAAGAACGACTCCATTTGGCTTTCATCGTAAATTAGTTATTGGCATGTTATACTAAACGATAATGAAACCCCATCTATTTTCCTCCTCTGCTCTTTTCCTTTTAGCAACATGTGTGTGGCTTAAATCAGCGTACAGCAACAACTGAAACCGAACGAACTTGAGGAAATAGCTGGCCTTCGCTTTTGGGCCATAAAATGCATTTACATTTCGAGCGGAACATCAACACAAAATGCGACTGCACGATACTCTCGTTATCATGGATGGGAAAGGTGCCAGATGATATACCCGAGGTAAGTACTTGTGATATTCGACCATTGACAATTGTCCATGCCAAAAGCCATTAGTTTTGATACTTAACAAGGCAGCACGGAGAAAAATTAAGGGGGATTCTGAGAGTTTAATCATTTTCAGTTTATATTATTCCCATTTACTTTTTAATCCTTATTCAAGGGTTATTCTTTTGAGAGATCCTTGTTTCCTTAGTGTATTGACTGGCCTTTTCGGTCTCATTTGTTCAATGGCTCTCGGTGTAATATTAATACAATAAATACTGAACAAAGTCCATTAAACTGTCGGACACTTTAAACTGTCAGGCGAAACTATTAAGACCGAATGTTGGCCATTAGCCGGAATGGATGAGTGGGGTGGATGAAATGGATTCTAGTGTTCAGAGTGTGAATGTGTGTGGTCAGCTCATAAATTGGAAAGTGGCTTCGGCTCAGTCGAGGTCATGGAAATTTCATACCATCCCCGGCATAAGCTAGATGATCTCCATGCAGCCCCACATTTCACACATGCCCAAAGCTTACACACCGGAAGTGCTTAGGCGCTACCCCGCGGCTTTTTGGCTTGAAGCGGTACCTATTTATACACCTGACCATGGATGTGGCCGTGTGAAGGACAACGCGGCAGGTGTCGCAGGGCGCAGGGGCGAAGGGACTCCCTAATGGCCACGTTGCACTCATTTCGGGCTCCAAATTGATTTTACACGCCACGTGTGGGGCAAAGCTCAAGCGGAAGAGAGTGAGGGTTTTGGGGTCTGTCTATGAAGGTGCCGACCGTCTGAGTGGCCGTAACTTTTCCAATCATTATGAACTTTCAATGCTTGCACAACAAACAGCCATATAATCCTTTTTATATTGAATATAAAAACCCAATCACGTCTGTCTCGGCAGTCTTAACCGGTGAGGTACTCCACTTACCTCCTCCGCCGTGTTTTGTAGCGCAAAATTAAAGTTAAGTGAATGCGGCCCACGCAGCCTCAAGTGGATCCTCGGTCTGTCGGTCTGCGGTCCTTTTCTGAGCCCAATATATGCAGGATGTTGGATGTTGGATGAGTGGTTAACTTGGGATGGGGTGTGGTTGGTTATGCTGGTTATCTCGACGTCTCCTTTGAGCCATGCTGCACACAGTTCGAGCAATAAACCCATTTTGCGATTTGTTTAACAGTTTTCAATTTTGTTTTCAACACGATAGGGATACACTTAGAACATTGAGTAACTTTTATTCATCATCAAGCAAGGCATCTGAAGTATATATGAAATACTTAACATTCCCTTTCCAAACCCTGATATTTTTAAGTGTATTTCCAAGGAATGTGTTTGTGTGGCGACGGACACGTGTCGAGGTTTGTGAGAGAGACGCGTGTCTATCCAACATGCAACCCCATCATCTCCCCCGAAAACCTTCCCATTTCCGTTTCCATTTCCATTCCGATTACGTTTCCATTTCTGTTGCAAGTGCGCTAAGCCACAAGCTTAATTCCTTGTTACGCCTTTGAGCAATTTACGGGCGATAAGCAGCAATATTGCCCCTTCCAAGGCAAGTTCGAACCCATCGGGGAGTTGTCCTCATTTCCATTTCCTTCACGCATAAATCATCTCAGCGAGGGGATGAGCGAGTGCATATTAAAACAAGCGAGAAATATTCCGAAGTGATTTTTTAAGTACCCGCCTTCCCCTCTCTCGAAAAAGGGAGTCAAATTTTGCTTGGGGATCATAATATTTTAACAACTGCACTGCCATTAATAGAATATTGATGATGAAGTGCGTCATCGTCGCTGAGTGCGTTGATTTGTTGGCGTTCCGCTTGAAGTAGAGAAAAAGGACAACATCCTTAGAGACTCGCAGGAAACTCAAACAATGCCGAGGCTGGACTACATGGGATTCCTTAGCTCCTTCGCTCTTTTTTCCATCATCCCAAGGGTTGAGCAACTGTCGCGGTCTTTTCGCATAAATTGACGCAGCAAATTGACATGCCAGCGGACAAGGACACATCCTCCAATCATAAAATGTAATTTAATAGCCAGCCTTCTCCCTTCCCTCTGGCATATGACACACATGTCGGTTTTTTTTTCGGAAGGGAAATCCCCGGGTTGGGCATCAAATTTTTTCCTTTCTGGCGATTTGGCTTTATGCAAAATCCATAACAAATGAAATCTAATGATAACTAAATTATGAGAAGTTAACAAAAAGTGGAAACTTTCTGGAACGATTATGAGGGAAAATGCTGTATTGAGACGTGTGATTGTGTACATTAAGACAGAGAAGAGTTTGTTAGAAGGTATCTTAAAGTAGATTCTAGACTGCATTTTACGTGATACCTTAGTTAAGACTCCTTAGTTTTTATTGACTATTAAAATAGAAAAGGTTATAAGAAACATCTTAAATTTCCTATTGAATGTCTTAAGAATCTTATTTGTCTTCTTTGAATGTCTTAAGAAAGGTTCTTTGGTATATTTTAATATCTTAACATAAACAAGAACGAAAAGTTAATATTCTCTTTAAGCTTTCAATTTAATTATAGAATTGTATCGGGAATCACTCATAAATAAGCTTAATATTTTTCGCATTTTTTAATGAAAATATTTTGGACAAATCAAAGTTAAAAAAAATTTCATAACTTTTCCAAAAATGCATTAATTTCAATTTAGAAATCGCTCTTATGCTAGTTTTTATTGCGTTTATAAATCTGCATACTCCATTTAAAATTTAAAAAAATTAAAATTTTTACCAATTTTTGACAATTTTAGCGATGTAACCCCTTATAAAATTTTCAAAATTTTGAAAAATTTTAGTTTTTGCCGGAGATGGCTAGATCGACTCGGCTGTTAATGCTGATCAAAAATATATGTGATTTATAGGGTCGGAAATGACTCCTTCACAAGTTGCAAGCTTCTAACTGAAATTGAAATACCCTGAAAAGATATAAAAGGCATTGCATATTTTATGTATTAAACTCCACCTATTTATTTGAGTTTTTTGCCATATGATTAACAATTTCGAGAAGCACTGTAAAATAACTGCCTACCATATATATATTGCCCGCCAGTCATTTAAATTGCCAGCGGCAACTGGGAATGTATTTTACATATTTATGGCGAGCTCAAGAGTATGCCGTATTTTTATGAACTTGCCTCGTCTCGGAAAAACTTTTAATAATGCAAAAAGAATAACAATTTCTACTCAGGCTGAAGTGGAACACGCTGCTGGAGCTGAAGATGAAGCTGAAGCTGATGGCGATGCTGATGGCTTTTAGCTGAAATGGTTCACTTAGCGTAATTAACTTGGCAACTGTTGATGAAGCCGGCAAATGTAGCCATAGCTACACTATAGAGTTGTGGAATTGGTAGCAGCATCATTAGCAGCTCACCATCATTAATATTTGCCAGTGCCACTGACACAGGACAATCCGTAAGGATCTCCCCAAACCATTTTAGCTGAGCTTTAATTACGCGCAGTAAAAAAATAATTGAGTTCTTTTCAATCTTTGTGCGCGGCGACAGTTGAGTGGCTCTGCTTCAGTTTCTGCTCCTGTTCCTGTGACTCCTGCTGCTGGTCAGTGACCACAAAACCACTTGAATAGCCCTCGGCCAGCCACTGGCTAATTATGTGCAGTAGACCATTATGCTCGCAGTCGCGCATTTTGTGCTGGCGGTGCGTGCTCTAAGTTAATTTCCACCGGATCATGAGAATGCCAAGCTACCGCCACCTTTCCACCATTTTCCGAGCTTATTGTTAGCCAGCAAATGTTGGTTCCCAACTAAAGAGCTAGGTATATTGAAATAATTAAATAAACTACATATATTCAGGCGCTTTTAGCAGTTTAAATATAAGCTAAATAATGCTTATGTTAAAAGGAATGATAATATTCATAGTTCCGGCAAATAAAAGTCTTTTCTGGTTAGTCAAGCAAAGGATATTGAATTCTAAGGACAATTTAAACAGTAATCTAATGAAACCTTTTCAATTCTTTCAATAAATCCAAAGATGCAAGCTTCTAGATAGGGTAAAGAGTATTAAGACTTGTAAATAGTTCTCCAGCTAAGCACAGCTAATACCCATAGTTGTGGAAAGCATTAAATTCCTCTTGAATTTTCCTCTTTAAAGCCCGAAACTTTTTGCCACCCCGTAAGTATGCAACGCAATGTTGAAAACTCATTTTCCCTCTAACGCACATACATACTTCCATTCGACGGCGTGCTCACGCGTAATAAATGTATTACGTGCCCGCTTGTGGTAGTGATGCCCCCCTGTATAGTCCACCACCCCAAAGAGGCTTATTTGGGCAGGAACCGTGGAAAGCTGCCCTCGGAAAATATCCGCAGGCCTCTGTTTTGTTACGCTTGTTGAACAGGTGCCGATTACAAGTGCCAATTTCGTAGCTGCAAGTTAATTGAAAACTTTTTAATTGTTTAGGCAGCGCAAAACACATCTCGAAACAGACTTGGCTTAGTTCTAAGGGCCCTGATTTACGACCCAGGCCTGTCGCTGACAGTTTCAATTAGAAGGCGTCCCGTTCAGGCCAAGGACGTGGTTCTTTGGTTGGTTGGTAGATTCCCGAGCGGCGCCACTTTGGCAAACAATCGAGACCAACGGCCACATCCTTCCTTTTGGATAAATGAGCTTCTGCACTTTCGCCAGTTTGTTCTTGGTTCTGAAAACTGTAATTTAATGTGTCCACATAGCAGCCGCATATGATGTCCTGGACGATGGGTATGGGATGCACCCCGAGAAAATTGAAGTTTCAAGTGTTGGGAATTCCCTTTAAATTTAAGCAATTTAGCAGTAGATTGAAATCGATTTGTTTGCAATTTGCACACAATTTCTCAATCGACTTGAAAGCTTTACGCAACAGTATCATTTTCAAATGTATTCCTAGTTTGATTTATTTAGTTTTCTTGTTTGCATACTTACTCCATACTCCTTTTTTTTGCGAGTGTGGGGGGAGCTACTCCTCAATCATCCCCACTTGGCTCTTCACACTTGGGTGACGTTGTGGCTTTCAGTTGTGTCATTGATTGGTTTGTCCAGCATTTCCTTGTTTGTTTGTTTGCTAGCACTGCCTTCGATCAAGTCCGTCCAGTAGTAACTGCGGTTTTTGTGTTTTGTGCCTCTGCCACTTGCCAACAATGGGCCATGGGACGTCAGGATATGAAGGCAAACTTACACACATGCAGAGGACCTGTCCAAAATCCCTTTCCCACAACCGCTTGTCCCTCGTTGGCTAACCATCTCTGTCCAATTGTTGCATACGGATTCAATCAATCAATTATGCAACCGCCTGTCCCATTGTTATTGCATAAAACTAGACTGCCACTGACGGTTGCCAGGAGTGCAGAAACCAAAGTTGATTGCAGTCCCTATGGCACTGATTTTGATTGGGGGAAAAGAGCTTCTCAGCTTTGTGGGGATTTCATTTTTTTGCATATCGCTTATAGGGATACTTGTACACATATTAAAAAACACATGTATAAAGCTTATAGTATCCTCTTAAAAGTTATACAAATGCATTTTATATACATGTTCTGTAATTCCCTCATTAAAATGTGAAATATAAGTAGAATGCTTTGAAAATATATACAATTTTCGTGATAAATTAAATATTCTGTGAATTGCCTTTTACTTTTAGACACTTTAAAATGAATGTTTGATTACAAGACAGCAACTTTTATCAGTTACTAATGTTTTCAAGCGTTTCTTAAAGGCAAAATCATTGTTAAATTTTTCAAAGAACTGACTTTAACTTCACTGAAGGCCTTTATGTAATATAAGAATGCATTCTGAATGTTTGGATATGTCAGCTGCTCTCATGCTCCATTTGTCAACATGCACAGACATACAACATTTGGCTGCCTTCTCTTACTGGGAAACTCATTTTGCATTGTATCGCCTGGATTTCGCCCATTCTCCCCATATGTCATCCCTTAGCATCTCAGGCCCCAGCCTCATTCTCATTCTCATTCTCTCCTTCTGTTGTCGGAATGTAACAAAAGATGAGATGCACTTGAGCATGGTAAAATGCGTTATTAAGTGCATAAATATGCAATGCTGAACCTTTTGCACTCGGTGCAGACGCACCACCACCCTCTTGGCGGCACTTTTGCACCACCCAAACCCAAACCCAAACCCGAACCCTTCACCTGTCTAACAACGGTCGCTTCAGGTGGGTTTTCAAGTGCGGAGAATGCTGGCTATATGTTGGGACATGTGTGGAGAGCTTTTGAAATTTAATAAAATGCAAATTCAAATGCAAAAACCAGTGAGCCAGACATGTGCCACATGCGACGCCCCGTGCTCCCATTGTGAGTAGGGAGTAAAATGGGGATTCACCACTGTGCCCTACTCCAGCCTCTGCCACATACGCTAATGAGTTGAGTTTTGTCTCCAAACACACACACACACAGAGAGAATGTATTATGCAGTTGGAAAGGATGCAGTAGAGCGACTGCCCCCACTGAATTGTGGTAATACAACTCCTTTTTAGGCCCTCAAATCCTGATGAGAGCACAGCTTTAGCCCCTTTCATATCTTGTATAAGATGTAATAACAGTAAAACCATTAATTTACTCATTAAAATAAGTAAAGAAAGTCTGGAATTACACCCTCCAAATTCAACTTTTTGAAACCATCTGTATTTTTAATTATATTAAATGCGAAAACACACATATGCAAGTCCGCTTAGGGGCCCAGGCATCTCCTTTAGCGCAAAAAAAAAATAACATACAAGGGAAAAAAATCGATATCGCTTTTTGGGCTGGCATTAAAAAGGATCAAAAGGTGGAGCACGTGCGCACAGCCAGGAGGCGAAACGCACACAAATATATATATATATATCGGGCATAGTCCGACTATATCCCGGTGTGTACACATGTAAGCCATCGGAACCATTGCCGCCGCACACCCATAAAAGTTGCCAGTTGCCAGTCCCATTCCCATTGCCATTGGCATTGTCTGGTCGGCCTGATCCGCCTTTAGCTCGGTTTCTTGCTCCTGCTACTGGATCTGCTCCTGCTCCTGCTCCTGCCGATTGCCATGGCTTTGGCTTTGAAGGAAGGGTGGCGCGATGCGACCTTAAGTAACCCGCCTTGGCAAGGGTCTGTCCCGCACCCCTTTTGGGCCATCCGGCTCATTCACACCTACGTGTGCTTGGCACAAGTGGCAAAATGTTGTTACGTGAGCATTAAACCATATTTTAAGTTATTAAGTTATTGACAAAAGCTCACGTCACCCCTTCTGGCAACGTTTGGCTTGGCATTGGAAATGGGTTTGGGTTGGGTGGTGCTCTTGGCCTGGCCCGGCCTGGATGGGAATGAATTGGATTGGGTGGGTTGCCAGGGCACTCGGCGAGAGACTGACTTGGAGGCGGACGACACTTGTGCGCTGCTTATCCCGTTTACAATGCCACGCCTAGCCGCACAACCACACTGGCAGACACTGTGGGAAAATTAAGCTTGAAATTTCTTATAAATTGTTGGGAAAACAGTTTCTCTTAGTATCGATAAAATATATTTAAAAGTAATGAAAAGCCTTCTAAAAGTATGCAATGAATTATTTAAGGACGAGTATGCTATGAAGATTAAGTTGAAAGATAATAAACAGAATATTTGAATTGCTAAAAAACATTATACTTTCTTCTAGATAAGAGCATCTTGTACTTGTCAGAATATTCAACATTTTCCAAGAGTTATTGTTAAAGCCTTTAACTGACTCTCATTTATTTTTCCTCAGTGTCATTCTACACGTGTTTTCCTTGTATATATACACTCGTATAATGCCTGAATTATATGTCTGAGCATAAAAAGTTCTGTAAGCGTTACCAAGCATAAAAAGAAAATTTTCAATTCCGCACAAGCTGCTGGCTCTTGCCTGAAACTGTTAAAGTTTCAGGTTCTACATGGGAACCGCTGCAAGTGTCGCAAATATTGCTAAATTTCAGTTGTAAATTAAACATAAATATTGTTGGTAAGCTGTGCCCTAGGGGGTCAGTTTTCACTCCCTCGGAAAGCTGCGGTAGAAATCTACTTTGCCAAGCTCCCCAACTCCTGGGACGTCGTTCACTCACATGTCCTTTGTGCCGGACACTTCCCTGGCTGCTGCTCATCTCCCCCTGGAAGCCATTATCCCGCTACGGTTTCATCCTCATCTCTCTCTCTGTGTGGCTGTGACATTTTTACTGCTCCTGCTGCAGGCTACCACCAGGTATCAGCATTTTGTATTTGGAATGGAATTTCTTTCCACCTGCAAGCGACAACCAACAAAGGAGACCGACAGCATCATGGCACTGCAGCCACAGGATAGCCACAAGGATGTGTTTTCAGGCGGGCAGCAGCAAGCCGGAAATTGAAATACAAGTTATTAGATTCCTTTGACACCACAGCTTTGCTATGATATAGGGAGCTACTATAAATCTATTCATACATATATTTGCCACACTGAATATGGGAAGCCTTTGAACGTTTCCAAATACTTAAAGGATTATTTGGCGTAGGGTCTCTGTCGTAAATCAGTCACTCTTGATTTTTCGCCTCTCGAACTGGGAAAGCCATTTTCCTTTACCAATTTTGCTATATATTTTTTGTTGTTGTTGTGCTTCACCCGCTGCGTTGAAACAAAATACAAAGCACATAAATTGCCAAGGCAAAGGACACATTTGGGTCTGCTGACTTAATGTCCAGGCAAATAAACACATTCGTCGTGGTGTGGGCGGAAAACTGCCGCTGTCGTCAGTTGGATTTCCACTTTTTTCTTTTGCTGCCGCTTTTCCTTTGTCTGCAATGCCGAATCAACCACCGCCGCCGACGCAGATAATTTGCCAAGGGAGTTGGTTTATGGGCGAGGGTTGCGCATACAATGTGTGTGTCAGAGAGTGTTTGTGGTTCGGGATGAGGACGATGGGGGTCAGGGGCCAAGCCAACGCCATGACCTACTTTTCCCGGCAACTTTTTCAATTTTCCGAAGAGTGAGTGAGCTGTGAATGTGTGTCTGTGTGGTGTGCTTGGGTTAGGCCAAAAAAGTTTATTTCGTAAAATACAATACACAGAATGTTGGACTAAAGACTACTCATAAAGCTTTCCATGGATTAACTAATGACTCCTCGCTAGTGATGCAGCACCAGGAGCAGTAACAGTCCCAGCCAGACCACAAATTTCGAATCCAGTTGGCGCATTGCCGAATCCGATTCGTCTAAATCGTTTGTGATCCGTGTGAACTCCATATCCTCCGCCTTGATGGTTCCCGGCTTCTCGGTATCGCTGTCATTGTAGACCACCGGCGGCGGAGTCGTCTTCTGGCCGGTCATCAGGAGCAGCTGCATCGTTTGCACTGGTGTCAAGAGCGGACTACGAGGATCCGTGGAGGCGCCATTTCCCTGCCAGTGTGGCGGCGGCAGGAAGGGAACATATGTGGTCGGAGCCTCATTAGCAGGATATCCGTAGATGAACATTTTGACGAATAGACTCTCCGTGTCAAAGTCCGTGATGACGGCCTTTAGGGTATTTCTTGAGAAGTGACTATACTCTGCCACGGGAGCAACGTAGCTGGGATCCGAGATGTTCTTGTTTCCAAAGTGCTGGAAGTTTAGGAATTACAATTTTTAAATGGCTTACAAAAGTATCTTAAACTATGCTACAAAATGTTGCAACAATACTTTTGGGTTGCTTTTTAAGGGACCTCAAAAGCTTAAGTGTACTTAAGTGTATAATACTCACATCCATAATGACAAACTTGACATAGGTTATAGAGGCCGAATCGATATAGTAAAATATGACCGATCGATTTATCTTTTTATCAGCGGAATCATCAGGCGCTACATGGTAGCAGTCGTACACCAGTTGATCGCCTAAAATTTAAGGAACATCAGTATAATCGATAGATTGCATTATCTATTAACTTACCCGGCTGTCTCTGTCCAATTTCAATAATCTTGTCCGGCTTATCAAAGTAATCTGTGGGCGTAAATAGTCCTTCTGTAGACTCATCGATTTCCTCGTAGGAGTGGTCGCCATCCAAATCTTCCTCCTCCACTTCCAGTGCCTCTCGTTGGTTATTATCATACAGTTCGGCATCCGAAATCTGCTCAACCTCCAAGCCGCTATAGGGTTCCATTTCACCCTCGTACTGCTGGTCGGGATTGACGATCATAGAGGGATCATAATTGACGGCGGTTTCATTCAGGCCAAAGATCATAATGGTCACATCGAAAGCAGTTGGTGGCGGAACTTGAACACTGGCCTCTGTCCTAGGAGAGACACCACTTTCGTTGCTGCCCGCCAGCCGGACCATGCCCACGATGAGACGGTTCACCAGGCTGAATATCACCTCCGCCGAAATGTTCTGAAAGAAGCAATGAGCAGAGAGGGATTGAAGGCCAGATCAAAAGTTCCATCAAATATGGACAGACTCAATCATGTGTGACCATTGAGGTAACATCCATCAACGACTTGCAACAATTTCCGAGATGTTTACTCAGACTGACAACGACGTACATTATGTACTTTGAATAATTTGATATATGTGTATTTCGTGGGTGTTTTTGGGGAAAAGATCTCACGTCATAATGCCAAAAATTGAAAATGCATTTAGCGAGACTTTATTTCGTGATATTCTTGATATAATATATTCACTTTAAGGTCGTTCTCCGCCACTTGACTGTTCTGTTTTCCCAAATTGCCATATTTTGCAAATATTTCAATAAGCCACTTTGTGTTTATTAGCCTGCAAGTGTCGATTATACAATTTGCATTATCGATCCAGACGTCTATATATTTGGAATTCATTTTTTCATAACTCGGTCGAACTCATAATCCAATCATATTTTAGGGCAAAATGAAATAAACAAGATCTTGGTGAAAGATATATTTTGGGGGAGGGGGGAAATGTATGTAAGAAACACTGCCCGGCGGCCTCAAACACACTGGATATAAATATAAACACACATCTATGACCGAAACTTGTTGTTGTCGTCGGCTGGTGACGAAAAAAATGCCAGTTCTGTTTCTATTTTAATACCGGGCATGTGCAAAATAAAACACAACAAGGGGTCAGAACGACAAATGCCCAGAGTCAACATCGAATTCTCATATATATTGCTCAGTTGTTCGGAACCCAAAATACATGATTTATGCCTTAATGAAGCGGAAATATTTGCATTGTATACACGATCGAATGTTGTAGCAAAATCTGCATCGTTGTAGCCTTTGTCCATACAAAATGAAAATAAAACTTTAGTATCTTTTGAAACGCTGAATGATTTACTGCTGAACTGAATCGCTCCCCTTTTTGAGTTAAATTTACCTTTAAATTCGTTTGAATAATGCAAGTTTTCGGAACCCCCAACTCAAAGCTTCTAATCCTTTTGTATATCAAATAAACCAAGGCAAACTCACTTCCTCTGACAGAATTTCAACGCAGGTAATCGGTTCCAGGACCTCGTATGTAAAGTCCACACGGGGCAGTTCCTCGGCGCCGGCAGGACGCGAGTGACGCACATCCTTGACCAGAAGCTGGTCACCAGGAATCCGCTTTCCCACGCCAAAGAATCGCTTGGCCTCAAAACAGTCACCGCTCCTCAGCAGAAATTGGCAGCCAATTAGTGCCAACAAAAACAACTTTGCACCCATTTTGCGTATTTTTTTTGGCTCTGTTTTGAATTTAATTTTCAGTGTTCAGGGAATGTTTAACATTTTTAAAAATATACGCCGGAATCGAGGGATCTTCGCACGCGTCGCGGCAAACGAACTTTGGCAACTGCAAACACGGAGACCTGAGCATCGAGTGCTGACCAAGTGCTGACGGATCGGCGAAGCTCTTTTTGTAAATTCAAATTCACTTTCGTTCATCGCAAAAGAGAAATACAGAGAGACGAAATGTTTGAGAGCTGAGAATTTACAAAATGTGCTCTCGAAAGACTTTGGCAATCGCGTTCAGTTCTCCTCTTCCGAGTTGTTTTTATTTGCTTCTGCACTTGACCCCAATGGATACGATGTGAGGCGTTCCAGGCAATACTCTGAACTCTTTGTCAACGACCCCGAAAATAAGCCAAGTCCATAATAACAAGCCACAGTGTGTCTCTTTTAGGGATGGCGTTTAAAATTGGCTACAAAAGGTGCAGAAATAGCCTAAAATGAAGTGTATATATATAGATTTGCAGCTATATATAAATTGGGGGGACTGTTTTGCATAAGAGTTCTTTGACTTTTTTCGGGGGAGCTTCATTCAAGTCGGTTGGAGCTGATGAAAAGGTGTGAGGCCTATAGGGTTTGTTTTTAAAGTCTTTTTTTTAATGTTATATTCATTATTGATTAAGATTTTGATTACAAATCGAAAATGATATGACTTTTGGCAATCATTGGCTTCTTGGCCCTTGGGTACCATCAAAAAAACCTAATATATGTGTATTCTAGGTGTATTAAATGAAAATTTTTATATGCTAAATTTTTTGGTAAATTAATGTTTTTCAAATATCATAACTAAGCCAAAAATGCCTTTATTTCAAATTGGAAAGCTGTTTTGTGCTAGTTTTTATTAGGTTAACAAATCTGCATATTAATTTTTACAATTTTTTAAAAATCTATTTTTGGCCAATTTTTGCAAATATTAATGATTATCATTTTTTACAAAAATCGAAAAAATTTCAAAATGTTTTTTTTGCCCGTTTATTGCTAGATTGATTCAGCTTTTGATGCTGATCAAGAATATATATGATTTATGTGGTTGGAAATGACTCCTTCACTGGTTTTGGAGTGTTCTGACTTAAATTATAATGATTTTCTTAAATTCATATATTTCCGGTTCGATCTTAATCCGATTAAAATTTTAACCTGCAGGGGTATACAAACTGTTTCTCAATTTAGTTGCTTTTTCTGTTTTATTTGTGTTTTTAACGTGATTAAGTTTATGAGAATTAACGGAATCTTGGCCATTTGCTTCTCCAGAATAATGTCAAAAGTCGTTAATTTGGCTTTATCAATTTATTTGGTTTATTTAAACACAGTTTTTTTATTAACTGAATTAAATTAAATATTTATTCAAATTAACAACGTTAAAAGCATAGACTATTACAAACTCATTTTACTCTCTCTTTAAATATTTATCAACAAAATTTAAAGCTCTTTGAACTCGTTATTTATTTACCTTTTTTTCGGGTAAATACCGTTTAATTTTGATTATCTATTCGCCATTTGTGAAACGTTAAACCAAATATTTAATTTAGTAAATGTTTATTGGCATTAGTTGTCCGTTTAGCCGCAGCTTTGTCCATTAGCCCCGTGTCCGGGAAGATAATGAAGCGGACGCTAGTGCGTGGCGTGGCGTGGCATGGCTGCCATTGGCATGCATAATGAATTGCAATTATGGTTAATGCGCCCGAGTGCGGAAAATGGAGGGTCGGTCGGTCAGGTGCCTGCCAAAAAAAAAGATGGCCTTTTTAATTAAATGCGTTTGCCCGGCAGAGAGCGAGTGTGCCGGCGGGGCAACATATTTGAAATGGAGCAACACGAATACATGCAATTTTCGTCTGCCAAATAGCTGCAACATAATTTATGGAGGCAACATCGCCGCATAGGCCATGGTTTGCTGCAACGCAATCGCGGCAATGGCATCTGGGCCAGAAACTGCGTCGAGTTTGGTGCAAAGTATTCACATAAATATGTTCACAGTAGATATTGCAAGGGAAACTTGCATCTGAGTGATTGCCAGGTAATTTCTTTAGGACGTCAGCCTCGCCGAGCGTCTAACAAGTTACAAGTAGCCACTTACACATTTTAGGCGAAGCAGCGGGCATCAACAACATCCTTTAACAAGGATGTCAACGCCTCGCCTTCGTGTCGCCGCCCTGACACTGAAGTTCCTGCCCCTTGCTGCTCCTTCTCCGTAGCTGCTGATGTTGTCGTAGCGTTGACAAATGAAATTACAGCATTTAGGGAAAATTGCATTACCCACTGCAATAAGGAAATTCAAGCCATTTGACTGCTTAAAGCTAACTTTGTCTAATTGAATTGCGTCCGAGTTTTCCTTCGGTTTTTCCTTGCGTTGCAGAAAATAGATTGGGTTTTTATTCGCTGAGCTTATTACATTACTGAAGTGTGGCTGAAAACATGCACGAAAGGAAAGGCATGCCGATTGCTCGAGTGCCTCAAGTGCATCTATTCTGGCCAAGAGCACGGGCAGCGTCATCTGGTTCAAGTGGCCCGGCGAAAGGTTAACAACACTTCACAAAGAAATGCTGAATGCCGCTTATAATTGTTGCCACTGGAGGAGACATCCCCACGTGCTCGATGGTGCCGTAATGAGCCAGTGAGCCATTGAGCCACTCAACGACCAATGGTCGATGGCCATTCCTGGGACATTCATGCGAGTGAGTACATGTGCGTCCTGGGAAATGTGTCCAATTATATAATTGAATTGGCCATCGCAAGGACATCGGCATATGCACATCAATCAATCTGGCTAATAAAGCAATTAACTGGGCCGACGCCGCGTGCCGTCCTCTGGCCGAAACGGAAATTACAAATTTTTCGTAATTCTTGTTTTTGCCTCTGCGGCGGCATTTTAATTTATGCCTCACAAATTGGATTTGGGCCCTCACCGAAAACGCCAATTTGGCTTAGCGGGGATTAGTCAAAATGCTGAAAGCGCCCGAATTTTGGTTTAAAATTGAAATATATTTTTCGCTGGGCGTAGCGCTTATCGCGCCCTGAAATGTAGGCTAAGCTTTTGCAGTGAGCAGCCAAGCCCGGAAAAACAATCAATTGAAGGGGGGGCCCGGCCCGATGGGGCGTTGGCAACAATCAGATCAAATTGTGAGGCAACAGCAGCACTAGGAGATGGAGGAGATGGCCAGCTCCGCCATTGGAACTGAGCGGCTGAGTGCCGCTGCAGCAGTTGATAAACTGGCAAAGAGTTTTCCAAAGAAAGCCCCGCCGGGTGAAAGAAAGGCGCAGCTGGCAAACAAACCAAGTTAAAAGTTGCACAACGAATGCTCGACTGCCTGATGACTGAATGAAGCTTTTGAAATGTTAATTGGACGCCTTAATTGGTTTTAATTCAACGAGCGATTGCTTTGCGTTCTGCAAACACCACGATAGTTTTCATTCACCTTTTGTGAGCGCGATTTCATTTAAATTCCATGTAAATTGAGTTATGGCTTGCATAATTTAATTTCTATAATTAATTAAAATTTGTGATAGTACAATTGCCGAGAGGGGTTTGCAATTCTATTAGTTTACCATACATAAATCATATTAAATTAATTTAAATTACTGAATAAATAAGAAGATTAATGGGGCCCAAAAAAGGGGGTCACAATTAACTCTCAGTCAAGTGATAAGCCTTCTTAATAAGGCTGAATTAAATATGACTAAGTAGAAGGAGCATTCAGGCCAAAAGAGTATTCATTTTCAAGCTTATCTCCATGGTGAGCATACCCCATTCGCCGGCCAGTTGCGGAGAACGCAAACGGATTTTGTAAAAAATGGCCAGCTTGGGGCTGTAAAAGCTGGCAGCTGGCAACTGGCAGCTTGAGCGGCTCAAGGAATAAGAGATGCAGTCACAAAGTGGAGCATATTTGCGCCATTCTGTCGATGCTGCCAACGTGGCAATGTGTGAATGGGCCAGGGCCAGGATTTTGAGCCTGCGGTAATCCATTCCGGGAGCCAGCAGCAGCGGCCACTTGACTCACAATTGCAATTGCCAGGCTTAGGCGACGACCTGCCACCAAGCTGCAGTCTGTCGACATCGTTCTCATTGTTCTCTTTCTCTATTCTATCTCCAATTTTTGCAGGACGAAGGATGGAAGTTAAATCGCACCAACTACTACCAGGAGGGATGGCTGGCCACGGGCAATGTGCGAGGAATTGTGGGCGTGACCTTCACCACCTCGCACTGCCGCAAGAATATGGACTATCCGCTAAGGACCAACTACAATCTGCGCGGCCACAGATCGGATGTAAGTATAACTAGTGCTGATCCTTTAAAGACATCAAAATAATTCCTGATGATTTACCTTTGCAGGTCATTCTGGTCAAGTGGAATGAGCCCTACCAGAAGCTGGCCTCCTGCGACAGTTCGGGCATCATTTTCGTGTGGATCAAGTACGAGGGTCGTTGGTCCATTGAGCTGATCAATGATCGCAACACACCGGTTACCCACTTCTCCTGGTCGCACGATGGCCGGATGGCTCTGATCTGCTACCAGGATGGTTTTGTGCTGGTGGGTTCTGTGGCCGGTCAGCGCTATTGGTCCTCCATGCTCAACTTGGAGTCGACGATTACGTGCGGCATTTGGACGCCCGATGACCAGCAAGTGTACTTTGGAACCACACAGGGTCAGGTGATTGTGATGGATGTGCACGGTGCGATGGTGTCGCAGGTACAGCTGTCCAATGATGTGCCCATCACCTCGATGGCCTGGTCCTGCGAGAAGTTCAAGATGGAGGAAGGCGAGGAAGCTGAGCCCGGTGTAACCAATGCGGGTGAGTTGAAAATAAAGAATATCATTTCAGGAAAATATATTAAAGATATATCTTCAATATTCCCTTAGCCAAGCGATCCTTCGTGCTGGCTGTAAGCTTCCAGAATGGATATATATACTTGCTAAAGTCGTTCGACGACGTCTCACCCGCACATATCAACACCTGCCTTAATGGCGCTCTTGGCATGGTCATGGAGTGGAGCAACTCCCGGGAGCTGCTCGCCGTCGCTGGTACGCTGCGCACCGGACTGGACGGCGCAAAGCCAGAGGAGCTGGGCACGCCTAGCAGCTACACGAACCTGGTCAAGTTCTACACGGAGACGGGCACTTGTCTGTACCAGGCGCACATCCCCTGCAGCAGTTCCACAGTTTCGGCCATTACTTGGGGTCACAACGACAAGCGGCTATTCATAGCCACCGGAACGCAGGTGCACATTGCATGGGTGTCCAGGCGAGTGGCCTCCCTGCAGCTCCTCTGCCGGCTGGAGATCCAGGCTAGTGTCGGCTCTGAGACGCTGCTGCCCTTGCTTCCGTTGCCTTCTAGGATTAAGTCTCTCATTGGCAATTTGTTTGCTCAAACGATACGAGTAAGTCTAATAAGACACTTTAATATAATTAATTTTAAATAATAATCCCGTTGCAGTGCTGTGTACCTGACCTGAAGTCGCTGCGTGATTTTGTTTCACGACCGCCGCTTTGCTCGACCCGGCTTCACTGCACCATGATCCGGCACGATGACGACTCAAACCTGAGCTCTGGCACCTGCTACACGCTCTATTTGGAGTACTTGGGTGGACTGGTGCCACTGCTTAAGGGCAAGCGGACGTCCAAGATTCGTCCGGAGTTTGTCATCTTCGATCCCCAAGTCAATGGTGAGTTTCGCATGAGAATTAGCATTGGAAGTCATAATTAACTACTTATCTCTCCTCTTCTCAGATGCACCCTTGTACTTTCAATACTCTGCCGAGGCCAAAAGCTCCTCCGGCTCCAGCCAGTCCACTACCACCGGCAACAGTGGGCGGACAGACTCCTCGGATAGCGACTACGAGGAGCGCACCCGCTTCGGATCCCCGCGGACGCCGCGGAAGAAAAGAGTTCGACCGAAGAGGCGCCACCAGGCAGGCGATCGACTAAGCACATCCGGAGGCGGTGCAACCAACGATCCCGACAGCTTGGATGAGCTGGCCTACGTGGACACACTGCCAGAGGTAGGTGGCACTTTTGGCCAGAGAAGATCCACGCCATCACTGATTCAAATCATTCGTTTCATTCTCAAGCAGGAAGTCAAGCTGGTGGAGGTGACCTCCAACATTTGGGGAACCAAGTTCAAGATCCACGGACTTGCCAAAACCGTCCCAGCCAATTTAGGCCAAGTAACTTATAAGACGTCCCTACTGCATTTGCAACCACGTCAGATGACGCTGGTCATCACCGAACTGCGCGACGACTTTCCACCCGGTCCCGATCCTAGCTTTAATCCCAATATATTCTCCGAGGACGAGGACGAACATCACCAGCATCAGGCTAACCACCATGATGCAGTGCCGCAGGTGAACGTGACCAGCGCGCAGGACGTGGCCTCACTCAAGCCACCGACCATACCGCAGAGACGGCTCACAGATGGAGCTTCTGCTCCCTTGATAGCTCCGATGTCGCCCCGCCCTAATCGTATTCTGGCGCGGCACAAGAATTCCCTGACTGTGAATGGAGGAGAGCGTGGTGCTGGCTCCTCGGCGGGCATAAGCCCCCTGGCGCGAGCAGAGAGCTACGACGATGATTCTTCCAATGAGTCGCAGGAGGCAGGTGCCACGGGCAGCCAGTCCACCACTGTGGTGCTGCACCAGGCACCCTCCAACGGCTCGGGTCCTGGTCCCAGTAGCAGTAGCAGCAAGTCGATCACGCGTCCAAAGACTATCAGTAGTTTCAAGAACAGCTATAGCCGCTCCAGCTCCAACTCCAGTTGTCAGTCGCGGCACGCAATCTCTCCGCTATACTGCGATGGGGCTGTGCCCACGTTGCAGAGTCCCAAGAATGCTGTGGCGCCCTCGGACATCATCTTCGAAAGGCCAGCCGTGCCTGCCGCTGGACAAACCACTCTCATGTCGTACTCCACCAACGCAGACTACGCCAACAATGTTGTGCAGGTGAAGAATGCTTTGATGTCAGAGCCGGTACGCTCGGCTAATAGCCATGTGAATCCGGTCCCTCTGAATCTGAACCTCAATTTGGAGCGAATGGATGCACGGGTTAAGTGCATGGCACCAGCCACGGCCTCTACCTCCAAGCGACGTGATATGCTGTACATCGACGAGGAGACCCAGTCACCCACGCCCACCACGAGCGCCAATAGCATGAAGCGTACGCCCACAGTGGTGTCCATAGCACCAGCCCTGCCCGACTCCATAACACGGAGCTGCAGCGTGGGCTATCTGGACTCGGTGGCCATTACGCCATCCGATGAGGCTCTATCCGCCCTGCGTAAGGATGCGCCAAATAAGCGACTAGTGCTGGTGGACAAGCGAAGGAACCGCCGGAAACGGCAGCAGCAGGAGGATGCCCGCCGGCACAAGCTGCAGCAAACCGGAAAATCGAAGAGTCTGGACTCCTGCGAGCTGCTCTCGCTCCAGACGAAGCTGTCCAGCAAAGAGCACGAGCAGGTGGTGCGTAAGCTACAAGAGATCTCCGACAGCAGTGCCTGCAGCAGTGCGGCCAACACGTTGTGCTTCAAGTGCCGCAACAACATGAATACCAGCAGTGCCTGCAAGCGATGCCAGCCGTCAACGGTCTCCGCCCTTGATGAGATTACGTCCGCGGTGGCGGCAACAACAACAACAGAGCCTCCAGTCAAAGAGACTCCAGTTGTCAGCGTGCAGGCAAAGCCGGCCCCCAAGAAACGCTTCGATGTCATCACTAGCTTCACAGACTCGCCGCTCTTCACAAGGAAACACCGCTTTGGATACGGACGCAGCAAGGAGACAGCGGTTACGGAGAACTCCACACCGCTGCTGGGACGGAAGCAGGACAATGGCTTCAGTTTTGTAAAGCAATTGTCCGAGGTTCGCTGGCGACGAAAGGAAACGCCACAGGCGCAAATCAATGGAGCCAGCAATGCGAGCACGTTGGAGAGGCAGCAGCAGCAGCAGCCAGAGATGATAGGAGCAACATGTGGGGCAGTGGAAGCAACACCAGTGGAGGCCAAGGCTTCTGTTTCCTTGCACACTCAGGTAGATATCTTTAAAAAATTAAGATGTAATGGGTTTTAATGTTCTTCCTTTAAAAATTTCAGGCTCTAACCACCTTGGAAAATATAATAAGCCGTCTTCGTGATCTCGACGAGGGTCGTCTGACACCTCCTTCCACGCCCCAGCGACTGCCACGTAGTTCCCCAGCATCGCCTGCGGCTAGCAAAAAGAACAAGCGGCAGCAGAGCAACTCTCCCATTCGCCACATCCTGAACTCACCGCTTTTAAACCGCCGCCAGCGAAAAAAGCAGAGCATCATCGAGAGCTCTGATGATGAGGGTAATCAGACAAATGGATCTGGCGAGGAGAGCAACAACGCGGGCAATGGAAAGCAGTATCGCGACCTAGAGACTTTCCAAAAGGCTCAGTTGCGCCAAAAGGTGAGCCTTATTTAATGATATCTTTTGCGAAATTAATAATCAAAAACAATTCTGATTCAATCGCGACAAAGACTGAATATACTAACTAATATAATTTTAATATTTACAGCTTAAGCGTGGCAAGATTGAACCCAATGGCAGTGCCAGTTGTGCCAATCCGGCGCCAGTGCGTCGCGAGTTTGTGATGCACAACAAGGCGCCCATGTGGAATGAGATGAGCCAGGTCTACCAGCTGGACTTTGGGGGTCGTGTTACCCAGGAGTCGGCCAAGAACTTTCAAATCGAGTTTCGTGGCAAGCAGGTGAGTTCAGTTACCGAAATATAACCTTGAGATAAGAGATAATATATGTTATATTACTCAAAAATAGGTCATGCAGTTCGGTCGAATCGATGGCAACGCTTATACTTTGGATTTCCAATATCCGTTCTCCGCCCTCCAGGCCTTTGCCGTGGCCCTGGCCAATGTGACACAGCGACTGAAGTAATCGGAGAACTGGTCGCATCGCACCGCATCCTTAACGTGTATAGCTCTTCAAAAACGTCGCCAGCTGATTGCAGCAATTGCTTTTTTGGCCTATGCTATATATATTTTTTATACCAGACGATGGAATGGACAATTAGCAAAAATTGCTTCTTCATTTGTATATATTGTATATGTATATTGTGGTCTTTAGGTTTCCAAGTACCGTATTTTAATGATTATGTATGTATGTGAACACGTACCACCACTTGATTGAAGGTTTTGCCATGTGCAGCACAATGAAACACCCATGGGTGTGTGCGCATGGGTGTGCAACTCACAGTCCGATCCATTTTTGTGCAATATTTGTATGACAAGTTTTTTGGATTAAGTGTAGCCGAGTGTAAATTTTAGGCGTAACGTAACGACGAACGATGTATTTTAAATCAAACTACTTTAACGCGATATAGACGGATGATCAGTCGGTTTTTAACACTAGTTTGTACAAGAGCAGCCTTTTTTGCATAGAGCTTCGTTTCTTGCTTTACTCGACTTAAGTGCAATATAACTCCTTTCGTTAACTCTTAGATCTAAGGCAGACATATTCGCGAAACCGAAGCATACTGCTTGGCCCAGCACTCAAGCCATTCATTGCGCGTAAGGACGAGAGTCGTCCGATCACTGGATGCTAGCATATTTTTTATATGTGTAAACTAATTGTGAATGCTGAATCGATCGACGGCAAGGAATACAGAACTTTGTGCTTTTCCTCTCAACTCTTTTGGTAGTTAGGCTTAATTTCAAGGAAAATTCGTTATTGTAATTGTTGTGAATATTGAAATAAGCACGAGTCGTAAACGATTTAGGCGGTCAACTACATAAATCATTAAATAAATGTATTTTACGTGAATAAAGGCTTTCGTTTTATAAATATCAAAAAATATTGCACCTGTGAGATTTCGCCAATCATTTCCAAAGACTGCATCACATCTTTCGCGTTTGATTTTCAATATTGATTTCTGCCTTTTCCCAATCTGGAATGGTTTTCTCCTTTATGTGCCAGGAATCAGTTTTGGCTCCTTTCAGCTCAGCTGCGATTAAAAGATAGAAAGATAAAAAGAATTTAAAAACTAAAATGGAAAATAACTTACAGGTCTTAAAGCGCTTCACTCCCTCCTGCATATCCGTTATCATATCCGATGCCACATTCATGATCTCGTTGTAGCTGGCCGCATGGAAGCCAGGACGGTTATAGGCATTGGCATTTTCCAGCAAGGCATTCCGATCATGCATCAGCGAAGCTATGGGAAACTTGGCGATTGAAAAGGCAAGATTCACAGCCTGTCCAAGGGCAGTGCCCGTAGCCACAACTCGGTTCACCAAGCCCATCCTCATGGCCTCCTTTGCGTAGACGCGTCTCCCCGTTTCTATAATGTCCAATGCGTTGGAGTAGCCAACGGCGGCAGCAAGACGGACTGATCCGCCATCGCTTAGAGGCACTCCTAGGCGCCGGTTGAAGAATCCCAGCACTGCAGAGTCCTCCATCACACGCAAATCACACAGGAGCGCCAGTTCCACTCCGCCAGCCACACAAAAACCGCTGATGCCACAGACGAGGGGCTTACGAAGGTGTCGCCTGGTTGGTCCTACGGAGCCCTCGTGACGCAACAGAAAGTTGAGGCTGCCGCGCTGTGCCTCCGCCTCTAGTTCCGCCAGGTCATATCCAGCGGAGAAAGAGCCACCAATTCCGTAAAGTACTCCCACCGGCGAGGAATCGTCCGCCTCGAACTTGCTAATGGCTTCGGTCAGCTGCTCAGCGGTGTTGGCATCAATGGAGTTACGTTGCTGTTCGCGATTCAAGCCAATAAGGGTTATGTGGGAGTCCTTCTCCACCAGCACTGTGCGGGCGGGGGCCTCCACAGTTGAATCACTTCCTGCATGTCTTTTAGTCGATATAGAAAGGTATCTTGACCCCAAATTCAAGTTGTTTACACCTTGTAAAAATGTACAAACAAATCTGCTCATTTCGCGGTCCAAAACAAAAACAACAACTAGCCATGGTCGTAGAAGAAATCTGTCCATAGGGGCTCATGTTTCTGATATATATCAGGAGAGGAAAGCAACAAGTCATAATAAACATATATTTACTTTGCAGTATTTAAGCTGTAAGGCCACTTTATTTATAATTAAAGCTAAATATAATACCTTTTCAGCCAGTATTGGCATATAAAAATAGATGAACCCTTCCCGGCACCCATGACAGCCAGTGTTGGGCAACGTTGAACTGACATACCATACGCAACACTGCTTATCAAACGTGACAGAGCGGGAGACGCTTGATGGAGCTGCAGAACTATCGATAGTGAATACATCAATGTTTTTCAGCTCGATCCTTTCAAATAACTAAAAATTTAACTTTTATATAGAAGATTATAATAATATAGATATAAATGCAAGTTACATTTTCTATTTAATTAGTTTTTTGCTTCGCGAACAATATCGATAACAATATCGATGTTGGAAAATAGTACCTCTTGTCGATAGAAACATCGATGTTTAGTGGGTGTGTGTTTGTGTGGAAACAAAAAGATAAAACAAAAAACCTCAAATCACTCAAGAACGCTGCGGTTCCCATTAAATCTAAATTAATAAGTGAAAAACTCAACGAAATAGTGCAAGTGGCGGCCAGCGCTCCAAGGCAGGGCCAACCCAGCAACACACACAGTGATATAAGCAGAGTACAAAACAGTCGCGCCTGCCAGACAAAGGATAGGTGAAAACGGTAAATTCTCTCCTGTCCACAACAATGGAGCTCCTCCACAACAAAAGACTTTCTACATCTGTGATGTTCTCCCCGCTCCATCGCCACTCCCCGTTGCATGTGGCGCAATGTCTCAGTTAAACTCTAATTGAATCGGCAGCAGCGGCAGTGGCGCCCTCGCCCATCATTATTAGAACTTAATTGTGTCTATTTTTGTGCGGTGTGCGTCTGCCGGTGGCTTCCGCGTCACCAAAGTATTCCCCGCCGCCCCAGCCCCGCCCACGCAGACACTGCACCACTGGAGGCCCCCGGGGGCAACTGTTGCCATTCGTCGTTCGCACCGCCCGCTCCGCGCTGTTCCCATTTATTTGTGGTGCCGCAGTCTGTCGCCCATCATGGTCTATTTTTGAAAAATGTATTTGCGAAAACAACGAAGTGCCGCAGCCGAAATGAGAGTCTCGTTTTATTATGCTTTATGGCCCTGCTGCGGTTTTGTTATTTGTTTTCTTTACTTTTTTTGTTCGGTTTTGCGGCCGGGACACACCTTTCGTTGACGTTCGAGTGCCCTGCCTTTGATCATCTCGGAGATACGCCAGAGCAGAGCGAAAGGCAATTAAAGTATATACAAATGTGCGGCCAGACTGCCGGGTTTATTGCCTCGAGTAGAACTTAATTAATTGAATTAAGCTTGCGAAGACACATTCTCACAGTTTCATCTTATTCTTGCCCATAGCATACTCCACACACCAAAACACATACACGGCACTTACTCACGACTCACGATGTCAACCGGAAGGCCCATAAAATGTGTTGTGGTCGGTGACGGCACTGTCGGAAAGACCTGCATGCTAATCTCCTATACGACAGACTGTTTTCCCGGCGAATATGTGCCCACAGTGTAAGTTGGCCCTTCTGCCAGTCGCCGGATCAACACCCGGATAACTCCCACTTTGATCGCCCCAACAGATTTGACAACTACTCAGCACCAATGCAAGTGGACACAATACAGGTCTCCCTGGGCCTGTGGGACACGGCGGGACAGGAGGACTACGACCGACTGCGACCGCTCTCCTACCCTCAGACAGACGTCTTCCTGATATGCTACAGCGTGGCGAGCCCCTCGTCCTTCGAAAACGTCACATCGAAATGGTATCCGGAGATAAAACACCACTGCCCCGACGCGCCCATCATTCTAGTTGGTAAGTTGCCAGCGCTCCAAAGGAAGTACATATATAAACAATGAATACACATTGCAGGAACCAAAATCGATTTGCGCGAAGATCGAGAGACACTGAGTGGCCTCGCTGAGCAGGGGCTGACGCCACTGAAGCGCGAGCAGGGCCAGAAGCTGGCGAACAAGATACGCGCTGTGAAATACATGGAGTGCTCCGCCTTGACGCAGCGTGGCCTCAAGCCGGTAAGTCATCACCGGCACTCCCTCGCCGCTCTCTTACTCACTTACCTATTCCCCACTCCCTTACCAACTAGGTGTTTGAGGAAGCGGTGCGCGCAGTGCTTAGACCAGAGCCGTTAAAGCGACGCCAGCGAAAGTGTTTAGTTATGTAAATAAGGTAACATGTTATTGGCGACAAAGATTCTTCGGAAGCGGCAAGTAAGCCGGCGAGACGGCCGACATAGACACTCACGCAGCGTCCTCATCGACAAATCAAACAACAGAACTCATTCATTGGGCATCATATTTATTTACATAAGTTTAAAATTACTCCTAATGTACCAGTCTCTTAGCGACCCCGATAAGCAGCTCTAAAGCAACGATAAATTCCGCGTGAAATGATGCGAGGGAATCCCGAAATTCGCGCGAAATCGTTCATGAGTGTTTCTTATGGGGGGCCATTAAGAGTGAATATTTTTGGCACAAAAAAACAAATCCCTCCCGCGACAACTAAAACAGCATCGTAAACTAAATCGGAACAACACAGAATCGTAAATCTAATGCAGCTACATATGTAGAAATCTAGTCAATTGAATCGAATGTATTGTACTAATAGTAACAAGCAGCGAGTGCACATTATAAGAACCGCAGCCAACTCACAGCTAAAAATTGGTTTCGCATATCACGAGCATCTATGCATTTCCTAATTTCCCATTAAATGTATTATAGTTATGTAGCCACGCGTTCAAGCAGCTGAACTTTCCCTGTTTCCAGCTTACCAAAAACTGAATCAAGGCCAATCCACTTGACGATGAGCTCTTAGAGAAAGCCACTTCTTAAGATATTCAATCATGCGAATTTTTTGTATTCTAACTCGACCCTCGAATCGTAATCATAATCATCTGACGCGCATTTGACCATGTCTTTTGAAAATGTAACAAGTGTTGTTTATTATTTTATAATGACCTATTTATTATCCTAACTTTAATGAAATGAATTGTATAAACAACTTTTACGGCGTAAGTATAGCAAAAGGATTATGTAAATGAAGAGGCGAACAAACTGCATTTATGTATGACCCGACTCGAATAAGCAAAGAAACAAGAATCAAAAATGAATACAACAAAAGCCCTCAACTTATAAGAAAAAACAAATTAGAAAACAATGAGCAAGATGTTTGCATTGAGATGTAACGAACTCCCAGGACACTTTTTGTACTAATTATATAAACAAATCTAACGAAAGTCTTATGTAAATGAAATGTAAACGAAGGCCGTTTGGCTCCAGAGAGATGTAGCAGCCGTAAACTGATTTAATACTTACGAAATATATACTGTAATTATTTAAACCAAGAACAACAAACCGATGTATTTTGTGCTTAACTTTGCCTCTCAGTTTGTCGTTTATTTTGTTGTAAATGCCACGTTTCATTTTCGGTTCTAAACAATTAACAGTTTGATAAAATTTGTTTTGGATATGTATTTTTAGAAGTGCGTGCCTCGGTATCAACTTGTGCTCGAATCTCGAAGTGCTTCGCTTGGGATGCGTCGTCTTGTGCAATGTTGTGGTGGATCAGCTCTGGACACTGACTGCGGCTAGAAGGACATCGATCCATCGGCTTAGTACAGGCGGAATGGCTTTGTGTGGACGGCCTGTCCGGGCTTCTTCTTGGGACCCGCACTCTTTGGACGCCTGGTCTCCGAGTTGAGCGACGGCATGGACACGGAGAGAACGAGGCATTCGGCTGGCAGCGACATGGACGAGGTGAGTGTGGTGGCGCGTTGAATGCGCGGCGCCTTCCAATACTAGGGGGATTCGAATACAAAGCGGGTTTTTAGATGCGGTTCATAGTCCAGGGTGGCGGATGCAAAATAGTTGTCGCAGTCATAGCTCGATTGATATGGAGACTTACAATTTGCTTGATCAAATTTATTTCGATTGTTTTCGATTACCAATGCATCCAAATGAGGAAGAAGAGGATGTGTGCTCGTGCGTGGCTTTGTTGGAACGCTTGCGGCGTGGGCGTGTCTTGCCAAATGTACTTAAGTTTCTCCAAAATTAGTTGTCTCAAATCGCATAATCTCAAACCGATACAAACCAAACAGTTGAAATATTCAAAACACTAAAGTGCAACAACAACTCCGGGATTTAATAAATGAAAAAACGTTTTTTGTTTGTTTATTATGCTTAAATTTTGCCATTGTTCTTACATTTTGTAACAGGGTGTAAATAAATCGTGAGAATGATGCGCTTGACTAATAAGATACAAATTAATAATAGTAAAAATATGCTTATACGTGGTATTATCTGTTCTGTTCGGTTCGGTTCGGTACTGTTCTGTTCTGTTCTATGTGGCTTTGTTTGTCGCAAAAGTATCTAAACGGTTCACATATCATAGGGTCGCATTTTCTTAGTCGTATAACATTTAGACGTCGAGTGTAATTAGGTGTCGTTCAACATTTCAACTAAGCACACGATTTCTTCGTACGAATCTTGTATAATTTGCTTAAATATTTAGATACTTTTATGTATATATATATATATTTTTTATGTATATATGAAGTTCTTGTAATACATTGAGATATATAATTTATGTCTTGTATCTGACGATAAAGAGTGCATTGCTCAACTAGTCAATATACTTCGATCTGTATACCAAATACCGCTTCTATGTGGGGTGGTGGTGGTGGTGGAGATGAATCTGCATCTGCATCTGCAGTCTGCGTGCTTGCACCTCTATCGAATTGTTCGGGTCTTATTACTGGATTGTGAGGGTGTGTGGAAATCATTGCATAACTTTTTCTTTTTGTGTAGCTTTTTGCTTAGATAGTACATTTCAAATTAGCTGGTTCAATGTTCGTTTCGCTTTCAATCTTGGCTATCTTAGCTTGCAAGGAAAAGATATCGGCTCGACATGCATTTCGGGCATTTCGGGCATTTAGCTTTGTTGATTTAAATTTTCATCAGCGCCAGAAGCCGTCATGGATGGTAGTGGACTCTGCGTTCAAGATAAAAATATAAACGTGAATGCGTATCGATTGCTCAAATGATAAGGTAAACTATTACAGAAATAAACCATAAGCCTTGTTAGATCATGAGTTGGTTTTTGGAATGCAATGGAGTAAGATTGGGGGTCGCAAGCAGTTGCCCTTGAAACCGTTTCGGGATCTATAGAGTATGTATGTATATGGTTTGGATGCAGGTGGTCTGGCAAATCAGCTTCGGTTCGGTTAGTCTATCACAGCACTGTTAAATATTAGGTATATCAAACTATCTATGCACGTATGTATATAATGGACACATCTTAGAAGAACTTGCAACGCACAAGGACTTACGGGTCTTGCGTGATCAATTAGAATCGAATCAAATCGGATCGGATAGAATGTTTCTATAGTGCTTAAAGTAGCGTCGCATTCGGACCTCCAGTATATGTATGTACTATGTTGCAGTAGCAATCGTAATAGGCTTTAAATAACTCTAATGGACGTAACATGTATACGAATTTCGAATTTAATGCACTTAGTTTCGTATGACTAGCCTAATAAAACGTGTATATATATTCCTATAATAAACGAAAGAAAAGGTTAAGCACAGAAATGAAGAGTACACTTAATAATTCATAATTAATCGTAATATAAAATGGATGTCAGTATTGATGTATGCACAATGAGGTGAATGTATGAGTGACATTTCTTTCAGTGTTTTCGTGTGTCGAGTGTGAGCGAGCAAAGCACTTGGTTAGATGACTTAAATGCTGGGCAGCCTTTCGCTTAACCGTCCAAAGGGTCAGAGTCTGGGGTACGGGGTTTCGGTTTGAGCAATCGCGGATCAGTATATTGTTCAAAATTTGTACTATCCTACGTCGTATAGGGTTCTTGACCGTTGCCATAAATAATACTTGTGTTTCGCTACATACTAGGGACTAGGGGGAGTTAACAAACATCGGGCTGCTGCCTTCTGCCCCTGGACAGTGACTCGGAGCTGAAGCTGTGGTTAAATTCAATTTACACCTGGCCGGATCGGGAGAGCCTCCTCTTCCAGATCCCACCCAGGGGCAGGACAGCTCATATCCTCAACATACTTAGTCGTTTTTAGTGTACAATTTAAAATAGAAACTCTTGCCAACTCAGCCGAGACTTTCTGATTGAGTTTGGGTGTTCTTAGTTCTTGTTCTTAGTTTTGTCCTGTTTAGTTATCGTTTGGCTTAAGGTACAGTTCAGTAGTTGATGGATGTCTTTTCGAAACCCGATAGTGGTCGATATCGAGCTCGGATTCGTTTCGGCTGATTAAAGCTAGGAGGGAGTTCATTTAAAAAGCGACTCGAATATATTGTTACACACACAGTCTGAGTTACAGAGACCGAATTCTAGGTGGATCGTGGCAATCAAGCGCCCTTGCGCCGCAAACTACATTAGCAGCCGGTTAAAGCGAGGGGGAGACAGAGAAAAGAGAGAGAGAGATTTGTTTAGAGAATCTTTTCTGGTACAACACATGTCAAATTGATGGATGGAAAGCGCTCTTGCTACCAATTTTCTTTTCTTTGTTTATTGTCATCGCCAATGAATCTCAGTTTGGGTTTGTGGGGAAATTCATTTTTAAATGCAACGTAATGGCAATTAACTCAATGAAATGATAATCTGAACGAAACGAAAGGTTACAACAAACTAAAACGAATATCGAATGCCCGCCATCGAGACCTAAAAGTGCCAACAAATACTTTTTGTCCAGATGTTACTTTACTCATTAATTTACGGATAGGTGGTGATCTTTTGGTGGGAGTTCTCTGAAAGCGGTTCCGGGTGGCAAGTGGGAATAGTGTCTGTGGGGGCTTCTTGGGTTACGTGTGTGTGTGTTGGGTCTCTTTTGGGTGTGGTGCTCTGTTAGTGGCTTGATCATAAACCATAAGGTGTTGACGCAATCAATTACAATTACGGATTACACAAAAATGAATTTCTCGACGCAAACACAAAATGGGATATCGATAATATTAGATTATTATATATTTTTTGTTTCCTTCTTAACGAACTAAAAAGAGGTCTAGTAAATCAAGGTTAGGTATAAGTTAAATTCTAGGTTTTGAATACGTATAACTACTACGAGCTTATGTACATGTAGTTTACCTGTGTTGGTGGTGTTGTCAGTGCAACAGAGTGTTCAACATTTTTCAAATAATCCTTATCATCGAAAATCTTCTTTTCACCGCCACCGGGCTTGTGCTTTACATTATCCAAAGAGCCAACTTTGCTTTGTGCCTTAATTTCTATTTTTTGCGTTTGGATCTGAAAAGTAGCACCGGCACCGGCAACGTACAGAAAACGATTAGCAAATCATTATTTCCAAAGTGTTTCAAATGGACGGCCCAAATGGGCCTTTTCGACATTGCGTGGTTGGGTTTGGTGGTTTATTATTATTTAGGACACAGGACGTCGGCCAATCGAGGACACACAACTGAAATTTGGAATTTAATACACAAAAACACGGGGACAGAGCACGGGGAACGTAATAACAAATGGATATTATAAAAAGTAAAGATACAAAAAATATTCTACTAACTACTAGGTAGGTGTGGTGCCTTTTGGGGAGATACTATGTATATAGATCAAAAAAGTGTGGCTTAGGTGTTTCAAAAATATCAAAAATAAGAAAGACATGATGCATCTAGGGGTTCGTACAAAAGCACACATAGGATGCACACAAAGATATGTTTATCAGATGTACACAGAGGAAAAGAGTTATCACGACTACTTACATCCTTGGGGTTGTTATCCTTTGAGTTCGTTGTGTTTTAAATGGTTTAGTTAAAAACAAAATATTGTTTAAACATGTTTCGTTTCGTTAAAATAAGGATGGAAAAATAATAAGTTATTCTCGATTATTTAGCTATTTGGTATGGGTTAGGAACTAAATAGAATGATTTTCCCTGCTGACCCCAATACTATACATAGGATAGGTGTGTATTACTCGACTTTTAGTCAACAACCAGGTGATGTATGTATATGTACATCTGGTGTGGGTGGGCTACCTACCCCGGCTAAAACTCTACCTCCTCCTCATTATACATATTCTCATCCAGGCGCTTGTTACTGGCGCAGTGGCCAACTATTTTGGAGCCCTCGCCATAGATGATGTTCATCTTCCTATCGTAGTTCTGGAAATTGGTTCAAGGCATTGGTTTAGGGGTGATCTGCGTGTTAGTTTGTTTGTAGTTCTAGGTTTGAGCTCCTCGATGTGTGAGTGTCGGACACCGAAGGAGGGTTTAACTTGCAGCATGCTGTTTTTAAAACTAAGATAACATTTCGGCCCCACATGCACTGAGAGAGAGAGAGCCCATGCCCATGCCCATGCCCATGCCCATGCCCATGAACATGCCAGGTAATTGTTGGTAACAAAACGAGAGAGTAGAGCATCCAAAAAACCAACGAAAGCCAACGTCAATCGGAAATCATACTTAACCACTACAAAAATCAATGTTAACTCGTTCGGTCTCTGGGTCAAACTCAAACATGAAAACGGTGGGGGTTCAGATGACGGGTGGAGTGGTAGGATTGAGGGGGCCTGCATACCTTGATATCACCGCCACCGGGCTGGTGCTTTACGTTGTCCTTGGAGTTGACCTTCGACTTGGCCTTGTTGTTGAAGTCCATCTTCAGGGTCTCGATCTTCTTGTCCCCGCCTCCGGGCTTGTGGGCGGCATTCTCCAACGAGCCGATTTTCGACTTCGCGTTCCACTGCAACTTTGTTGTTACTATCTACGGATTTGCAGTGCCGGATTGGTGGTGGATTGTTGGTGCGAGTGTGTGCGGATTCGATGGTTGTATGTTGTAAATAGATACAAGTTAGGTAAACGATTATAAGCCAGAGTCAAATATCGATCCAATGTAAGATATCCCGCTGCGCCGTCTGCCGCCTGCCGCCAGCCGCCTGACGCTGTCAATGTCAGAGTCGTCGCACCCAACTCTGGCACATCCAGTTCGATGGCGGAGGCGCAGTCGGATGCGGATGCGGATACGGATGGGGTTGGAGCTTATACGCGCTACATAAGGCAACGGAATTATGCTGCTAAGTGTCGCTGCGAATTGGTAATTGCATTTCCTACAACAAGATACGAGACTCAAGATACCGTGCTGCCGCCATCTATAATGGGCATAAGTATATATCAAATCAAATCGCAAATCGACCGTGAAATTGAGTTTACCAATCAATACAATACAAGTTACTTTACAGTACGCGACAATACGTTACTTTTCTTTTTGTTTTTTACGAGAGAGCTTTTCTCGGTATTACAAAAGCCATTTGTAGATGATAGAATTTTACAAAGATATATGAGAGAGATAGAGAAAGAGCTGGATTTATGTCCTGGGTTGCCCCAGCACGAATGCTTTGAATGGATACACCGGTCCCGCCCTGGATTACCCTCTTTACTGGAGTTGGATCTGCCCAAACGTACCTTCTTCTCGCCGCCCTTGGGCGCGTACTTGTCGTTCTTGGCCTCGATGCGGGGAGCCGCCTTGATTTCGATCTTCTTGGACTCGATCTTAACATGGCCACCGCCCGGCTTGTAGGTGGCATTGTCCAGGGATCCGATTTTGGAGCGAACCGCCTTCAGGTTGGGCGAAGGCGCATGTCCGACCTGTACCTTGTTCATTGGAACTGCGGAGAGACAGGGGATTGTTTTACATTATTTATTATAATAATGACAGCTTTTTATACCCTTTCAGGGTATTATCATTTCAGTAAGAAGCTTAAAATGCAGTGAAAGAATCATTTCCGACCTCATAAATCATATATATTCTTGATCAGCATCGAAAGCTGAATCGATCTAGCCATTTCCGGGCAAAAAATAAAATTTTGATATTTTTTTGATTTTTGCAAAAAATGATAAGGGGTTACATCATTAAAATTTGCACAAATTGGCCAAAAATTTAATTTTTTACATTTTAAAAATCGGTATACAGATTTCTTAGCCATACAATAACTAGCAAATTGCAACTTTCCGAATTGAAATTAATGCATTTTTGGCTTAGTTATGACATTTGAAAACTTTGGTATAGCCTAAAAATTAGCATAGAAAATATAGATATACCTAGAATATATATATATAGGGTTTTTTTTGGCTGTAAATGCCCAAAGGAACTCAGCTTTTTATGAAACAGCCAGGACACAAAGGACCCTTTGCATGTGTAGCTCTGCTCTAGGATCAAGTTCGATATTAAAAAGATATATCACTCACCTTTCTTGACTGGCTCGGGCTCTGGGGTCTTGAGGAGCAAGCGATTCTTCGAGGCGCTGCGAGATTTGGGTGCCGATTTGTTTGAGGGCGTGGCACTCGGTGGGCGCGACGTGCCCGGCTTCGACGATGTCGATGTGGGCGTCTTCACCGGCGAACTGGGCGAATTGGGTCCGTTGCGATCCTGTTGAGATGAGATAAACACAGAATATGGGTCACAAAACTGTCTAATTTCAATCCAATTCCCCTCGTGGATTACTAGCAAGTAGCTGGAGTCGGCCATTATGACGAGATGCATCTTGGGGCTGTAGCTGTGGTTTATCAACTATTTACGACTCGCTCTCAACACTCCCTGGCTATCCGGAGCTGTCAACGTAATGCCATTGGCATTTATGACTGCCTCCAGATCGGGCCGGGCCAATGAGCCATCCAACTGCCGATGTCGTCGTCGATGTCGATGTCGTTGTCGTTGTCGGTACGAAGGACTTATAGTTTATGCATTGTTTTATCGATTGTCGCCGCTTCGTGTCGTTTTTGCATATGGATGGCTGTATTTATAGAGCCAACAACCGCTTTGCAGATATATGTGTACTATGATTCCTGCTCCCCCATCTCTGGTCTAGTCCCCTGGTAACTCCCTGGGTCTCCGCCCCGCCCCATTTCGTGTTTGGCACTTATCTAGGCACAGATATCACCAGGCATATAAATCGCTTTCTTTTCTGTGCTTTTCTTTTCGGCAACTTCGACTGACTGACTTCTTCTTTTGGGAGTTACTGCCTCGCACCTGCTACCTGCTGGCCTCACGTACCTCATATACATATAGTATAGTATCTGGGTGAGAGTGAGAGTTATATGTTTGTCTGCTCGCCCGACTTTTGTCGCACTTTTCTGCGGGTTTTTCCGACGCGTCAACTACCGTCTGCCAAGACAAAACTTAGTCTGAACTTTGGCGTCTGCACACGAACACGAGCCAACCTGGGAAACTGACAAACTGAGCAACTGGCGGAACTGTCGCAGACAAAAGTCGGGCCTGATATATAATATTTTCTATATGGTCTCCAATGGAGCGTGGAGCTGAGCAGAGCTAAGCTCTCAGAGCTCGTCGCCCGCTGGCAGCCCCGGCCTTTTACAGATATTTATGATTTGTGAACAGAGACGGTCAACGGAATTAAATTAATTTGTCGCCAGTTCCAGTTAATTTCCTCTCAATTAACGTAGAAGAAGTCTCAATTTATGGCCAACTAGTTAACTGGTTCAAAGCCATCGCAAACTCACCTTCTCCTGAGTGGACTCATCCACGCCGCTGTCATTGTCACCCTCTGAAATGAGTTGATAAGAAACGAGTTAGTTGATATGTAAATAATATTACGTTCAATCAGCTCACGATCTTGGCGGATACAGACTTAAACCTATAACTTATCAGCAAAAATAATTTGATTTGAAATGGAGTTGAAGATTTATGGGTTTTTAAACATCTAAGGAAATAATAGTTACTTGAAGACCTATAAATTATTCTTGAAAGGAAAACTTGACCTTATATCTTATTTCCCTTTTAAAGGATTATTAAAAAAACATAATTTAATAACTCCTAGATGGCTTCACTTGTGGTATATATATAACTATTTAGATTGTCTTACTGAAACCGGGACCTTTCCTGGCCTCTACCGCCGGGGGGCTCGTCTCAAATGGCGGCTCCGTCTCCTCCAGCAACGGCGAGCCCATGGGATCGGCCCTTGGATTGAATGTCTTGAGCGGGGTCACTGCCGGACCCATGATCACGTCATCGTCGTCGTCATTGTTGTTTTGAGCACTCGCTGCCGAAAGTGGGCGTAGTTGCTGCGGTGGCTGGTGTTGCTGTTGCTGCTGCTGTTGCATGTGTTGTTGCTGCAGCTGCTGTGGTTGCTGTTGCGGTTGCGGTTGCATGGGCGGCTGGTTGAAGGGCGGTCGGAAGGGTGCCTGCAGCGGCTGACCTGGCAGCGGTCGTGGAAATGTGGGCGGCGGTGGACGCGTCATGTTTTGTGGTGGTGGTGGTCTTGCGCCAGGCGGCATACCAGGTGCCCCGGTTGCCGGGTTCCAGGGAAAGCCACCCGGTGGCCTTGGCGGTCCCTGGCCAGGCGGACTAAGCGGTCCACCGGAGTTGGGCAAGCGTGCCTGCTGCATGCTCTGCTGACTTAACTGTGGGGGCGGCATGCCAGGTCTCATACCCGGCGGTGGCGGACCCATGAGCAGATTGCTCTTGCTGTCTGTGGTTCGAAGTGGTGGAGGCGCCATCTGCCTAACCGCCATGTTTGGAGGCGGCATGGGTGGACGCGGTCCCATACCCACCATTGGCCGGGCACCGGCAAACGGAGGACGCGGCTGGGGCGGTCCCACCGCGGGACGCATCTGCGGTGGCAAGACAAAGTTCTGTGGTGGTCGCACATACTCAGCATTGGGTTTACTCAGCAGCTTGGGCGTGTGATTGGGATTGGTGTTCGGTGTGGAGGAGGTGCTGGTGCTGGTGCTGGGCTTGCTGTGCAAAATGTTGCGTTCTTTGGGTGGTGCCGCGTTGTAAGCGGTGTAGGTGTTCTGCTGCTGCTGGAGTTGTCTGGACTCGTAGAGGGAACGATCAACATTTCCACTGCTAGTTGGGTAATCTGCCACTGGCTGGGAACGCAGTGGCTGCTGTTGGGTACGATTTAAGGAGTTTTGATCTGGAGCAACTGCCTCGTAAGTGGGTCGTTCTACTGGTCCCGTATTGCTTAGGAGCTCTGTATTCAACTGAGATCTTATCGGCTGTTTGGAACGATCTGAGGACACTGAGTCCATCTGATACACAGGACGATCTGGGATGGCATTGCTGCTGGAATAATCAGTGTTGAGAGGAGATCTGGCGCCTGAATCAGAGGCACTGTTGCCGAGATACTCCGGGTTTGGTTGAGGTCTTAACGGCTGCTTAGAGCGATCCGAGTCTACTTCGTAGTTTGAACGATCTGTCGGCAGATACTCCGTCTTTAACTGGCGACTCTGCTGCTGCTGAGCTGCATCCTCTCTAACTCCGCTGTACTCCTTCTGAGAAATCTCCTGGCTGGATCGCTCGCCTCGTGTCTTCTCCGTGCCGTACATCCTGGAGCTGGAGCTAGGACTTCTCGCCTGCGGTGTCGGTGCAGAAATGTGCAAGTGTCTGGTAACCCGATAGCTGGCAGGGCTCGAGGAGCCGCCAGAGCATTGGCCAATGCCACACGTGGCCCCGCCGGCGCCCTCTCCTGCGCCTCAAACTGGCCCATATCATTTGCATATGTATGGCCATATATCGCAGTAATGAGTGCCAGAGTGTGGGTGCCAGGATTCATGTATCCGCCGCAGACGTATCAATACGATTCACATTGAGTGGTGCTTTCAAATTTGATGGCTCTTTCTGCATTTGTTTACATTTTATTGTTTTGGCATTCTCGGCATGTTGTGGGCCGCTCGGCGGTCCTCTTCGGTTACCATTAGGGAATTTTGTCATGAAATTCGGTTGCCAGTTGTAACATGACCCAAATTGTTTTTGTGACTTATTGATTCAACAAAAGTTTGTGTTGCGGCTTCGCTTTCGGCAGTTCTAAGTCGCCCAAATCGAATGCAGGCCGAGAGCAAATCGCTGTTTGATTTATTTCGCAAAGGGTTTCGATCCCGATCCGACCCACAATGATGTATGCAAGGTCGCCTTGCCGGAATAATGCGACCATTAATATCGCTGTCGTATTCAAATTATGCTCGTAAATCGCTTGTGCATGGGCAATTGGCGGTGCTATAGTGCTGCTCTTGAATTGCACAGGTAGGCAGTTATAGGTACAGGTACAGGTACTCGACTTGAACCATCACCAGAAGGACTCACCGCATCGGTATCACTCATGTCGGAGGAGGAGGAGGAGGCACTGTGTGGCACTGGGAACCGGACGCGGACTCTGGACTCGTTCTCGTTCTCGGCACTGCCTGGCAATTAACTTTATGCGGTAGCGGCGGCGGCAAAAAAAGAACCGAAAACTTTCGCATTTAGTTTTGGTGTGTTACCTTTTGGAGGGCAAATCGATAAAATAGCAAAGACCCACCGAAAAACGGCTCGTAATTCCCTTTAAACTTCTACTACTGCTGCTTCTGCTGTTGCTGCTGCTGGAGGAGCTCCAATTTAGGGGCCTCAGCACGTGCAACATTCGACTCGCAACTGAACTTGTGCCGAGTCAGAGCCAGAAACGGATCCGCCAACTTCCTGGCCAACTACAGGCACTGAAAGGAGGCCTGTCAGGCAACTGCAAATTAGGGCCACAATGATTTGTTTCCCTGTCGCGGCTGACATAAACCGAAATTCCACACAATGTTCATGTCAACCGCAACAACGACAACTGTCATTTGTGGCCAAATGGTCTTGGCCAAATTGATTATCAACAATTGTTCGCTGTGTAGGGGCAGGGGCGGAAAGCCAAGCCAATTGCAGGTGCAACTCCGACCAGACTGCGGCCCATAAACCACAAAAAGTTCTGGGGGAGCCCCTTTCTAAGCGTAACTGCTCCGCTTTTCAATTAGATTCCCCAGCCAGGGAAATATTGTTAACAAACTTGGTCCCCTGGCAATTGAATTTCGTTGCGGGAAGGGGCCTAGGGGGGCTTCGGCTTCCCCAGGATGTGGGAAACTACTGCCACTGCAGTTGCGATTTTATCACGGACACACCGACAGACGACAGACGACCGACGACCACTATCAATTGTTGCAGTTCGTCGTAAAACCGAGCCTTGCAATTGTATCGATTTTTCTAGCCAAGAGGGCAATAACTTGGCCACGTACAGTCTGAGAAGGCTAATGCACTTTGCACTTTGCGATCACCGCAAGGATGTTGAGGGAAGTCGCTAAATTCCCGCCTCGATCCAGACACAAACTCCTACTTAACCTGGCTTAAGGGGGCCCTTAAACTGATATTACTTTCAATATTATTTTATATTTCCTATAGTTTAGTTTAGTTATTTTAATATTTTATTCGGCTGTGTGCTCCGCGACGCCAGCTCTGACTGCGTTGTGTTTGGCGCGAGTGTTAAAACTCGACTGCTTTTATTTGCTTTGAAAAATTTCGAATTACAATACTTAGAATTTGTTTTGATACGCCTGCCCCTGCCCTGCCTCTCTGTTGGACTGGCGAGGCAGCCGCTCGTAAACTTCTCGGGGCGCATAAACAGAAAGTGTCCTTGCGCAGTTCAAAGAGCAGGATATTTTCGTGGAGCAAAGCCAAAGGCAAAGCCAAAGCCATAGCCAGAACCAGAGCTGGCGTCGCCTGGCTTATTCTATTGACATACAAATTTATTAGTGGGGCGCCGGGGAAAAATGCAAATTCAACACGCCAATCCGAGAGTGGAGCAGGGAGGCCCAGCCAGGCCAACATTGGGGTAACGTTGATTTTATATGCAGATTTCATTTGACTTGATTAATTTAATGGGCCCCCGGGGGGAGACATGGACGCGCATTTGTGCAATTCCTTCGCAATCCTTTGCTCCTAATGCCTCCAAAGCACACACCAACACACACTGCACATACAAAAGGAGCTGGGCAAGGATGTGAGGCAGCTACAGGCACCGCCTGCCACGCACCGCATCATATTTATTATCCAGGTGTTGTTGTCATAGGCTCCCCTAATTGTTGTCTATTTACAGGCGGCCATCACGCAAGACGGCAGCACAACGCTCTAATGCGTAGACATAAAAGTAAACCAGAGACGAACCCAACTGACATGAGGTTGACTGAGAATAAACTTCTTCGACGATGGTGGGGAGATTGCCTCCTGGCTAATGTCTGCATAGTTCTTTAGCCTAATTCGATTGCCAAGGTTAGTTGTATGTTTCTGAAAGAGTTTACTTTAGACTTGGTTGCCTAGGTTAGTTTATACTCTTTTTTAATCTTATATTGAAGGAAATTAATGGTTATATTTAGCCTTTGATTTAACATACCAATATAAGTGAAGCCATCTTGGGATTATATTAATTGATTACATTTATCCTGTTATTTGGATACATACCTAGAAAAAGAAAAACATTTTGTTTAGATATTTCACATATTATTGTTTTTAATATAAATACAAATTGTTATTTTCAAATATTCAAATATAACGAGAAATAAATTCGCCGTGTTTCGTGTCGTAGCAATTCGCCGAATGGTGTGTGTCCAAATTAAGCGGATACAGCAACCCAAAAGGTAGTTAGTATTTAAACAATAGGCAAAATTGGTCCCAGGATTCGTTCTTGCGTTTTGTCCGACTTTTGTTACATAAATAAGTAATTTTCTTTTACGCTTTCTAAAACTAAGACTCAAAATCAATAGTTTTGACATCTCAAAAATATCCGTAAACGTAGGAATGTGTCTCGACTTTCTGTACTTAGTCTGGCATTACCTTTAGATTTTGTCAGCGTTTCAAGTGTGACCATTTTCGAAATGTAAGCGCACTGAACTTTTGCCGGGATATTTAAATTTAAACTTATCTAGGGCATATTTTGTGTTTAAAAACTTCAATTTAAATAGCACTGCAAGTTATTTCAAAATTAATTTAGGTGTTTATCTATAGATCTTGAACACAGGCTTTAAGTATTTTCATAGGAAAAACATCAAATTAATCAAGTTTCAATTTAAATCAAATCGATTTAGTTTAATCATTTCGAATCAGCAAAAAGTTATGTAAAGCGAGTGCATTTAATCGGAAACGCACGCAAACCAAGGCCGAACTTCTTATGTTATTGTCACTCTGTGCCGTTGGGGGTTGTTTTGCCACCCCCAAGTGCTTTCGATTTCCGTCCTAACCGCCCGGCATTTGTTTTGCTTTTTCGGGGGATGCAGCCGGTCGGTCGGGTAGCTTTGCCTCGCTTACGCTGTATCTATCGGCATGCCTTCCCTTTTTTTGGTTGGCTTCCTTCCCTTGGTCAATTCCGTGCCTACGCTATGCTCATTGATTATTCTATTCAGCATTCCTGTGAGCTCTCTGACGAGGGCGGAATCCTCATGTGGTTGCTGGACTCGCAAACTGCGCATGTTTGGTCAAACTTGAATTATCCTGCGGCGTAGAAGATGAATCACGGCTCGGTTTTGAAAGTAACCCAAGGCAAGGTGCATGTGGTTAACACAAAGAAATTTCGAGATGAAGGCATTAAGTTTGAAGCTACCTCATACTTAATTTGGACAGGAATAGTTGCTTTCTAACAAAAAGCTCTTTCTGGCCAAGAAAGGATAAATTAATAAACCTCTTTCATATTAAAGGTTAAAGGTAGTAATATACTGAATTTTAAAGTCTCACAGATAAAAACATATAAACATATAATTAAAGAGTTTTGATTCCAGATACATATCCCTCTTTATTCATACGTTGTGAATGATATTGGTTCTCCCTGCGGCGACACCTTATCAATTAATCAAGAGCCGAATTTATGGCTATATTATCGACTAGGACCTCAGGTGACGTGCATATCGTGTCGAACATGGTTAGATTTATAGCCGAGCGGTGGGAGCTTGGTGGCTGGGTAACTTTAACATTTGTATTTTTGACGCACTTCGATTATTGATTGCCTTCCACAAAATGTGGCAATTGTCAGTGAGGCAGCCGCACGCACGTTACCCGATGTCGGCCAAAACGGGCGATACCGCCCCGTATATGGTCTTGGCTAAAAACTACAAGCAGAACAACAAATTATGCGGCGTCTGCCCAAAGAGGCAGTGGCCACTGGGGTAGCAATGGGGGATTGGGCAAGCGGCAACCCACCCAACGGCTCCGAAGAGACTCCAACTCTGATGGCTACTCCCCAACGAAAGTGCAATAGGCCCGTGGAAACTGGTGGAAAATCGCTGGTAAAATCGAGTGAATCGAAATCAGAGCAGGTCCCCGGTCCCAGACAGCCACCGATGGCCGAGTTTATTGAACTGGAATATCGGTATTGTCAACCGGCACTCTGCGGGGCGATGTTCGCGCCGAAGCCATTTGACAACTCTTTTGTGGCTTTAATTAGAAGGCAGCACGGAGTACTCGGAGTACGGAGCTTTAGCTGGAGCGGGATTTGCGTGTCGCGTGTCTAGCGACACTTTGTTTGCGGGAAAACAATTAGGCAAACACCCAACCTGCCACAGCACCCACCACGCCTGCCTGAGCCGCGAACCCTGAACCCTTGAGACTCCAGAGCCGCCACCCTAAAAACTTGGAGCCTTATTAATTTTGCAGCAAAAACTTTATTGATCAAACTTTTAATTTTGTAATTAATTAATCAAGCTGAAACTGTGGTGCATTCCGGGCTTCAAGCTGCGAGATGCATCCATCAGATACACAATGAATTAATATGCCGGCAGTTACGAGACAATAACAACCTAATAGACGCTCATTGTGCGCCATGTGCATGCTAATTGTGGCACCTCCAAGCATGCACGCGGGGCAATGTAGGGTTAATACCAGGTATTCCTGGCCTAAGCTTGGCTACCAATTTCATTTTTCCGACTAATTAATTAATCGTAAAGACCATATGCGGGCGGGGGAGCCAAGCGTATCCCAAAAGTCACAAAATCTAAACAACAAACCAATTTTCGTCTTGCTTGAATTAACTGAGGCAAGGCGTGGCAGCCAAATGTCTCACAAATATGGCTCCAAATATTCGGTAATTGTTTCTCCGAGCGGAAACCTTAACAATTACCAGAGTTTTTAAAGCCGTTTGTTAAAAAGTATCTACAAAAGCACAAAAGTATCTAGAGCACGCCCCCGTTACCTGGGTTCTCTGAAGACGGTGAAAAGAAAAGAGAAAAAGTACGAGGGGGAAAATCAATTGCAGAGCCAAATGCAAATGAGAAACGAAACTGTCGCTCAGCTGGCAGCGTTTTATGTTAATTGAAAAGCCAAAGCGAAATAGGCGACAGAAATTGCACCGAATCTTGGCTATTTTTAAAGACCGCGAGAGCGCAGAATAATAATAATAATGTGCAAAGAGATGGGTTTGTTTTCGTTTCGCAATTACGTCACGCAAATATATGTTTTCTAAAATATGAATGACACAGAAAGAAAGTGTCCATTTCTCCTGCTTATCAGCTGGAGGACGACCTGGCCAAGTCCATAATCTGAAATCAGATTGATGTAGAGCAGGTGCCGAACGGGTGACTTCATGCAGATGAGAGGCGCTGATAGTAATCAACAACTATATTTCTACTCTTCTCTGTCATTCGCACTAAACAAAGCTAAAGCGGCGTTTGCTTTTGTTATTGTTTTTTATTATTATTTAACAGAGAGCCGGTTTGCTCTTGACTTGATTTAATCATCAGCCGAGGCAGGGGTGTACACTCAACACCCGCTAACCCAATAAAGTCTATTGCCGACTGGGGAATGCCCTGGCAGGAAAAGTTCGCAATTATTATTATATTATATTATTTACCCAGCGAATTCCGTCTAGCTAACCGACCTTTCGGTGGGTAGGTGCACTCCCTGCTTGATTCGAAACGAGGTCAGCTGCAGAGCGACCGCAACATCAACGGCCGCATCAGCACGAACTCGAATGGCTGATAACTTTTATCGCCGTGCCCGTATCTGTGCCTTTGTATCTGATAGATACACACTGGAGCCTCGACAATGCAGCTCTTGCTCTGACTTAGGGAGCACAATTAAAAGCTGTCCCTGTTGCAGGTCATTACCCCGCCTCCCACACATCCTGCCCCCTGTCACACGCAGCAGAAACAGACAGACAGTCGAGCCCCCTTCAGACGGGCCTAAAGCGGCGGCTGAGCAAACAGATCACACACAATGGCTTTGGAGAGAGAGCTCCTAACCTGACAAATCTATTTGCATAATGTCCCCTGCCTGAAACCGGCTGGATGGAGGGCATGACGTGAACCGGAGCTGCATGTTCGCCTGACATAACCGTAACTGAGTCGTCGTCAATGTCCTGGGGTGTGCCGGCAGCACACTTCCTTTTAATTGAGCCATTGAGCCAATGCAGTTGGAGATGGAGAGGCGTGCCTGGAACTTTCCCTAATTGATTTTCTATGGCGTACGCGGCGTATGCGTAATGCGGTGTGAAGTCACTCTTACCTTTCTGCTCCTGATTGGCCCTCGCTGGTGCGGGTTTCTGTGGCTGCTGCTGCGGCTGCTGCTGCTGCTGCTGTTGTTGCTGTTGCTGTTGCTGTTGCAGTTGCTGTTGTGGTGGCGTTGCTTCCTGTTGCAGCTGCTGGAGCGACTGGGCCTGGGATTGGGTATGGGTGTCGCCTAGTGCTGGCACAGCATCCAGCGCCGAGCTTTTCTCCAGGACATCCGCCATGTTGAAAGCCGAGCGAGAGTGTGTGTGTGTGTGTGTGTACGTGTGTTGGCTGCACTCACGGGAAAACGGGATGCGGCACTTTTGTGTGTGTATATCCTTGGGTCCGAATCCTTTTCACTTTTGCACTGTGCACTGTGGCGGTATTCGGTGTTTCTCGGTTTCGTATCTGTATCGCAGCGTTTGGAATGCCTTTGGATCTAGCCTCTTCTATTGCATTTCAAATCCCCCAGGGGCAGATTGCAAAAATAATTTCACCTTTTCAGCGTTGCGACACGCTCACTCGCACTTCACTGGCACTCGGCTAATTTATTTGGATTTTTGCTAGTGCAAATTTTGAAACGGCCAGGCAGCGCAGCTCCGTCTGCTCTTTTGTATCTTTGGGGTTTGTTATCTCGGTTTCAACTGATTTTCAATGCGTTGAAAATTCCCAACCAACGTTCGCAGGCGGCGCGCGCCGCTGAGCTTTTCCGCAAGCTACTCAGCCGGGGCTTTTTTAGTACACGGTAGGTGAGGGTATATCAGCAGAAAGGATAGCTTTTTATACCTTTGCAGCTTACTCTAATTTTATTCAGAAGACTAAAAGAAGTGAAGAAGTCATATCCGACCCCATAAATCATATATATTCTTGATCAGCACGAAAAACTGAATCAAACTAGCCATGTCCGGTTAAAAAATAAATTCTTCAAATTTTTTCCAAATTTTGAAATTTTTATAAGGGGTTACATCATTAAAATTGTCAAAAATTTGCAAAAAATTGAATTTCTTAAAATTTTAAATTGAGTATGCAGATTTATTAAGAATATAAAAAATAACATAGATCGGCTTTCAGAATTGAAATTAATGCATTTTGGCTTAGTTGTAATCGATTGAAATTGTAAGGGTATTCAAATTTGCTACATTTATTGATTCATGTTAAAATTAATTGTATTTCTGATTTAATTATTCAAGTCTTTATTTTTTAAATTTCTTGTTAGCTTAATGGTTTGTGTCCTCACTAAATAAGTTTGCTGAAAAGCTAGATAATCTACCACCTTTTGGACTCGGAACCCTACCTCTGCATGTATAAACAATTTAAGAGAGTATTATACATCTTTTAAAGATTGACAATCGTATTTAAATATTTAAAATTATATAAATACGTCTGTCTCCTTATAATGCCATAAATATATTTAATTTTGTTTTGAAATTATTAAAGAAATGTTAAATTTCATCTTCTTCAATTTAAAAACTATGAAAGTATATTTTTTTCCCTCTAAAAAAAAAAAAAAAAAAATATATATTTAATTTTGTTTTGAAATTATTAAAGAAATGTTAAATTTCATCTTCTTCAATTTAAAAACTATGAAAGTATATTTTTATCCCTCTAAAAATGCCGTTCCTTGTTGATTCCCCCTCCCAACCCCTATGGACGGCACTGTTTATTGATTGTGCAACACCTTTCCGGTCGCACAGGTATTTCTTAGTGTTTATTTAAATACATTTAATCCACATTCACACAATCACATGATAAAACCTCAAAAGAAGGCTTGAGAGCAACCGCCGGGAAGAATTCTTCCCATTTGGCTCCGGTTTTAGAATTTGCCTAAACATTATTTTATTTGCTATTTGTTTTATTTACTTCTCATAGAAAATAATGATAAACTATTGTTGTTTCGTTTGTGTGTGAGTGTAATCATCACCAACAAAATCAGAAAATTCATAACAAAATAATGGTGCACAAAAAAGTTTGAATTTTTTCAGTTTTTTTTTCGTTATTTTATAATTTAAATTTTTTTATTTTTTAAAAATAATATTATCTTGAAGTTCAATTTTGCAGTTGTAGTAGCAGATGTAATTTTTAATTAAAATAATATACGAGAGAGAGATAGAGAGAGTTAGCGATGAATATAACATCTATGGAGAATGGTTGTTGCTATAAATTTGTTGTTGGTGTTGTTGTTGTTGCTCTATAGTTGCTGTTGTTGTTGTTTGTAACTATTTATAGCTGATCTGGTCTATCACACATTCTGGCGAGGAATGCTGCGAAATAGAGGGCAAAGATACCGAGATTAGCACAAGATCTTGATTATTTTGGGGGACAGGACACGTAGACATCATCCGGACATCGGGTGGACCCTGTTGGGAGGCCAGTGGCTCCAACCCTACTTACTGTTTAGTCGAAGACGACTGGATCGCTCATCAAGCGCTGGATGAACTCTGTGTGGAGCGACGACAAACGGCGGGAGAACACAGGATACAGGAGCACGCAGTCACCATTCGAGTGGCATTCGGGAGTTGTTGTGTTTGTTGTTTTGAGATATTTCGTGGTGTTCATGACATTCGAGTGTGAGGTGTGTTGAGTGTGTAGTTTCGGTGCAGGGTGCAGTGGCAGTGACAGTGGCAGTGACACGCAAACATGGACACGCAAACATAGAACACATTCGTTGGGATTTTTTCAGGTCGTGACGGTACAAAGTGCACAGTGCAGGTGCAGAGTGGTTGGTGGGGAGATTTGGTTTGTGCGCAGACAAAGAGTGACATGTGGAATAGACAAACGGCGTTTACAACATGTGCATTTGCTAAGAAATGCGGCAATCCTGATAGATCGCTCGGTTGGCGAATACTTACGGGAGTAGGGGATCATGCCTTCATCATCCTCGGGGTCCATGCAGTCGGCGAACAGAGTCTCCACCTGCTCGTCATCCAAGTTCTCACCTGTGGAGGGGTAACGAGATGGATTGTTAGATCTGATTAGCAAGTACTCCTCTCAGGTAGTGACTCACCGAGCGACAGCAGGGCGTGTTGCAGCTCAGCCAGCATCATGTGGCCGTTCTCCTCCTTGTCGTAGAGCTTCAAGCACTCAATGAAGTCCTCATAGCAACCCTGCTCCTTCTCCTTCTTCACCTGTGAGTAGATGGGCAGGAACTCATCCATCTTGATCTTCTTCTCGTTGCGCTTCTTGGTGCCGCCCATCTTCTCGATCAGCGCCAAGGTGGGGTTCAAGTTCAGAGCGCGGAGGGCATCTCCTAGGTCGACGGCATCAATGCCCTCGCCGGGGGATCCCATGACTTCGAAAACGAATTCGACATCTGCACGAAAAAGAGTCGGTTAGCATGCATTGATCTTTATAGATTCGCTCGAAAATCTCATCAAATTATTGTTTATTTCTTATTGATTTAATCGGTTTATTTGTTTAAAAATAATCCTGCTCATACCCCTCTACGCTCTCGCTGACACCCTTAGGAAACGGGGTCGATGTGGTAACCCTGAAATTTCTGGTACGCACATTTTTGGTCATCATGAAAATCTTGACACGGCAGCCCATTAGTTACTGTCACTGGCGGGTGTGTGTGTGTGTGCGTGAGTGGCGATTTGGGAGCGTTGCCAACACGAAGCACACACTGCGTATACGTAATCCGACACCCGAACCGAACGCCTTCGCTATATACATGCACAGCACATATATACACACATATACACACACTCTCTCTCTCTCTCTGTCTGCTCTCGGTGCGTTCGAACGAAAATAAATCTCGAGAAATAACTTGGCCAAAATTAGATCACTGAACGATCTGCGTTCGCGGGTTCGCGCTCTCGGGATCCCGACCATCCCATCGAATATACACAACATCTCCACCACACTGTCATTTTCCCCGCGAACTTTTCCCAAGTCCAACTTGACTTCGCACTAGTTTTTCCCGGGGGAAAGAATTGATTTGTTGGCTTCGCCCGTTGGCCACTTTTCTGGTTCATCCCATCGGTCGGTCAAGTGTCGATCGATCGGGGCGAGGGCGATGAAAATAGATCGTCGACGATGCATATAGACATTCCGTAATGAAAATTTTCCGCAACAGATGATATATTTAGGATTCGTGATGTGTGTGTATATATATATGGGGTATATTCCAAGTGATTACGAAATATGTTCACTGGCTTTTTGTGTACTTTTCGTTGTATCTACATATATATTATGTGTATCTCACACGCGCACATTATGTAATCGAGTTTTTCGAAGGCAGCCACGCGAGATTTACAAAAATTAGAGAGTTTTTTATGATTTTTAGTCCTTTGAGAGGTTATTCCTGACTTTCCTCGGTTTATACTGGTTTGTTATTGTACTTTTCAGTTCGTCGTTTAACTTTGATGGATTTCGTTTTGCGTTTGAGGTTAAAGATAATCCTGTTCTTTGCGATTCAACTTACTTTCAACTTCACGCTTTGGAACATCAGCCTGTCAACGGAATCGTAAAAAGATTTGAGAGTTTTGCATTAATTTTTTGAGTTATTCAAACTGCTGCCATAATGTGTATATATATCACTGGACATTCGAGGAGGAGGAAGTGTAGAGATTCCTTGGCCACTGGGAGCACTCACCATTTTGTCTGTTAGATGCGAAAATCAACTGTATCGCGGATGAGCTCGGTCTCGACTGAACGTTATTCGTTGGCGGCACTACGGCAAGGTAATTCTGAGGTGATAGCCAGCGGCGGATCGCCGAGCACACACAGATACGAGCGCACACAGATACAGGCGCAGCCGAGTGGCCGAGCGAGTGACGAAACACTCGCTCTTCTCCTGCGCAAGGCTGCAGCACACACACACACCCATACACACATCGCTGGGGTGCCGAGTTCGATGCCAAGAATTTACTTTCATCTTGGGAACTTTTTCGCCTTCGAATGCGCCACAAAGCTCTCCTCCCATGGAGCCGTTTGTTGTGCTCTCCTCCTAACAGGGCGTCTATTTTTAAATCATTATTTTTCTGTGTGTATTTTCTTTTTATTTCGTGTTTGGTTCGTGAAGGCAAAATAATAATCGCTTGTGGCATTCCCAGCCGGATAGTGTTGAATATCATTCGATGTTACAGATGATTTTGCAGATAATATTTTAGGCAACATAGTTTGGCAGGAGACGCTATGGGGCTTTATTGTTATGGGGCTGCGCAATAGATTAGTCGTGGGGAGGGAGACTCCATGGAGGAGCGGTCGAGCGGGTAGATGCCACGACACGGACACCCACACACATAGTTGCTCCTCGGCATTCATACTTATGTATGTGCCGGACCATGTACTGTGTATTTATACACTCATCGACCCTGATCGTTATTTTGGCAAGCTTTGAGTATTTTCAACGATTTGCTCAGGTCTTGCGTGTTATCATTCGGAATCGAAATGTTTTGTCAGCCGGTCGGTCGATCGAGCGGGGGTGTTAAATGGCCGATTTTCGTCCGCCCCACCGATTGTTTGACGGCAACGCCGCAACACCTGAAAAGCTGAAAGCCATTTCAATATTTATACATCTTCCAAAAAGTTCTTCTATTCCTATGGGTCTTTGGCTTTCCCGCCCGAACCGCGGGCGGATCTCATCTACATAGAAGGCGGCACCATCACCACGGCTGGCCCCTCGGGCGCCTTTCGGTGCGCAGTCTATCTACAACAATTTAATGCGCGCTATTTATAAAAACTATGACACAGATACACAGCACGTATTCAGAGCAAAAATGTACAGCAACAAATATTCGTTCGAAATGCTTTGCTTAGGTACATAACACACAAACGCCCGACCAGGCCTGAAGGGTGAAAAGGTGCTTAAGAGCCGGAAAATCAGCGTAGAGCAATTAAGCTATACATTGCCCCTACGGATTCACAGACCATTACACTTACGAGAGTTGGCCTGGACTCGATGCCATCGATGTGTCCTTGTCCTTGACATTCGTGTGTACGTGCCTTTCAGAGACAGAGGCCCGTCTTTGACCCAGTTTAGAGCCGCCCAGCTGTGTTGCCAACTTCCGGAGAGCTGTGCTCCTCTGCCGCTCAGTCCATTGATGGTTCGGCTCGGCTTTTTTGGACGCGCAGCCTCCCTGGCTTTGTTATTGTTTACCGCACTGTTCGGTGGGACACCTGTTGTTGTCACAGGAGTATACTTGTATGTGGGGCTTGGGCATTTGGGCCCAAGGAAGTCCTTAATCGAACAGCTGTTATCAGTCGCCGATAGATGCAGCACAGAAGCTGCGCAGATTTGGGTGCGCAAGTCATTGATAAACCGAAGTAGATGGAATGGGAGGAAATAATATGTATTTATAAATATTTGTGTATACCCTGATTTTTTCCCAACATCAAAACAGGGCCACTGAAAGATGTATTCGGGGATTAGTTAGATATTTTGAGAACTTAAAAGTTCATATTACGATTATGAATAATTATAAGATCATCCCTCGCTATACATGTATTTGACCTTGAAATATATACATATACTTATTAAACGAAAATAAATGAATATATTTACTTTATATTATTTTATTGATATTTATTTTATAGAAGCACTATAGGAAATTGGGTATTTAAGAAACCAGAAACTATCATGTTATCAATCAATATCAATTTGAAGACACTTTCATTGGATCAGAGTTTCTCTTAAAACAAGGGTTCAATAAATTATTTAATGTTTCCAATTTCAACAAATAGATTATGTGAGCGACAGACACTAGCAAATCGCTTGAATTTCCCCCTTCACGACAATACCATTTATTTGCAGACGCACCCCTAAGAGGCAGGACAGACAATGGAATTTAATGGCGAATGGACATAAATATGTCTGGCAGACAGCGTATACGCAATATCCACCCTCAGGCATTTGTTATCATTGATAAGTGTGGCTCCACAAACAGGGTGTCCTGATCATGAATCACACTCACCTAAGCAGCCATAAGCGCAAGGACACCCATTTTATAAATGGCGAGCGCAGCCCTTTTGGCATGCCAGTGCGTATACTTGATATGGAGTGCGGGTGCTTGTGGTCCTGTGTGGGTGCCTCTCTGTGTATCTGTGTGTGTGTGTATATCCTGTATACGCACTGTGGGCCTGCTGCTGTCGGCATTGGAAACGATGGCGAACGGAGGACGAAGACGGCAGGCGAGGATAACAACGACAGGGAGCTCAGAGCTCGTCAGTTAACGACGCTTGTCTCAGTTGCATCCGAACGCTCCAGCAGTAAACGTTATCGAAACTGGCCAAGCGCAAATCAAGGTAAGCTCAGAAGCCATTTTGCAAACTTGGCTGCAGCAGGAAAAAATGGTTAAAATACACAAATTGAAAGCAAACATTAAGTGCTAAACGGTGACTACACAAAAAGGGTCCGCAATTAGTGAAAGTCTGCCGCCCAGCCCAGCTAGGAGGTGCTATGGCCAGGAGCCATTGTCACCGCGTTTCGCTGGGTGCGGCCCCAATCAAGCTAAATGTTGGCACAAATGGCGACGTTTGATTTGAGTGTGTGCTAAGTGCCAAACAATTGGTGCTGCGACAGCGATTAATTGGGCAAAATTCGAAATTTTCAAGAATCCCAGTCGGGGTTATATAAGCCTGTGAAAATTTTTGCCCCAAATTAGCATGTATACCAGAAACCCAGTTCTGTATCTATAACCCAGTCGCCTCGTTCTCGGCACTGCTGCGGAGTCTGCGTTCTGCGCAGCGTCCCAGGACCAGCTGGACCCGTCACTGGGCTGGTGTGGGGAGGTTGCTTCGTCACACAGACACACATAGTCACAAGGATGTGGTGGCACTGACCTAGTCGGGGAAATACCAGAGCAACAGGAGTCGAGGCAGGCCTGCCTGCGCACGCAAACACCTGTTGTTGGGACATGCTAATGGCTCGGTTTTATGAATGACCCGGACTCGCAGCTGTTGCACAAGCCCCTTGATTTGCGTCCTTGTCATTACAGCTGGCCACCATGGTGACCAATGCCGGCACAACGGGGGCAGCCGCAGCAGCAGCAACAACAGCCACCACGGCCACGAATAACAACAACTTGCAAACGAACAACAACAGCCATGCGGCAAATAACAACAACGATGACTTTGACTTTGACCAGGATAATGGATTGCAGGACCTGGGCTTGCCAGTGTCCGTGCAGACCTTCCTGTGGCGCCAAATAGCCCCCTTCATCCGTCCCAAGCTGGGCAAACTGCACGAGTCTACCTGTCTGGTAAGTGTGGCCCAGGTGGGCCAGCAAAAAGAGCAGTCCTCGGTTCTGCCAAAAGTCTAAAAATAAAAAAGCTACAATGGTCGAACATGAAGAGGAAACTTTTGGCCAAAATGGGAGCGCTCCCAAGTGAAACTGTGAACTGTGCTGTACATTCGCTATGCGTGTTTGTTGTAAGGATGGACTGTGTAACAAACCGAAACCCAAAAAAAAGAAACCATTGGCATTCCGATTGGCACTTCTATTTCAACACCAAAGAAATTGTGTTCAATGTCTTCCCGTTTTGATTTCTCTCAGCTCAATTCAAGGAAAACGGAAATTCAAAAACCCATCTTTACTTTGATGTTTGATGTTTTTATATTTTTCTGCATTTTATATACTTTCTTTTTTAACCAATACTAACACGGCCACCTTCCACGAACTGAACAACAGACTCGTCTATCGCACACAAGGGCAGGAAATGTCTCTTAATTTCAGTTAAAAATTTCTTCAGTTAAACTTTATTTGACCCTAAAAAGTATGCTCTACTTTTTGGATACTTTGAGCCCTGTTTAAGAAACACTTCCTGCGGGTGTGTGTTTGTTACATTCAGTATGCTTTGTACACGAAACCAACTAAAACCACAATAACAATAACAAACTGTACAAATTAACATTGTAAAATCTTTCGCAATTTGTCTAAATCTGAATGTAGTTTTGTCAACATGCACCGGGACACCATGTAAGTTATAAATGTTTGTGGTAGTCTTAGCTCTTGCCTTTTTCTAACCCCAAAAGGTAGTTGACTCAATGAACAACATTCCAATTAATCCTTTGAAATGGTTGTATATTGAGTAAACCTCCTTTATTCCCTTTCGTTCTTTTTGTTGTAGATGTTACGTGTTTTATGTGCCTATGTTTAAGATTGGTTTTGTCTTAAGATTTTTTTTTTTTGCTTTACTAATAGTTGCTCTGGATTTGCTTTTTGGTTTTTAATAATAATAAATTATACATTTCTCGCCCCTTTTTCAATGTCCAGGAGTCGAAGGAAGCCTGCAAGGTAGTATTTATGAAATGTACCTCAGGGAATATCAGATATTTAATGCTCCCATTGCAGTCCTTCGAGAAAGTGCTGGTGCAGAACATCCAGTTCGGTCTCTCTCCACCGCTTACAAAGGCTCTGGGAGCCATTCCCCGATGGCGCCTGCTCCAAGGTGCCCTGCCCCACGTGATGCATGCCTGTGCCGCTTTGCTACACAACCGCGTCAAGGATATGCAGGCCATCGGACCCGTGGAAACTAAGCTACTCTATACCATGCAGTGGATCCTTTTGTACGCCGCCGAGGAGTGCGCTGACGATGAAGGCGGCGAGGATCTAGGACTGGGTGAGGTGGCCGAGCCCAAGTCAAAGTCCATAGATCAGTACTTGTTCTCAGTGCCAACGATTACGGTGAGTGATATGAACTCATATGATTCATGACCAATTACTTATTACCTCACTCTCTTCCAGCTCTTTGTGTATCTCTTTGCACCCATCATACATCACCTAAAGGAGTCGGATTTCCAGAACTTCCGTCTGGAGAATGGCATTAAGCTTTGGCAGGGCATGTGGGACAACCGCGCTCCGGGAGCCCCTTGCTTTACAGCTTCGGTCAAGCCCAAGGCTCGGAACTTGCTGTGTGCTCCCACCCCGAAAGGATCTACGGATGTGTTTCCCGCCCGTAAGCACTCCCTAAGCGCGGATGCCATGTCCCCCAAAGCGGACTCGCCGCAGAGCGGCATTTCTGATTACGGCAGGCAGGATGAAGAGGTTCAATGTTAAAGATTCCAAGGTGGCCAAAATAATAATCCTATTCATTTAAATCACAGGGCTCCTGGGTGTCCTCGCCCAAGGAGTTTGCCTTTCCCGAAACCATACCCGAGGAGGCCTCCAGCGTGGAGGACGAACGCGTTGTCATATTTAGGCTGCCTTCGGCGCCACAACTTATGGATAACTCGTTCTTTACGGTAAGTTTGAGGCTTTTAGTAGATATAAAATGTGTAATTTAATGTATATTTAACAGGCCGATGCCAGTCTGCTCCAGCAGCAGCAGTCTCAGAGCCGTCGTGGCAGTCGCCAGTCCATGAACTCTCGGGACAAGGACAAGGTCCCGTCCACCAAGTTCGAGTTTGATCAGCAAGAGCTGATGCGCGGTGCCTCGATGAAGGAGAAACGAAGTGCCTCTATTGAAAAGGAGACAGATTCGGACAAGTCGGACAGCATCAAGGCGGATGTATCGGCGGCCACCTTCCTCGATGTGGCGGTCCTTCGTTGCCTCTTCATCTCCCACTGGCAGGAGGAGGGCATCTTCTGGAGCCTGCAGTATCTGTATAATCGGTGAGATCTTATTGAATAAAAACTCCTCATCCATAGTGATTATTTACCCTATTGTCTTTGCAGTCTCAGCGACATTGGAGAAGAGGCAGCCATTACCTTGAATCAACCTCGCAAGCGATCCAACTCTTTGCCCATACCCCAAATCGAGATATCTCTGTACCAGGGACCCGGCAGCAATAGTCGCGATAGTCCAGGGAGCTCTGTAGTCAAGGACTACATCGAGATACCTGATCCTTCGCCCACGGTGACTGCCTGTGTTGTGGGTAAGAAAGATCACAACAAGATTTTCTGAGATGGAATTATGATAACTCAACTCTTTACAGAGGAACCCCAAAGTGCACCGAGCACCAGTGAAAGGCGTGGCAGCGAGAAGAAAAAACGGGTCAAAATGGCAGATCTTCGGGCCTTCGTAGAGACAAAGATGTTCTCAAAGTCGGAGAAGAATTTGGAAAAAGTAGGGCTAGATACAAACTCTGCCAATGGCAAGACACCAACACCACTGCAACATGCAGTAAGCGGAGTGAAAACTTATGTTTACTGTTCTTAAGTGTTTCTGCTTGGCATCCCGCTTATAATTCCCACATAAATAATCCATTGTCAATGGTGTTTGTTTGGCTTGAGAGTTGAATGTTGACTTACATATGTCTCAGGACCCTTTTAATTACTTGCATACTAACTATATATGTACTTTGTTTTGTCTAGGAGTACCACCGCAGCCTGGACACAGGTGAGAAGAAGCTATCGCGTTCCGCTTCGATGATTAGTCGCGAGCCGGCCAGCAATTTGATCAAGGGCAAATCCATGCCCAGTCTCAGGTAAGCGAATATCCCCCAAAACACCTCCTCTAATCCATCGAAAGCATTCGACTGACTCTTAATCAGGCCTCTGACACCAGAACCAAAAACTTGAACACTTTCAATCAACTCTCGACTCATTCTATGCTCTCCAGCTAATGCTATATATTCTATACCTCACGACTTGTACTTTGACTTTCTTCTCTATGAACAACCAGCTGTCTGCTTGATAGCGGGTGAGTTTTGGTCTGCCAAGCAACTAAATACGATGTTTCTCGATCTCCAAGCACACTATATATACATATATCTATATCTACATGCTCTTTGCCTGTCTATAAGCGTGCCTCAGTCACAGTTTTCTTCCCCATTTCCTGTCTACCGCCTTGCCTGCTCACCTGTGGCACCTGTCCATGCCGTTTCTTTGGCACCTCTCCCCAGCTTTTCCCCTATTTACCCTCAAACAATACCCCTAAGCTTGCCGCACTCCGTTTTGACTAATGCCACACACGCTTTCTCGCACGTCTCCTACAAAATACAAGATTTTACAGATACGTAGAGCCACCTAAAGCACCAAGGCCATCGCAGGCCAGCTGTCCGCGCTCCACGGCATTTTACCCCCGGAATCCCATCATTACTGTTACGGAGCATACGCCCACACCCTCGCCAGACTACATTAAGCGACAGGTGAGCACTAATACTGGGTCAGAGTTAAGGTCACATAGTAATCAAGATAACCCTGAGTTTAAATGGAAAAAAACTGCACTTTTACAGGGATCCATTGACTCCCAGCTGGATGCCCTAAGTAATGGCGGAAGCATTGCTGGCGGCAATGGAGGAGGCAATGGCAGCACCGGCATGGGCAGCACCACCACCCGGTACCGTGGGCAAATGCTGCGCTCCCACACGGACTCGCATATCGATTATACAGGCGTGGATGAGTCTGAGGCACCTGGGTCCTCCTTCTACATAACCCGCGATGGCGGCATTGACTACGAGATAATCCTGCTGGCCATTAGCAATGTGTTCAAGCGGGATCCAGCTCAAGTGTGTTCCCTTCGTGTCCTAGAGGCGGGCCTCAATATCTGCGAACTCCTGATCGAAATGGGGGTTCTCAAGTTGGGTGAACATGCCCACGAGATTTCCATGAGCATCACCAGGCGAGCTCTGCAGGTACTGGGATGTCCACACGGTTGCAATGATGGTGAGTTGCGTGTTTCATATAAGATAATCACTCAGAGTTTCCTTTCTGCCACAGGTGTTCGAGGTCCTCCCGCCGACTTCCTGCGCAATCAGTGCCAGAAGATTTTGTCGCGGATGCTGCGACAGGCTGGCCAGCGGACCAAGCGATACATGCAGGAGATGGTGCGAACGTCGCCGCTGCCGGAGCTCATAGACTACTTCCATGCCTTCCTGGCATTCTGCGTGGACCCCAGCTCGCTGCTGTCGCCCCTAAGTAAGTGTTGACCCACGGAGATCCGATGGCAAACCGCAAATGCTGGGCTTGGATGCCAACCCCAAAGTAGGCGCACCGAATCCCCGTTTAACACTCGTTCCAACCAGTCTCTTGAGTTCCATTGGCCATTTTGTGTTGGGCTTCCCATCTGGCTTTTGATTTGCTCATCTGTCATCCGTCATCCGGATCCCGGATCCCGGATCCCATCTCCTGCCTATATTACCCCGCATCCCCCATGCTGTTTGTGGTTCTATTCTTGCATGCCGAGACCTTTTGCTAATGCTTTTGAGTTGTCCCTCCCGATTCTTTACTGTCACCACCAATACGTTGTATATATATATGTGTATGTATGAAATGATGCAATAGCTCATAAACGTCAGAGTGGATATAAAAATGCTAACACCGATCTTGGCGGCGTACCAGGTCAGGGCGGCTATTCGACCAATTTTAGTGGCGGCATGAGCGGCGGCGCCGAGGCCCAAGTAGTTGGGGCAGTCTTCAAGCCCCTGGTCAGTCGCTTTGTGGAGGCCAGCAAGGATCTGAAGGGTCCAGAGAACATAGCCCTTTACGGCGACATCCGGCAGTTGGTCACCTATGTAAAAGGAGCGCATGGCGGACCCTTCCGCCTGGTGGCCCTTAGCGGCATCCTGGCTGTGACCCCAAGACCTCACAAGAAGGGACCCACCTCGCAGACCACACGAGTGATTAGGTAAGTGAAAGGTTCTAGAATCTATTAACAAGAGAGAGGAACTAAAGATTTCTATACATATTTTCTAGACACATTCCCCAGGCCAATGTTCCGCAGAGTTCTCAGAACGACGACAATCGGTCCCAGCGTCGCCTGCTGCTGAAGAAGCGCAGCACGTCATCCGCCTGCGCCGTGGTGAGTCACGATTCCGAATCAATTCCTTGAAACTGATCCCCTTTCTGCTTTCATTTCTTTCCCTGCAGAGTCTCCTAGAAACGGAGGCATGCGAGGAACACTACAAGACCAGCCAGTCACCGCTGAGCAACTTCCGGAGACGCACCACCGGTGTAAGGCCCACATTGACACCTCGACATAGCGAGCGAGCCCTGCTTTCCGATTCCACGTCCAGTTCGGAACGCAATTCGCTGGGACGGCTCAGCGGCTTGGTGCGCTGGTTTCGCGGCACGCCCAAGGAGGCATCGTCCATTGACCTGGAGATCGGGTCCCTTAATCCGGAGATCTCCTCTACATTCATGCGGCACGCCTCGCTGAAGATCCAGCGCGGCCGGTCGAGCGATGGCATTGGGCGGTCCATTCAGCGTGCCAAGCGACGCGTCGAGCGGCGGCTGAACCGTTTCGGCGGCATTGTGAAGGGCAAGAAGAAGGTTGGCGGCATTGAGGAGACGGCTGACTTCAGCCGGCGCAGCTCTTCGGACATGTGCGATGGGCCGAGAGAATCGGAGGTTGTGATCCTCAAGGAGCGGAAGTTGGTGCCCACGGAACCGGTGCGAGTGGGGATGCTACGTCTGTCCTTTCTACTGGAGACTTGCGCCCCTGGCTCCTTTCCAGATCCCCAGCTGGTGGCAGCCGTCTTGGATTTGGTTAGTAAAAGCCGGCATTATCCGCCAGATATCCTCCTCAGATCCATTTAACTTTTCAAACTCTTTATGCCGACAGCCTCAAGCTCCTCTCGTGGCCCGGGCCACATTCCTGTTGGAGTGCGCCCACTTTGTCCACCTGTGCAACAAGGGCCAGTGGCCCGCCTGGATGAAGCAGAATGTGGGCAGCTACCGGGCCTCCGGGGCCAACATCAACATAAACCAGATGAAACAGCAAGTGAGTCAAACAAGCGCCAGACGAACACACATCTTGCAACGTGCCGCCGGGAAGATGTTCCACCAGTGGGCGGAGATGGTGGGTGCTCGTCTAGAGGAGATTCTGTTCACCGAACGGCTGCAGTACGAAGCGGTGAATGCTAGTCTCACTGATCCAGAGAAGCAACGCGAACTGCTGCAGCAGGACGAGGAGGAGGACTTTCTGGACGAGACATCTGTGAACCCGCACGGCAACGATTGTCCTCACTCCCTGAAGCTGATAGCCTGCGTCCTGCTCTTCGAGATTACAGCGTTTTTGAGGGACACTTATCTAATGTTGCCCAAGACATCGAAGCTGATCCATCGGGACAAGCCGGCGCCATGGGAGAAAGTTTATCGCGAAGCCAACCGCCGTTGGTCCATGGCCCTGAGTTCAATGGGGCATTCGCAGACCTCGGCCCAGAGTCTGCAGTCAATAGCAGCGGGCAACGATGTTGCTGGTCAGTCGGAGCGGAAGATCTCTTTTGTCCTCCACGAACCGGACAACGAGTCGGAAAACAGCAGCAACACAACGCTAACCAAGGAAGGAGGCGAAGAGGGTGAGTTCTATTAGAGGAGGATGTCTATCTAAATCCTAATTATACCTTCGCAAGGATATTATAATTGTAGTCAGAAGCTTGTAAAGCTATGAAGGAGCCATTTCCGACCCTATAAAGCATATACATTCTTGATAAGCATCAAAAGCTGAATCAATCTAGCCATGTCCGAGTAAAAAATAAAATTTCAACATTTTTTCGATTTTTGCAAAAATGATAAGGGGTTACATCATTAAAATATGCAAAAATTGTCCAAAAATCGTTTTTTTTGTAAATATTTTGTGAAGGAGTCATTTCCAACTCCATAAATCATATATATTCTTGATCAGTATCGAAAGCTGAATCAAAATAGCCATGCCTGGGTAAAAAATAAAATTTCAAAATTTTTTTCGATTTTTGCAAAAAATTATAAGGGGTTACATCATTAAAATTGTCAAAAAATGGCGAAAAATTGAATTTTTTTTAAATATTCAATTTGGTATGCAGATTTGTTAACCTAATAAAAACTATCATAGGAAAGCTTTCCGAATTAAAATTAATGCATTTTTGGCATTGTTACGAGATTTATAAACTTTGATTTGACGACCAAAATTTGCATATAAAAATATCAGATAATGCGAATATTTTATGCTATAATTTGATAGCAAACTGCTGGGGTATATTTATAGTTTCCTTTCTTATTTTAAATAACTTATTTTAATTTTTCCTTTCACAGCACGCCGCCCCACAGCTTCTGCCGTTCGCCCGTTCCTGCTGAGACGTGGCACTGCCACCACCACAGGCGGATCCTTCAAGCGTCGTTCTCTAAAGCTTCGTCGCAACACCAAGGATAGCAAGGACATTGAAACAGATTGTAAGTTTGATTAATTATACATCTGAACTGGATTGAACATGTTCCCTACTAACTCTTCGAATTAATCCACCCAGTTAACATGCAATCACGACGGAAGGTGTCCTCCCTGTCTGATCGCAGTGACACCTCTGAGCAGGGCATGATTAGCGGAGGCGAGGAATCACCGGGAATCCTTAGTGATGACCAGCAACCAGAATCACCAACTGACTCCAACGAAAACGATGACACGGCCAAGAATATGCCCTGGCTGAAGGCAGTCATCGATATGATGTCCAGCTACAACTACTACTGCACCCACAAAGGATACTGTCATCCTTTTTGCTATAAGCGTCATATGCGGTCCTGCACCCGGTTGGTTAAGGCCACCCGAAAAGTATGATTAACTTGAAAGTGTTCTTTACATAAAATATAATTCTTGACTCTCCATTACCTAGGTTTATGGCGAAGAATTTGGGTTTACCTTCGATGCCGATCATCCTAATGTAGAGCCCACGGTTATAAGCTCCAGCAAGCCCCACACTTCGCGATCCCGTTCCACGAGGAAAGTATCAGAGCAGAGCTCCACCCAGACTTCCCCTTCCAAGCGTAAGGATAGTTTGTCCCGCAAGGATCGGTAAGTGGTCTTAATAACACACTCAAGACAGAGAGAGAGATAGAGACTATTATATATCCCCAGCATAAGTGACGACCCCGATCTGGAAATGGCTGAGAAACTGGCCAAAGCCTTCCGCCAGGAGAAGGAAAAGAAGCTGCAGGAAGAACCACCAATTCTGAAGTTCATCCGCATCCACATTCGCAATCTGTTTCACTTTCCACTGGCCACATTGCTAAAAGGTGCCGTTGTGCTCACCGAGGAGATGGTCATCGAGGCAATGCCGGCTGCCTGGGAGCTCCTGCTGGAGACGAACCATGATACGGCCACTTCTAGCGCCGCTGTCTTTTTGATGGGCTCAGTAAAGGCCCAGAACTTTGCCTTCGATATTATGCAGAGGGCCCTAAAGCACAAGGATCCGGATATAAGGATTGGGGCCATTCAACGGTATCTAGTGCTTTGGAAATGCCGTTTCCATGTCTGGCCACGAATGGAAGAGAACGCCCACGACGTAACGTTCAAGGTTCCTCCAGGCGGTATTGAATTCACCCTGCCCTCACCCAAAATTGGCATCGAAAGTCTTCCGGTAGTGGACCCGCCGTGGATGCCAGTACAGCAAACGAAGGACATGGATGTCACACTGAACCAAGATAGACATGTGAGTGAGAAGGCTGCCGAGACTCTGGGTTATGTACTGGTCAGGAGGAGATCTTGGGCGACCAATCAATTAACTGCTTATATTTTCTAGCGATCCCTGGTCACCGCCACCAAAAGCCGTAAGATGCAGCAGACGGAGGCCATCCGGAACGCTCTGCGCCAGCAGCGGGACAAGCAGAGGGCGGAGCGGCACAGCTTCCTCATTACCATGATTCCCATAAGTCAGCAGGCCTCCCATGAGCCTGGTATGGAGAAGCTGGAGGACCACGAGATCGAGGAGGATCTGGACGGAACGCGCATGTCCTCGCACTTGCACCACTCCCACTCGCTCTTCCCCTCCGTGCTCTGCTCGTCCGTGATGCAGATCGTCGGCTGCCTGGATGACGCCGCCATCGGATCAGACGGCAATGCGGTGTATGAGATCGCCTACCAGGTGATCTGGGTGTGCCTGGTGGAGGAGTCCGCTTTGTTCTTGCGCTATGTTTTCGAGCGTTTGACTCGTGATCGTCAGGATCAGATGTTCAAGCTACTGCGTCACCTCATCCGATTTGTTCCCCGTCTGCCCCAGCAGGCAGCTTTTGCTCTTTACAACTCGATCATTGGGTATATCATGTTCTACGTGAGATCTTCCAACGAGCTCAAGCAAGAGGTAATCTTTGGAAGTTTCCTTGCTGCAATCATTGTAATAACCCCCATTTAACTTTCAGCTTGTAGGGTCAGCCCTATCGGTTCTGTGGATGGTGGTCCATTCAGTGCACGGCATTATGTTCAAGGATCTGAAACAGATCCTTCGAAAGGAGCAGTGTGATGCCTCTATTCTGCTAACAGCCAATGTGCCGGCTGCTAAGAAAATCGTGGTGCACGGACCGGCTGATGACGACTACAACATTCCGTCTCAATTTCCCGTGCAGGAAGACACACTCTTCTGTCAGTTGCTAAAGGAGGCCTTGGATTACTATCCCATTGATGAGAAGAACACCAGTCACTATTGCCTGGTGGATTACAAGAGCAGTAAGTTGAAGACATCTTTTAGTAAGGGCTAATATATCACATGGTTTTCCATCTTCAGGTAAAATCCTCAACCCAAATTGGTATATTCGCGACTTGTACTTCTTCAAGCGGTCTCAGTATCCAGAGGTGCGTCTCATGCTAATGCGTCCGGAAGAATCCTTTTTGGCCCTGCAAAAGCAGGAGCTAACCAAAAAGTTTGTAGAGATTGGAAAGGTCCATCTGACCTGGGCGATCCTCAAGAACGTGGATATGGTGGTGCAGCGGGTAGTGTTCCTGCACGAAGAGCTAATGAAGCTGCCTTCGTTTCCGCGCAAGGCTCTCGAAGTGGATCTGGATCTGCACCATGGCGGCGAGTACGGAAAGGTCCTGCTCGGGTTGGACGTCCTGCACAAGTTCATGTGGGTGCGACTGATCGCTCGCATGTTCGAGGCCATGGCAGGTAACTTCGCCTATTCGGCGGACATCCAACTCTTCCTGAACGTCCTTTCCGGCGCCTCCATCCTGCATGCCGAAGATTCCTGCATCATGCGCTACGTGATGGCCACCTTTATTAACGCCGCCTTCAACTTCAAGAACATCTTTTCTACGAACGGATACTTTATGATTATGCCCACGCTGCTGCAGGTTTACTCCCTGCACCAGACCAACAAGCTGATCACCACCACCATTGAGTACGCTGTCAAGCAGTTCTATCTACTCAACCGGAAGCCATTCATCCTGCAGATGTTTGGATCCGTTTCCGCCATCCTGGACACGGACGAAGACGGCACCTATGGAGAGGCGCACAAAGTCCAGTCCAGTTGTCTCTTTAACCTCCTGCTCAGCTTGGAGGATCCCTCACCGGATCCGCTCAACATTGCGGAATTGGTCAAGGAACCAAAGCCTCTCAAGGCCATTGATTTTTGCTACCACGACGAGGACGACGACGTGACTGTGTTGGACTGCATCACACTCTGTGTAATGGTGGTTTCATACTCGGCGGAGAGCACTCGAGGATACCAGATGCTGGTGAGTCCAATCTTAATACTCTGCAAAACGAATTCCCTCTCAATACCTATTTTCAGATTATTTTGGAGGCTATCCTGCCATGCTATTTACAGCAGATCCAATCCCCCAGCTACATACCCCTGCAGGGAAAGTCCGAACGCGACATTATCCTCCAGCTGGCGGTAGCCATTCGCACCATGGTGCACAACTGTGAGGGCCTGGCCAAGAGCTACAACGGACCGTATAGGAACAGTCCAGAGCACAAGGGCTCCTCGCAGCGCAACTGCAGCCGAGGACCGCCCTGCTCGCCTGGTCTGGACTTTGAGGAGGAATCACACCCGAAGTACTTGACGGATGCTCGCACAAAGAACATGATGGACTCTGCCGAGGATTCTGAAATGATTCGCACTGAGTACCGGAGACCCCGAGACGTACTGCTCTCCGTGGTGGCAGATTTTCTTACAAAATCTACGGCTCGATTGGCGGAACTGGCCAAGAAGATGCCCAGTGATACCAAGCCTACTGAGGTCCTGGACGCCAAATGCCACATCCGCCTGGCGGATATTGCACACTCACTTCTGAAGGTGTCACCGTACGACCCGGAATCGATGGCTTGCCGGGGCCTGCAGCGCTATATGCAGGCTGTTTTGCCCCGAGCAGAATGGTCCAACGATACTCTTCGGAACGCCTTGGTCACCATTCTGAGGCGCATCGACAAGGTGTTTCTCAAGATCTCGAAGAAGCCCTCCATTCGACGCAATACGGACTGGGAGGCGGCAGCAGGGCTGCTAAAGGGCATTCACGAAACGATCATCCGGCACTCGTACGTCCTCCACTGGCAGCAGATGAAAACCCTGATTAGCACGGTGCAAAATCTGATTGTCAATGAGCCCGGATCCGGCATTCCCGAGGGTGTCTCCAGCGCAGGGGCGGCGCTCATGTCTCAGAATCCACCGGCCTTTTTCTGCTCGGCCGTAGTGCGCCTAGTGGCTCTGCAAGTGGTTAGCCCCGTGGACTGCTTCTCCTTGGTTCACATTTGCGGGGGCAGTGCAGAGTTTGCCACGCAGGAAAAGGCCGAAGGCTTTCTAATGCATCTGATCATGCCGCTGTGTCTGAAGGTCTGCTCGGGACGCGGCGTATCCGATGTGGGCGAGCTCAAGATGACGGATGTAACATTCTTGCTGACAGCCGTGCTCAATGCCATGAGCCCGCCGGCGGGTCGCACTGGTCAGGCTGTGTCGCAGATCAACCGAGTCACCGGTGATCTCCGTGCCGGTTCCCTAACCTTCACGGGCAGTCGGGACGCCAAGCGTCCGGCCCGCATCTCGGGCTCCCTCTATCAGGCCGCCTTCCTGGCCCTGCGCATCGTTTGCATTTGCTTCGAGAATCGACTCTCTAATGAATGGCCACGCATCGTCCGCGTGATGAGGGACTTGGGCAGGCGGAATGAGGCTGCGCCCGATCTGTGGAGCTTCATGGAGTTCGTCGTCACCCACCGAACGCCTCTTTATATTGTCCTGCTGCCTTTCATTCTGCACAAGGTAATATGCAATGTCCTAATTGGGTGACAGGAAGTATCAATATTCTCAATTGGGGTGATGGTCATTTTAAGGAAATGAATAAGTTTCTTTAAGTGACTTCTAAACTTTATCATATTTTTCTTTCTAGATATCGCAACCCCCCATTGGAGACCACGAACGCCACATGCAGTTCATCATCAGGGAAAGACTTCGCGGCACCCCGCCTCAGGGTGGAATCAAATCGAAGGGAGCGCTGCTGCTGGAGCTGGCCCGGGAGCTGCGCGATCTGCGCGACGAGCTGGAGGAGAAGCGATACGGTAAGACCACGTTAAGGGCACCATTTCCCATTCTTGCATCCACACACACGCACTCATGTCTCAGTCTCCACAGATCGCGAGAGCTCCGAGCAGAAGAAGAGCGACACCCCGGCGGCAACCAGTGCGGCAGACGCTCACAAGTCGCAGCAAAGACCTTCACTCATATCTATATTCACAGGAACCACCACCGGCCAGGCCACTCACTCACACGTCTCAGCCGTGCCGATCGACTCGCGCAGCGGATCCGGGGGCATCTGCACGCCCAGCGACACGCTGTCGCAGCAGACGCTGCACCCGCCGCGGGAGTCGCTGTCGAGCAGCTCCACGGGCCGCGATCCGCACACGACGACCAGCGAGAGCCAGAGCGGCGAGGCGGACGCAGGCTCGGCGCCAACGCTGGTGGGTCCCACGCCCAGCGGATCGGGACACGGCGGCACCGGTTGCGGCACCGCCTCTGCCGTGCCCTCGCACCTCTCGCACTCGCAGTCGCTCCAGCAGGCTCCCTTCAAGGCGCAGCCCCCGAAACTGCGCTTCGTCTCGTCCGTGGAGTTCCGGCACTCCTCGGGGGAGACCTCGACCACACCGCTATCACCGGAAAGCCCGGCCGAGGACAGCTCAGGGGATCACACCCGCTCACGACTACAGCGCTCTAAGGCGGCCAGCCGGAAGACCTTCAGGCTGAAACGCAGTCGTCTAACCCCCATGGAACCACCCAGCATTGTAAGCCGTTTCGTAAATCTTTTAAATCTATTAAGTTACAGATCTACTCACCATTTAAAGGTCACCTCGCACTCCCAGGAGGAGCAGCCACAGCAGCCCCAGCCCAAGACACTTGGCGAGATATCCTGGGACTCCGTTTCGCAGACATCATCAACATCGGGTTATCGGGATAACAACAGCCTACAGACGGGACTGCTCTCGCCAGACGGATCCTTGGGCGGACTTACACTTGGTCGGTCGCCTTCGCAACACTCACTCCTCATGGTGTTTGAGGGCCAGGACGAGGACACGCTCATTTAACAATCACAGAACGGCGACCGCGCCTACGAACTCTAGAACCTAGAAATATAGATGGAAGAACTAGTTAACAGGAATTTCAAAAGACATTAGTAATTGGGATGTTACGTTTTATAGACAAATAGTTGTTTTCCATTGTGTGCCCATTTTGTATTCTATAGGTAAAGCTAGAAATTAATAAACTAACTTGGTAGCCGTTCTAAATGTTGCTGGTTTTCATGTTACGTATACGCAAAGTTACGTAGTGATTGCGGGATAAATTTATGATCAGTAAATTTGTGAAGGAATTAATTACTTACAATTTGGGAAAGGGAGCTTTGTTATTTAAAAAGCGCGCTAAGAACATACGTGGGGCCAGCCCTAATTTTAAAGTGAAGCTATCGCTGATAACAATATATTGTACCCCACGGTATACACTTCCAGGGCATTACAATCTCTTTAAAAAGTCTGCAACGAATTCACTTTCGGATCTATAATATATTCCTAATCAACCGATTTGATTGTCCCTCACATACTAATCTCATAGTATTTATATAAATTAATCTTATCTGGCCAACGGAAATATATTAGAAAAAATACTTTAACATTAAAGTTTTAAATTTCATTAAAATATAACACGTCGTTTTCAATTCTATCGATCCTATTGCAAGGGTATACAAACTTCGCTTGGGTGGGTCTTTCTTGTTTATGTTGATTGTTGGTTGCGGTCTATGGTATTGGGTTAGATCAGTGATTGCTCTTTGGACCTAAACTATGAATCTTTGGATCCAAATGTGATAGCTGCATACTAACGGTGACAGTTCAATTCTAATCCCCCCTGCAAAAGGGTGTGCTCAAGCGTTAACTAAGGCAGTCGAAATATATCACTCACCGCGAACGGTTGAAGTAACTGAAGCTCCAAGATGATCAATTCGGGAAAGTTGGCCGGACGAACGCTCTTCATCACAGGCGCCTCTCGGGGAATAGGCAAGGAGATCGCCCTGAAGGCGGCCAGAGATGGAGCAAACATCATTGTAGCAGCTAAGACAGCCGAACCGCATCCAAAATTGCCCGGCACTATATTCTCAGCGGCGGAGGAGATTGAGAAGGCCGGAGGAAAGGCATATCCCTGCGTAGTGGACGTCCGGGACGAGAATCAAGTGCGCACTGCGGTTGAGGCCGCAGTGGCCAAGTTCGGTGGCATCGACATCGTGGTGAACAACGCCAGTGCCATCTCTTTGACCAACACGCCCAATACGGACATGAAACGCTACGACCTGATGCACAACATCAACACTCGCGGCACCTTCCTGGTGTCCAAAGTGTGTCTGCCGTATCTCCAGAAGAGCAACCACGCTCACATCCTTAACATCTCGCCGCCTTTGAGCATGTTGCCCAAGTGGTTTGGCCCCAATGTAGCCTACACCATGGCTAAGTATGGCATGTCCATGTGCGTTTTGGGCATGGCTGAGGAGTTCCGGGACCAGGGAATCGCCGTCAACGCCCTCTGGCCGCGCACCGCCATCCATACCGCTGCGATCGAAATGCTCACCGGTCCCGACTCTGCAAAGTGGTCTCGTAAACCAGAGATCATGGCGGATGCCGCCTACGCCATTCTGAGCAGGGAGCCTAAAGCGGCCACTGGTCAGTTCTTCATAGACGATGAGGTGCTGGAATCGGTGGGTGTAACAGATCTCTCCGACTACGCCTGCTTCCGTGAGAATGCCGACGCGCTGATGGTTGATTTCTTTGTGGAGGAGAAGGGAGCTCCTGTCGGAGGTGCAGGTGCTGCATCAAATGCTAAAGCTAATGGTACAGGCGGTAATGGCATACCTCATCTGTTCCAAAAGATCGAAGCCTTAATCTCACCTGAGATCGTATCCAAGACGCAGGCCGTGTACCAGTTCAACATAAGCGGTGCCGAGCAAGGAACTTGGTTCCTGGACCTGAAAAACGGTTCCGGATCCTGCGGCACTGGGGCACCTCCCACCGCAGCCGATGCCACAATGTCCATGAACTCTGACCACTTCTTGGACATGTTTTCCGGGAAGCTGAAGGCGACTCCTGCCTACATGTCCGGAAAACTGAAGATCAGCGGAGACTTCCAGAAGTCCCTGAAGCTGGAAAAGGTGATGAAGGCGCTTCAATCGAAGCTATAGATGCTATGACTTGTAAAACCTCTTTTATTGTGTTTGTACCTCTTTTTGTTGTGTTTTTCCTAATAAAAACTGAAGACTTTAGCCATTAAAAGATTTTAAAACAAAACACAAATATTTGCGCGGATTAGTCTGACCAGATCTCGTTTAACTAGAATACCTCTCTCGCCTTTTTGGCATTTTATCCGTTCCTAAGCGGGGTCATATTATTGTTGATAGGTACAATTTTTGGGTAAATAATTCTTCGGAAATTCGAAATATGTGTCCACCTGGACATGCATAAATAAATAGTTCTGACAAAGAAGCCGTATAGACAGTCGACATGGCCTCCTGCTCGTACAAGGTATTTCCTCTTGAAGAAAATGCACACCGAAAGTTGACTAACATTTATTCGTTGCTACCGCCAGGACAAGACCCTGAAGCTGATCAAGTGCTTCTGCGGCTGCAGTGACATGACCGTCTCTGAGGTTCGCAGGATCTACACGTTGTCGAACAGTGTCCACGAGACCCTGCTGGATGCGGATGCCAGTCGGCTGCTGCACCGCTTCATGGAGAGTCGGCGTTCCGGCGACAAGAACGAGGCGGAGCAGTACCTGGAGATCTATGAGAAGTGTGCCGAGCTGTTGCAGGAGGCTCAGCGCGCCTTCACCCAGGACGAGGTGGATGAGCTCGTCGATCTTGGTCTGCCCTACGATCTGGAACAGGATCTAAGCAGACGCATGTTGAGCGGTCAGTGGACTGACATCAATCTCGGTCTTTATCGCATTCAGGGCAGATGTCGCAACGAGATCGAGAACAGCGCTGACTTCCGAGATTTCAGAGACTCTATCGCCGACAAGCTGCGTCGGGTGCCGAAATGATACAGCTCGCTGCAGCTGGTGCTTTTTGTGTTTATTCTTCGACGCATACCAAAGTCAAGTTGGTACCACAACCTCGCTACCGTCACAGTTCCCAGTGCCTTTGTGGCCTCCACAAATTTCACCCAGCTCCTCAGGCCGCAGATCAATAGTCATCGTACAACGAACAAATGGAAACCGTCCGCCCTCATCTCCCAGTGGCTTTCGAAACGTGCTAGAGCCCATGCTCACGAAACAATCGCATTCTACTAAACCCTCAGAAACGTAACAGACAACTTTTTACTTAAAACATATACATAGCTTTTTATATTTTATGATTATTAACTTTGTTATGCACTAGAAGTAAAAAAATATTTACAGTTCAGAATTAAAATGATATTACTTCATTTATAATGTCTTCAAATTGTTTTCGTGTATATTCGGGACATATACATACACACATCAAGTGCCGCACAATTAATGTTAATTTTTGAGATTATTAATATTTAAATTAAATAAGGGTAGTAAGATTATAAAGAAAAAAGTATATTTAACAAACTTAAAGTGGTTTATTATATCCAAATTGTATGCTGCATTTAATATAAACTCTATTTATTTAAACAATTATCGCTTATCATATGGGGGCATTATTATTCCGATCAATAGTTAACACACCAAATAACAAGAATCAAACTAGATGTACGCATAAAGCATCGAAAATACCAGTTTTGTTCATTTTGAGAAGAGTTTTGTCTGTTTTATCATAGTCGAACCCATACACTCTATATCTATTTTCCAATTCTTTAAATCTCACAGCATATTTTGAAAAGCCCGCCGTCATAGCTGTGCTGCCAACTTAAAATATTTCATCTATCCATCTCGCTTCCACGCTCTAGCTTTTTTTAAAAGCTTTTCTCGCTTTTTTACGATCCGAAGAGTTGGCGGCACTGTTGCTTGCACTTTGGACTTTCTCTTGGAATCTTCGGATCAATATAAACTCTGAATTCCAAGATGATCAACTCTGGAAAATTAGCCGGACGAACGCTCTTCATCACAGGCGCCTCTCGGGGAATAGGCAAGGAGATTGCCCTGAAGGCGGCCAGAGATGGAGCAAACATCGTCGTGGCGGCCAAGACGGCCGAACCGCATCCCAAGCTACCCGGCACCATTTTCTCAGCGGCTGAGGAGATTGAGAAAGCCGGTGGCAAGGCGTTTCCCTGCGTAGTGGACGTGCGCGATGAGAAGCAGGTGCGCACTGCCGTCCAGGAGGCGGTGGCAAAGTTCGGCGGCATCGACATCGTGGTAAACAACGCGAGTGCCATCTCTCTGACCACTACGCCCAACACGGACATGAAGCGCTACGATTTGATGCACAACATCAACACCCGCGGCACCTTCCTGGTCTCCAAGGAGTGTCTGCCTTACCTGCAGAAGAGCAACCACGCCCACATCCTTAACATCTCGCCGCCGTTGAGCATGTTGCCCAAGTGGTTTGGTCCCCATGTAGCCTACACCATGGCTAAATACGGAATGTCCATGTGCGTGCTGGGCATGGCCGAGGAGTTCCGGGACCAGGGAATCGCCGTCAACGCTCTCTGGCCGCGTACAGCCATCCTCACGGCTGCCATCGAGATGCTCACCGGCTCCGAATCGGCCAATTGGTCTCGCAAGCCAGAGATCATGGCAGATGCAGCCTACGCCATTCTGAGCAGAGAGCCCAAGGTGGCCACTGGTCAGTTCTTCATAGACGATGAGGTGCTGGAATCCGTGGGAATCACGGACCTGACTGACTATGCCTGTGTCCGGGAAAATGCCAACGCACTGATGGTTGATTTCTTCGTTGAGGCGAAGGGAGCTCCTGTCGAAGGCGCAGCTCCTGCTGGTGGTGCTACAGCTGCCGCTCCCGCTGCAGGCGACGGGAAGATACCCCAGCTGTTCAAGAAAATCGAATCTCTGCTGTCGCCTGAGATCGTCTCCAAAACGCAGGCCGTGTACCAGTTCAACATCAGCGGCGCCGAGCAGGGAACCTGGTTCTTGGACCTCAAGAACGGTTCTGGCTCGTGCGGCTCCGGGAATCCGTCCGCCGCCCCCGATGCCACGCTGACCATGAACTCGAACAACTTCTTCGACATGTTCTCGGGAAAGCTAAAGGCAGCTCCCGCTTATATGTCTGGTAAACTGAAGATTAGCGGGGATTTCCAAAAGGCCCTCAAGCTGGAAAAACTGATGAAGGCACTGAAGTCCAAGCTTTAGGTTAATAACTTGCAAAGTCCCAGTTTTATTTTTGATACACAGCGCTCAGCAAGAATCCAGTGTTCGGAGCATATTGTCCCTGTGCATTACGATGATTTATGTATGTTTTAGAGCTCGATTCAACCGGATCCTAAGATGCGTAAAGTTGGAATTTTATACAAAAGAATTCGAAATGTTTTAATATTTATGTTAAGAGAGGAATTAGAATAAAGATTATTCCAAGACATCATAAGGAATTGTTGTTATTTTCTAATTGAAAGGTTTAGGTTTGGAAACCTAAAAATCAAAGTACTTAAATCAGAACAATATCGCGACCTATTCGAAAAGCAGTACAGATTTTAAAAGCGATTTATCCATAAATATAATCTGTATAATTAATATATTGGCTTTTATATTGTAAGCTTTATGTAATTGTGAAGCTCTACAGCTAGAGGGATATTTCCCGTCCGGAAATACGCGACCTAATACTAATTGCCTTTAGTACTGCTTAGGTTTTCTTCCACGAGTAATACATTTCCATTGGCTTGTTCACCTAAAAAGAAAAAAAAGGGTTGAAGTCCAAAAATATTATTATCTAAGGGACAACTTACCTTCCAGAATTTATCGTTGACCTGATGCAGGGTCTGGTTGCCATTGAGGATGACCAGCTGCTGGGGCTGGGGAGCGACGTAGATGCAGAAGTTGAGTAGACGACAGGCTTCTGGCAGATCGGCTCCCAGGTCGAGGGTCAGGCGCATTGCCAGATACTTGCTGAGATGGTCTACAGTTGCATTTGCCGTGGTTTTTATGTAGCGCACACAGTTCTCTTTGAGGGCCCGGATCAACTGGTTATCGGCAGACATCTCCGTGGGATGTGGCTTGAAAACCAGCTCGATTTCGTCATTGATGCCCAGCTCACCGTTTCCCTCGCCCTCGGTGTCTATATTGGAGTCACCCTCAGTGCGGCAGTCCATCTGAGAGTCGGATTCGGATTCCTCGGACCGCTCCGAGGTCAGCACCGACATGGCGCGCTTCGGCTTGGAACTGCTTGAATTGGAGGGCACCGGCGAGGGTGTGCTACGCATCGAGGGCGGGTTGGAGGCATCGTCGACCTGCATCCGAGTGGCGGACGTACTGGCTCCTGAAGTTGCCGACGAAGAGGGCGGCGCATTCGAAGCGCTTGTGTTTGCCGATGCTGCCGAGGTGCCCGAATGTCCAGGATCCCGGTTGTCGCGGTCGATGCTGTTGGTGTTGCTGTTGCTGTCGTTGGAGGCTGTATCGTGGACATGTAATTGATTAGAGGCATTGCGACCAACAGCGGACCCACCACCACCACCACCACCAGCGCCGCCAGCAGCAGTACCTGCGCCGGCAGCTGTTCCCCACCAGCAGCTCCACCAGTAGCTCCAGCATTACCATTACCATTGCCGCCGCCTCCGCCGCCCTTGGTGCGGAATCTCTGGGGTCTGTTCTGGGACTGCAGCTTGATGCCCTCGTTGATGGAATTGACCAGCGCCTGCTGTGACTGCGTCTGGTTGAACTTTGCCATAACCTTCTCCTGGATGGCCTCGTATTCCTCGCGACTGGGGTAGATCTTCGAGATGAGCAGGTCGAAATTAGGGTCAGCGCGAAGCGATCGCTTGGACACCAGCTTCTTGCGGCACGTGGGACACTCCTTGTTGCCCGACCGTAGCGCGGTCACAATGCAGTCCGAGCAGAAGCGGTGCAGGCACTCTTTTGTGGTCATGGTCTTCTTTAGCATATCCAAACAAATGGGACACATCAATTCGCTGTGGAGGCTTCGCGGTGAAACCGCGATCTCGGTGCTGTCCGTAATTATCTCCTGCGGCTTGCGCTGCAGCTCGTACAGCGAAAGCTCCCATGTCTTGTTTGGCGCCGGGTCCAGCGACGTCATTTTCACACCAATTCTGAGGCTTTTCAATACAATATTTAGCGTTTTCCGAAAATTTTCCGAAATTTTCGCTGAGTTTTCAGATTTCTTGTTTGCAGAGTGACCGCAGTTTTAACTATCGATAGCACCGATGATTAGCTCTATCGATGCTATGAGTCTAACGCGATAGTCCTTATAGTCCAGATTTGACCCGACAGATGGCGTGCTTGCAGGATTACATCTAGCACTGACACAAACCTATTAAAAACCAGATTTTGTAACAGTTTAAATTTTAACATTTATTATCTGAATTTTTGTAAATATTAAGTTAAGGAGTCAGGCCCGACCCCATAAATTAGATATATTCTTGATCAGCATCGAAAGCTGAATCAATCTAGCGATGTCCGGTCGAAAAATAAAATTTCGAAATTTTTTCGATTTTTGCAAAATATGATAAGGGGTTACATCATTAAAATTGTAAAAAATTGGCCAAAAATTTTAATTTCTTAAAATTTTAAATTGAGTATGCCGATTTGTTAAGCTTACAAAGATTATCACAGAAAAGCTTTCCGAATTGAAATTAATGCATTTTTGGCATAGCTATGATAATTTAATAATTAAACTGGAAGGGTATACGAAAAATTAAAAATAAAACAAAATTTAACTAAGCAGCCGAAGTGCTTTTTTTTATTTTTCAGAACCCCATAGCGAGAACCTATTTTAAAATAATTCATATATTCCTAATCTTAATATTAGCTAACTTGGCACGTTCTCTAATTAAAAATAAACGTTTATCAATTGCCTAACCATCGTGGAAAAATGTACTAAATACTTAAATGTATTATATTTTCGGGTTCACAAATTTAATAAAAATTCTCAGCTAGGGTGTTAAATTCCAACGTCGATCTACTGGACCCCAATGCTGGCCACCGATCTGGCATATCCTTTTCGGTTGACGCTCCGTCAACACCTCAATTTCAACGAGTTTCTCGCGGCTGTCAATCAAGGTGGCTGGAAAGCATTTACCGGATCCCGCCAAATATGGCTTAAATGCAGAACCGCCGTTACCTAAATTGCGCCTCAAAGAAATTCTGCAGTTGGTGACGCCGTGTGGGGCCGGCAGCAGCGGTGACGATGGTAGTGGGAATGGGAATGGGAATGGCAATGTGAATGCTGCCCGACTCTTAATTGAATTACAGGCTCACCGCCACATGGGACACTTAATATCCGACTGGGGGGCTCCTCCAGTCTGCATGCGATGACAATGACCCTTGAGCATTCCATTAGTTTCGGATAGGAAGGAGCGGAGCATATCGGATCGGATCGCGTGCTCTGAGTTTCCCAAGCCAAAGGTTTTCCCCGACGCGACGTCCCACTCACTCACCTGTCACATTTACTGCGCATTGCACATGCGCGGCGGGAGTGACGTGGCATAAACCTTAGGCAAATGTGCCGCCGCCGCCGTCACCGCCATTGGAACAAGCGGTGAAATTGCTGGACATGCCTAGCATGGCCAACACAAACTGCTAAGAAAACAGAGGGGGACAAAAAAATAAAACATTTGTCATATCCCATGGGGCCAAGGCGCGCAGGCGTTGCCACTTTCGAATTCCTCTCCTCATTAGATCGCCCAGCTAATTATCGTGGCCGGGGAGGCGTGCCCGATTTTCGCTCGCTCCGAATTGCTGCCTCATGGCGGCCGTAATTGCAGCATCTATGCGATCCCGGCAATTTTCAAGTTATCGAGGTTAGCCACCGCACCTGACTGGCAGCCACCAGCAACCACTTGAACCTCTGCTCCCACACGACGACGCCGACAGATCGCGGCTGTCCTCGATTCTTCGAGGCAACCACCAAGCCACGGTACGCGCAGGTTCACGACCCACATGGACGCCGGTAACTTTCTTGAATGATCCCAGCGTTTTCCATCGGCCAACGTTTATTGACATTAATCATTTGCGGCCGCTTGCGGAAATTTGCAAGTACCAGCCCAGGTACTTCTGGGAAATGATTGCCTCTCAGCACACTCTTTTTTTTATGGCAGCTTTATGAACGGTGGTTTACGGCCAAGGTGCCAGAGGATGCTAGTACGCGACTGACTGCCAAACCAGAACCAAGGTTTCTCTATGTTATTCCCAATTCTTTTTCTGCAGTTCGATTTTCTTATTCGTTTATTTTGGGAATTTTCCCTTGTATGATACTCAAACGCAGCACTGAATCATTCGGCGCTAGACCGGAAGGAAGCCGGACGCCATTTTCCTGTTGCTTTTGTTGTCGTCCGCTGTCTGCGCCATTTTGTTGTGGTTTTTTGTATGCGTTTATGTCTGCGAATTTGTATCCATTGTTCGCAGTTAAAGTGAAAGTTGTGCTCCGCTTTAGAACGAACGAGCCATGGCATCTAGAAATTGCGAATACCTAATTGGGCATAACGAGCTGAACTGCGAGGTGGGCGTTGACTTTGATGTGTGTTTTACACGGAAGGAAAAGTATCTTAACGTTTAATCGGAGATAATTACATTATTATGAGACTTTGATTTAAAATAGGGATACAAATAATGGTTGGTTGGTGCAAGATTTTCATTACTAAATAAGTAATAATATAATTTAGATCATTGAATTCAACATTTCTCTCATAAGCTGTACATTTTCATATATGAATTGATGTATTATATATATACAAACTTATCTCCAAGTGTATCAGTTAAAGTGAGCTGGCCCTAAATTGCTGTATGAGTAAACCGCAACATGCCACTTAGCCCCAAAGTCGAAATCAATGATGGCTATGGGAGTATGGGTTTGGGCATGGGAGTTACAAATTCCAGGCCAGATTCAGACAGACAGTTAGAATGTCACCCACACACAGGTACATTCTACACACACACTCTTCACCTTGTATTGCAATCTGTTAACTTGTCCAACAAAGACTGCCACTGCCAATGCCAATGCCAATGCCACTCATAGCCAACAATTGACAATAACAAGCGGGCGGCGTCCGCCCAATTTTCAACCCAAACCGTTGGCTCACCTCCCTCTTTGTGCCCACTTGAGCACCACTTGGTTGCAGCAGCAGCAACATCGGGGGCAGGAGCAACATCATCGATAACAACCACTGAAAAAGCAGCCACACAATTGGAGTTCTTCAATTGCCCACTGTCCAAATATTGCCAGATCCCAGGAACGCTGCGCATTGTTTGCTCGTTATTATGGCCGTGGCTCCCGATGGGAACTTGACCTGGGATTCGGCCTGGGACCAGGCGCTTTTGTCTTTCTGGCCGCACATACCATAAATAAATCTCAATTAAAATGCAACCCCTTTTCGAGGGGCGTTTCCCATGGCCAGGATGGTAATCAATCAGCGGACAAGGCTACTCCCTGGCTTATCCCGGACTTCTAACCCCCCCCCTGTGGCCAGTCTCCCGTCCCTGTCCTGTGTCCACTGTTCACTGTCACAGATGTCTCCGCATTCACACCCCGACACGGCTTGGCTCGGCTTTTCGGCTGCCACTCTTTATTCTTTTCTATGCCACGCCATGCGGCACTTGCATGTTTATTATTTGGCTTGGCTCTTAGAAGCCGGTCCCGATCTGGAGACTGGACACAGTCGAACCTGGTGTGCAGAGGAGGGAGGTGGTATGGGGCTGTGCCGGAGCACAGAGCTGGCCAAGTCGCGACGACGTCACAGTCGTTAAGCGTGACTTTTGTTATTGTTGTTTGTTGCTTTTTGCATACCGTCGGAGCGGGGTGGTGGCGGTCAGAGTTGGGAATGGGAACGTAAACAAAAAGCCGAACTCTAAACTCGAAGTCGAAGCCACTCCACGAACAACCAAAGCCAGAGAAGAAAGAAGTCAGAATTAATCTGCACATATCGGAGTACAAATACCCTTACAATATGAATTTAGTATGCCATAATATATTATATACTAGCATTTTATAATGATTTCCAATTAATAATTAACTTGCAAAGTTTACTATACATTCAAAATTCATGTAACATTTTGTAAAATGATTTGTAATATAAAATATATTAGGAGAAATGCTGGATCTAGTAAAGGTCTAAAAAAACAAGATTGCTTATTCAAAAACTTTCCCCAATGGTATATCAAATGTGGTTCCATTACCAGAACCAGAGTTAATGTAATCCAAGGGTTAGTCATGGCCCAGTGAAGCACCTAGCTGAAATACCCAGAGTCCACCAGTGGTGGCTTCGTTCTGTGGCATAAACGGCAACGACGACCGGCCCCGTTCATTCAGTCTTTGGCGAGATTTTATCGAGTGCGGACGTGTCTGCGGCTGACTGGAAAACTTGAATCCAAATCCGATTCCGAATCCGAATCCGAGCACCAAACCCGAATTCCGAGACTGAATCACGCGAATCTCTAGATGCATTTGGTGTCCAACGTTTGGCGCCACAACCGAAAGACTTTCGAGACTCTGAATCGAATCACTTGTATTTCGATCAAATCGCTCGCCACATGCTAAAATTGACAACTATAAAAACATAAAACAATATGAGTGCCACCTGGATGGGAGCCCGGACCATGGCCTGGATGCTTGGGTAAGTAGAAAGGACGCGGAGACGGAGGGTCCTCTAGAAGTGCTTTAGGGTCCAGCGACTGCGCTCCTTCTCCGACTTCTCCGTCTGCGTGGCCATCTCTATGCTGACCTTCGCCATCTTCGACTCTCTGTTCTCCTCCTCCCTCTCCTCGGTCTGCGTGCTCTGGCTGCTGTGGAAGAAGAGGATGGGAAGAAGACAAAGGTAAGGCGTTGAGTCACCTACTCGATGGGCAAACGGATTCGGTTGGGATGCATATGCAGGTCGCAGTGCTGGCGCAGTTTCAAGAGTGGCCAGCGGAGGACTTTTTGGCTTTGAAATGCCTACGAGAGGTAGAGGAGGGGGCTTAGTTGGTTCCTAAATCAGCCAGGAGACATTTTATAGTTATGTGCCCTGGCATTGTTGGCTTAGTTGAGTTCAGAGTCTTTTAGAAGAAATTTATAACGTAAATTTTTCTAAATTGATTGCAGTTAATGCCATAAGTAAATCCTTTAAAGGATATTTAAAATATGTTGACTTAATTGGGGAATAGTTGAATGGATATTCAATAGGATAACCTCTTAAAATGCCACCAAGCTTCGGTCAAAGGAATTCCTTACCTAGTTATGTGAGCCGTCATCGATAGAAGACCTCTAATGCCAGCCATTTTGACAGGCAGAGGAGTTAGCGGCTCTAGGGCTCCCTCCCTGGGCAGGTCCTGCTCCTGCAGTGTCTTCTTGATTTCAAGTCCCCTGATATCAAGCACCTGGCTGACGGCACTAATCACTTCGGTGCTAATGAGATTGCTCATGTCCTTGATGGACTCCAGCATCAGTGCCTGCAGATAGGGCGTGATTAGCTGCTCCTCGATCTCGTCGGTCTGAGTAGTCTCGTGATTGCCTTCTATCTTGCTCTGGATACCCACATTGTTGTAGAAATGTTCGGTCTGTGAGCCCAGGGTGGCGTTTCGTATCCTGGTCTGGGTGGACCAGCTTTTGGCGGAAATATTCGCCTGGGTGGCGCGACTCAGCAGAACCTGCTCATCCGTCTGGCTGCCAGAAGACTGAATTTCGCAACTGGTGGTCTGCTGATCCTTCGAAAAGGTGGGAAAAAGGTCTGTGGTATCCATCTGGATGCTGCTACATTCGCGACGTGGTGTTTGACTGGCGGTGGTCACCAGAATCGCCCCCTCGGTGCTCACAGCTATTGAGTGTTGATGCTGAGAGGTCTGAGTACCGAAATCCGTCCTAGAATCAACAAAATCTATCTTCCGGTACTGACGACGTTGGCGCTTCCTTGGCCTGCTGGCCAGGGTGGAACTATGTCGAACCTTCCTCATCTGGCGGATGATTAGCTCACCTCTCCGCAGTTCGTAGCGAACCATAAAACTTGAATAAAGAGTATTCACTAGACTGACAACGAACTCTGACCCCTCACTCACCTGGCTTTCCCTATCTGAAATCGCTTGTTCATGCGGATCACGCTGTCCGGAGCGCCGGACGTGGCGATCAGCAGCAGGGCCTTCAGATCGATGTGCATGATGGTGTATATTGTTCCTATGGTTTCGTTCTAGTTTATTTCTGTTCACAGCTCGGATATATAACAAACAATTTTGAAAAAATAAGGTATCTATCTGTGGTACTACGTTCTCAGAGTGTGACTAACTAACTGACAGGTTCCAAAGGCACACTGCCTTTTGGCTTGATTTGCCGAATTTTCACACGAAACCCTTTTTCGTAAATTTGTCTTAAAACCAGCAACACGCAACCTCTTGTCGCTGCGATGTTGTTGCCTGTTGCAATGTATGGGTTTGGTGTATAGCTGCGGGCTCCTTTGTGCTGGCAATTCATTAATAATTCAAAAATGCCGCATATGTTCAGGCCCAGGACGAGGACAACAACGGCGGCGGCTACAGAGCAACAACAAAAATGCATTCACTTATTCTGCAATTTATCAATACAAAGTTAACATGAAAATGGCCACAAAAACCACAGCACAGACACAGAGGACACCAAGTAGGAGTAGGAGCAACAGCAGCAGCAGCTGGAGCAGGAGCAGGAGCAGGAGCAGGACAGGCCCAGCCTGGGGTGTTTGTTTGACTGGAATTGGTTGGATGGGGTACTCGTACTCCAGACGATGGGGCAACAGCATGTGGTGGCCACTGCTAAGTACGTGTTGATTTGGGCGCTTTCGATTGGGCTGAGACTCTCATGGATTTGCAATCCAGCGAATCGATTGGCCCCATACCATCCATCAGCTCCCGATGGAGCTGGCCTCTAATCCCGCCCGGAGGCACAGTTTCCTTGCTGTCTTGCACTGCGCAATTTATGCAGCTTCTTGGCCGGCTTCTAAGGCCTGGCTGGCTATGTGCAGTTTCTTGCATGCATTATCTCCATGGAGCTCCGTGGAGCTCCGTGGGGCCTAAAACTTCGCTCGGAATGCCGGGCACGTCGCTTGGCCTTCGGTTACATTTATTGCATAAAACCCAGCCAATTTCCATTATAATTTGTAACGAGCGGAGACCGCCAAGGGGCCGGGAGTCGAACCCGTACTCGTATGCTTAGTCGGTCAATAGCTTTTCGGCTTGACAAAGTCGCCGATAGGGACCTCAAGACCTGCTGAAAGTCCACGAATATAATCACATAATGTGGCATTTAAAGCCGTCTTTGTGGGTATCAGTATCGCTATCGCTATGGGTGATGGAATTGCATCTTTAGCTGCTTCTAATGAGAGCCCATGCCTCGCGGAGTTCCCACCTCCGGAGCTTCGCTTTTCACTGAGCGTATTACACAGCAGTGTAATTGTACGTGCCTATTTGCATTTTTATCTGCTTCGTTTTCCGCTTTCTTCCTTATTATTACTTGACACTCTAGCGCAGAAGAACAACAGCAACATCAGCACCAGCAGCAAGTAGTGGTTTTCAGTTTCAGGCGGGGAAGGGGGCGATACATCTATTTAAAGTTGAACACTAAACTTGGTTACCCCCTCGACCGACCCAACACCCAGCGAGCAAAAGCTACGACGACTCGAAATTAAGACCTCGCCGGCCGGCTCACCTGTCAAAGTGAGTGCCGCCGCCAGAATGACCCTGAACCCTGGCCGAAGGGTCCAATCAAACCGCAGGCCCGCTGGCTAATCCCTTACAGAATTTCGCACATAAAACGAGCAGTGGCAACGCATAAAACGGATGGCCATAAAAGCTGTTTCATTCTACTCTATTCCCGCAGGTTCTGTTGCCTCCTGTGCCTGGCCGCCATGGCTTCAGGAGCGGGATCAGGAGCGGGGTCGGCGACAGGAGCATCGCCAGCATTGGCCAAGGATGTGGCACAAGTGCACAAGATCAAGAGGCAGGAGAGGCGCCACGGAACGAGTCCTCTGACGGCCATCAAGAAGCCCAAGCAGCTGGTCAGAAGCGCTCACGGCCTGAACAAGAAGCTGCTCAGGTGAGTAACCACACAGGGAGAAATGATACCCCAAACTGCAAGGCTCAACCTACTATTTAGGTATTACTATCTAGTGTAAACACTATAATTAAATTTTAACTTCTCAATGAGGAAGGAAAGAACCACTTCTTAGAACATTAAAGTAACAAGGTAATAAAGCAATAAATGCAAGCCTCATCAAGCCGTCATTTTAAGTACCAACTCTTGATATTATGGCTTTATTTTTTCCACTGCAAGGGGTATGAGACCAGCCGGTGCACGCCTCTTATTTTGGGCTTAATTAAAGCAGCATGTCCAGTGCGGCTCATCCCCTTGCCAGTCATCATAAATTACATTATGAAATATTCATGGAAAACGCTTACCACGTACGGTCAGACAGTCCACTCGGCACCTTCTTTCCCTTTCCCTGCTCGGACTAACCTCTATTACATCAAACCCAACCGAAACCTCTTGGTCGTTGCAGCCAGATGGGCTTCATGAAGGTGAAGGCGCCCAACAGCCACAACAGGAAGCGCCTGGCGGTTGAGTCACGCCGCCACGCCTCGCGCGATGATTCACACATGTTCATCATCAAATTGCCGCCAAATATGCACTACTATGCAGGACCCGCTGCGAAGAATGCGCTGACGGATCACCCGGCCAGCGACAAGTCGCTTGATGTTGCTGCTGCTGCTGCTGCTGGTGGCAACGCACCCAACAAGATGGCAACAGCAACAGCCACAACATCGGGCACACGAGCAACATCAACATCGGTCGCTGAGGCGTCGGCGTTGAAAGCTAACGGGAAAAAGGTAAACGGGATTCCATTAGGTTACACCATAGACACACACACACACAGAGAGAGAGACTCACCCGATGACTCCCCTTGGCCAGAACTGGCTCTGCTTTCGGCTCAGCTCAGCTCCAGGCTGTCAGCGATTCGGCCAGGTTTGGACCTAGCCGAGACTGCGATAAACATCGCCGCGCATGCGCATAAAACAAATTGCAAAACGAAGAACTGAGAACAGAGCCGAGAAGCAGAAGTGGATTACCCATTTGGGCCGATGGCAGAGGCAGACATGGGAGAAGACCAAGACCAAGACCAAGACCACGGCCAAGACCACGACCAAGACCGTTGCCTGAGCCAGAGCTCTTGGACATGCGACTGGGTCTGCAGTTGCAGCTATTTTTATGCGTGTGCGTGTACCCCAATGCCCAAAATGGGTATCTTGGGCATGGCCCGCTGTCCTATAAATAACTTGCTGATAGGGTCAGCTCGGCACGGGGTATCGGTTAGTCCATAGAGCCCCCATTCCATGTCAACTGCAGCATTCCAAGCCGCAAAATACATGGCCTTCGTTGCTGCTGCAGAATTAATGCGGCAAGTGTCAATGTCAGGGAATGTCGGACAAGCTGCCAGGAGACAGAGACAGTGGCACTGGCACTGGCACTGGCACGAAAATTATTACGCTCTCACGACTCCCGGTGGAGTGATGCCGCCTGAACCAGAAATTAATATGCAGGCCATTAACCAAGTCCGAGCCTCAATTAAAAATGCAATTTGTTTGAGCCACTCCGCCGGCTAGTGAGCCTGATTTAGACGCCAGAGCACGGCTGATTTATGGGACGCCAGTCCAGAGCCACTGCCACTGCCAGTACCAGTCTCCAGTTCCCCGTCCAAGAGTCATTCTCCGGGTAATATTGTCTAATCAGTGCGTTTGCAATTGCAGGTCTCGTTTCCCTTCAGCTCCAACGGCCGGCCAGGCCGCATCTACCACTGGAACCTACCGGTCCTGAAGCAGGCGCTGGCCAAGAAGCCGCACTTTGCCCACGTCTCTGCAGCGGATCGCAACAGGCTGCTGGATATCGAGAGCGTGCCCACCTGGCGCCAGCCCTGGGAGAACGAGACCGCTGAGAAGGGCTTCAGTGCGGGCAGCGGCAAGTCCAAGTACCGCAAGTCCCTCAAGCCCAAGTCGCCCACATACTATGCTCCCTCGCAGGCGGTCAGTAAGCAGAGCTTCCACAAGTACTTTGCGGGGAATGGAAAGCCCAAGGGCTTCTACGTCATCAAGGAGCACCAGAGCAAGCCGCAGTTCTACCAGAACATCATCTCGTAATCCGGTTAGTGCTGCCGGAACGAGCCATTCCTTCAAAAGACTGCGTGGTGCAGGGTGTTCTATTTCTACGACTTTTTCAGGGGCCATCTGATCCCCATTTCCGTCCAGTTTCCGCTTGGAACACTTTCCGAGCTATAACCGACCACTTCTAAGGACTGTGAAACAGTTTTGGGGTCAAGTCTATTTTTATAAGGCAGCAATGAATACAATAACAGATTTGGGCTGGTCGAAGGAGGAACATATCAACACGGAAAATAGGTAGAAAGTTAATCGGGTTAAATAGATTTGGAGCTAGAATATTTTTTAAAAAATATTTCATATATATTCTTATATCAAGTTAAGTTTCAACCCAATTCCCAGAGATTAAAATGGCAAAAACTAAATTTTAACTAAAGAATATATCAAACAGATTTCAAAGGGTATTGGTTAAAATATTATTTAACAATAATAATATTTACATAATAAACATATCCTCCAAATCTGTAGCCAATGAAGATAATCCCTTCGGAAGACCAGCCCAAACTGCATCTTAGCTAAGCATCTATGGCAAGGCAATAAATATGGCAAATATCAAGCTAGGTTTAAGTGCATGAACGATTTTGTTTTGATAAATAAATATTGACTGATTTTTAAATGCAATCCGCCTCAGACAGAGGCAGAACTGTCTGCCACGAGTTAATTGACTTGGACAGAGGTAAATCGCTATCAGACGGGCGGTGTGAAGGTGGATCAAGGTGAGTGGCTGGCAATTTTTTGGCTGCTGTCACGACAGAGACACAGGCTCAGGCAGCGGAACAACAGTCTGCGAGAGCCGAGCTAATTACATAAGAAGCTTTAAGGCGTGTTCGGCCACTGAGCCCTATGGGAAGATTGCTGTGCCAGCAGCGGAAGCGGGGCGAGCGTGCGCATGCGCAGTTTCTCATTCGGCAGATAAAGCGGCAGACAGATACAGAAACAGATACATATTTATAAGCCCAGCGCCAGGTCGCAATAAGTAACTGCGATAATGATAATAACGACGACAAAAAGTCGGGTAGACAGACGGCACACCTCCAAACGGCCGCATAAATAATGTTGTTCTTCCCTTGCCATTTTCTCAATTTGTTGTTTTTTTTTTTTCTTTTGGCGACTTTGGGCGCATAATTGCTTTTGCGGCTTATGCCTTCCTGCTCGAACTCGGACTCTGCTGACTCACGTGCGTTGAACTTTTCACCCGTATCCGTGGCCGGCAGAGTCTGTGGCATATTGAGTGCGCGGCTTAAGTAGATTTAATGACTTGTAGTTTCGCAGGCAGCCAGCCAACGAATGAGACATAAATCACTTTTATGACAAATGCCATCAACTGGGACTGTGTCTGAGATGCAGGACGGAGGATGGGCATGGGTGGCGTGGCTCATTGATTTTTTATGGCCATCATCAGGTGAAATGGCTGCGCGAAGCTGCAATGCAGATAACCGTCCTGGCAATCAAATGTCGGATAACTGGTGCCACACTCACAGAGCTATCGCAGTCACAATCCCAGTCGGATCCAGAGCCAGAAGTTGCTACTTGTTAACGCCATTTCCGCTTGTCATATCAAAATAATTATCTAAAAGTGTTTCCCAGTCCTAAGAACCCAACCGAACCGAACCGAACCGATCTCGAAACAAGACCACGGTATGCGAAGTCTCTCTCGTTTGCGTGCGGGGCGGTTTGGCGGTCTAGCTGCAACACCACTGGACAACTTGATCTGCAGAACGAGTTCCTCACGCAATCTTGATTGCAATTATGTAATTCCGAAATTCTTACTAATTAAACTAACATTTTGCCTAATCGTATTTGCATTGCGCTCCAGAAACAAGCCTATGGAATTGCTTTTGATTTTCCTTAACTTGTGCAGAGCAAGAAATTGGTAATGTAAACTATATTATTATGTGGCTTAATATATTAATTAATATATTCATATTTCTGTTAAAATCTAGTATTGTATTTCCAGGTGACTTGGTATCAAGCAACAATATATTCTACAGACAGATGAAGGCTTAATTAAAAATGTATTATTGTCATAATTTAGAAGGTTTTTGGATCATATTATGCTTACAAATATTTGAGACTAAAATAAATTACAATTAAAACAAGCTTTTCGACTCTTAGACTCCTCCAAAGCTTTTACTTGTCTTTCGTGATACCCACACAAAAACATGAGGAACACTTGAATTTGGCGCCTTTGTTTCACGATAACAGTCTCGATAACAGTTTATAACGTTTTCGTAAGTATAACCAGCTGCAAAAATCGCATATTTTTCTGGTATTTTCATGGAAAATATGGCAGCCACACTGAATTTTAAAAATTTATAAAATTTTAAACCTTTAATTTTAAAACTATAACAAAAAACTTATAAAATAAAAAAAAATTGACATGGCGCCAAATTCAAAATTGCGGGATCTCATCCTCAACACCCGCGTGCCGCTGGTCCTCGACCATTTTCCGCTGGAATGGGAATGCTTCGACGGCTCCTTGCACGACTGGTGCGAGCACTTCGACCAGGAAACCTCCAATCCTCCAGCCTTTGAACTGATGGCTCTGGCGGACACCAGGACGCCGCAGTGGGAGCGGAAGCGCAGGAGCAGCCCGCTCCGCATGCTGCAGTTCCTCCGCGAGTACGGAGTTCTGGAGGAGGAACAGACGCACTGGGCGGCTTACCAGTACAAGCGGGCCCACGAGATTCCCCCCAATTGCGTAAAGGGCATCGACTTCTCCTGCTTCGGCTTCCCAGAGCACGGCAACGACTTCTCCCTGTGGCTGGGATCGGAACAGGCCAACACTCCTTGCCACTACGACACCTTCGGCGTGAATATAGTTGTGCAAGTGCATGGCTGCAAGTCTTGGCTGCTCTTCCCGCCCGAGACGCCACTGCAGAGCACGCGGGTTCCCTACGAGGAGTCCAGTGTCTACTGTTTGGAGAACTTCTACGCCCCCGATCCAGATAAGATGCAGGAACTCGAGGCTCTGAGCCCGCAGGCCTACCACTGCAACTTGCAGGCGGGCGATGTGCTCATCGTTCCGCGCCACTGGTGGCACTACGTGGAGGCAAGGTCTACATCGTTGAGCGTCAACTATTGGGTGCCGCTTAAGGACGACATGGACTTGGCGCTCGACGAGTTTCTGGTCAAGCACATCGTGGAGAGCTTCGTGAAGGGCGAGAGCGATCAGATGAAGCAGTACCTGCTGAATCCAAATCAATTGGAGGAGATCTCTGCCACGCCCAGCGAGCTCTATGCCCAGTTCGAGCGGGCTGTGCACAATTTGGAGAGCGGACAGAGCAACCGAAAACTCTGGGAAACTGAATACCTCAGCCAGGCTAACTTTCGACGCCTGCTCTCCACTATCAACCACACTGTGCGTCCTCTCGATGTTATGCCTTCTGAAGAGTTCAAACTGCTGCTGAAGGGCAATGCTAAAAGGCATCGCGCGGATGCTGCGCCGTCCGAGCCCAGTCCGATGAGCTCCACGTGGGAGCACCTGGTCAGCAGCATGTGTGCTCCCAGAGTGATTGCCGGAATGAAGCGAGAGTTCTACCGCAGACTGCGCCAGGATGAAAGTTCGTAGGACAACACACGAGAAAGTCTAGGAAAGAACGTTTACTGTGATACAGGATAATATTGTTGAATATGTGAGATTAAAATCCATTAAGCCGTCAACATGTATGATACAATTTGCAAACAGAACCAAGAACAAGGAGCATTAAATGCCGAATACAATCTTGACTTCTCTTCATCTCCAGACTCATCTCAAGCTCTTTCATGCGACATTTTGCGTTCATGAGGACATGAATTGGGGAGACTACTGGCCCTTTACCAGCCTGGTGGCTTCTGGTTGGGATACCCTCCCTGCTGGTTGGCATAGGTGCCGGGGTAGGTGCCGTAGTGGCCGGGCTGTGGCCCCTGCGGGAATCCTTGGTACTGATAGTCTGTAAGAACAGATTTACGTCATTAGAAATCCACTTCTTTCGCAAAAGAATACTCACTTCCAGGATAGGGTAATGTGGCGTAAGGATTAAAGCTCTGCGGCATCGGAGCAGGGACGTATGCTGGATATGGCATACCCGGCTGGGCTCCATACGGCACGGGCATGCCGTGAACCTGGGCCGGATACGGAACATTGGCAGCAGCTGTGGCTGGCGGCACACTGGGTGCTCCACCTGCTGGAATATCTAAAGGAAAACAATATACTATTATAGTTTTTGTAAATTATAGTTAACAAGAGTCAACCTACCGCTGCCACTGCCTGAGGTGGAGGCGTAGTGCGAAGGCAGGGCCGGCGTGGCCGGACAGGCCTGGCGACTCGACTCCGTGGTCAGATCCTTGAGCAGTTCCTCTTTCTCCGTCTTGCGGGCGAACACAAAGTCGCTGATTTTGTTCTGGAATACAACCAGCAGCTGGGTGAGGTCATTGTAGAACTTGGTGCCCTCCTGCAAGTTGCCGGACAGCTCTATATAGCTGTCGTAGGCGGTGGCCAGCTCCTGGTACAAGGTGTCCCGGGAACTACCGCAGCTGCCAGTTTCCGAGACGAAGGCACCGTGAGCACTTTGAATGTCGGATACTAGAGACTTCTGTCGCTCCACGCTCTCACGCACCTGCTGCTGCAGTGGATTGAGAACCTGGCCAATGCGGGCCAAAGACAGAGCGGGCTCATCGATTGCTCCATCCTTTTGCAAAGCCAGCAAGAACTCGTCCTTCATATCGAATGTGGCCGCCTTGAGCTCAGACTCTACAGCCTCGCGCTCCGCCTTAATGGTCTCCACATCTTCCATTAGCATCTTTAGACGCTGCACGCTGGAGCAGTTAGGATCTACACTTCCGCTAGCCGAGGGCAGTGACTGCTGGATTTGATCTGGCGGCAGTGACAGTAACTGGATTCCCTTCTGGTTGGCCTCAAACTTCTGCCGCACAACCTTGTCAGCTTCGATGGCATTGGTGATGACTTCGCGGTACTTCTTGGCGTTGGTCCGGAACATCTCCGTTAGCTTATCTGAAGAAATGCGTGTCCAGCGCTCCTTGAACTGGGTTCGCAACTGGTTGTCCGAATCACGTTCCTCGTCCAATAGACGCTCCGTTTCGTCCAGGATCTCGCGGTTTCGATCCAACAGCTCTGGTAGATCCTTGAGCAGTGTTTGCACGTTCTCAATGCCGCCCTTCTCACGAACCTCTGTGGCCTTATCCTTGAGCGAAGGCGGCAGTCCACTGTTGCCATCGGCCGTCTCCACGGCTGCTGGAAGATTCAAGCTGGCCAGCACGGCGTTCAGAGTCTGTGTGGACTCACGCAGCTTCATAATCTCCACGTTGACAATTTCGTTGCGGCGCATATCGGAGGCGGTGAGAGCACGATGCAGCTCCACGGGCACCAGTGCGCTGAATATGTCCTTGAAGTTGGTCGCCAAGGGATGTCCGATGGGCAGCGGCTTGGCCAACTGAGCCTTACCCGGCGAGGCAAGCGTGCTTAGCTCGGGGATCATCTCATTGTAAATGAACTCGTTGTCCTTGGTTGACTCCGCCAGATTGCGCTTGGCGCGGCTGAAGTACTCGTCCAAATAGGTCTCATTTCCACCGCGGGACTGGGCAGCCTTGAATAGATCGACGGAGTTGCGCAGGCGGGCGATCTCCTCGCCAATCTTTTTTGAGGCACGGCATACAAGACTCTGATACAGCTGTGTGAGGGCATGGAAGCCTGCCTGTTTACCGGCAATAGTGGGTATCCACTCCTTCTCCCACAGACTGCGCACAGACTCCTTCTGCATTGCGCGCAATACGTCGGCGTAGAACTCCTCAGCCTGGCAGCACAGCTTGGCGATAATCTGCTCCTTCATGTTGTCTGTAATTTATTTAAAGAATTAACAAAAGCTGAGGTCTAGAGCCGGCGAGATGACCTTAGTAGATAAGAGTTTGTAGCATGATGACTAAATAAATATACTCGATACAGTGCTTATATAAGGCAAGAGATTTTTCTGCTTTGTATTTTAGCATACCTTTGATGGCTTTGAGAATAAACACCTCCTGGGCTTGGGCCACCATCAGCGCCTGCAGAACGACCAGTGTATCCTGGCTAAGATCGGGTGTAGGTTCCGATGGCACAGCTGCCGGTGTGGCGCCCTTCAAGTACTGGAAGATGCCGGCACTTTGCTGGAGCAGCTTGATAGCCAATTTTAGGCCTTCATCCGTGTCCAACTCCTGGTTGGCCGCGATGCTGCTTTGCAGAGCGGCAATGTTGAAGAGCACGCAGACCTTCTCGTACATCAACGAGGTGTGAGCTGCGAAGGGGAAAGCGGAAGTTAATGGTGAAATGGCTGGGCTAGTGGATGAATCACTCACTAAGGCTGATCTTGCCGCCGAAAATGGAGCCCTTGTCGAAGGCATCCTTCCACTTGAAGGGTATCTGGAGTTCGCTAACCGATATCTTGGTCTCCAATGCGCAGATCTGGTCATAATAGCTGCGAAGACAAAGGCCGGAGGTAACAAAACCAGCCAATAATACCCATTAGTGACGACGTCATCCGAGAGCTTGTTTACGTTCGGCCACTAGCACTCACACAGGTGCCCCCAGCTACTGTGTGTGCGATTAGCCCCGACTCCGCTCGGCGGAGGCTGGTGACTCATGCGGAGAGCCCCGGAAAAAGGCCCACATCCCACAAAGACATTCCAGGAATACTCACGCGTAAACCACCTCCAGCGACGCCTCATACTTCTCAAAGAACTTCCAAATTGCCGTATTGCGTTGTTTCGAAAACTCATTCACTGCCTCCGCGTACTTGGCCTTCTCCTCCTCCGACGCCCCATTGTAGGTGCTCTGGATAAGATTGTTCAGCGGCTTGACCACGTCCACCTCCGAAGGCTTCTTCAGCGGCACGCCCAGAAACTTCGACATCTTGCTCTGTTCTGCGGAGAATTGCTCAGACTTGACTCGGAATCAATTAATTAACCGTCTCCTGCTTTTATTCCAAGTCTTTCTTCGGCTCTCTCTTTCTTCCACAGCTGGCAGAGTGACCAGGCGAGGCGGTATCAGTGGTGTCACTTCCTCTTTTTCTCGTCAGATTCGGATTTTTTTCAGCAGCGGCAAATCTAGCTTTTTTTAACAAATTTTTGAAGCTTTTTATACCTTTGCAGGGTATTATAATTTCAGTCAGAAGTTTGCAACGCAGTGAAAGAGGCACCTCCGACTATATAAAGTATATATATTCTTGATCAGGATCAACAACCGAGTCGATCTAGCCATGTCCGTCTGTCCGTCTGTCCGTTTCTACGCAAACTAGTCTCTCAGTTTTGAAGCTATCTGAATGAAACTTTGTAGTTAGCCTTCTATATACTCTCACTCGTATATATGTCGGAACGGGCCGGATCGGACGACTATATCATATAGCTGCCATAGGAATGATCGGAAAATTTTTACAAAAAAATTTTAACTTTTTCAGTTTTCAATAGAATTGGATCTAATTTGAGATATAGCCATTTTACTATACTCTACAATTTTGCATACAATTTTATGAAAATCGGACTACTATAAATATATACCATAGAAACGATCGAGAAATTAATACAATTAAAAATTATAACTTTTTATGTATAGGTGAATGAAATGAAAGCAGGTATTACTTCATTGTTTTTTAACACAAATATATATAATTTATATTGTATGGATTCCTATTCATAGAAGTTCTATCTGCAAGGGTATATAAACTTTTATATATATTTATTTCTTTGACAAAATATCGCCATTTACTTGTTCAAAATAGCATAAGCGTTGAAACGTTAAACTCGTCTCGGATTTTGGTGCTGATCAAGATATATATATATAAATTTAAATAAATTTTATACAAAATGTAGCTAAATATCTTCTCCGGATTCCTGCCACACTCAGAGCTGGTCACACCAAACCCTAGACACTTTCTATTTTCTGATTGCGTTGTTGTCGAGAAAAGTCTGCGAAAATCTTGGTTTTACTGCAAAATTTCACTGATCTAAAAGACTTGGCAGAGAATCTAGCCCTGAGCGAGGATTCGCAAATTAGTAGAGGAGACGTAGAGCAGCAGCGAGGAAAAGAACAAAAACTATCCGCGATGGCCGAAGTGGAGAAACCTACGGCCACCCCGCCGACCGACATACCCCTGGCTACGCCCCCGAGCACCAGTGAATTGGAATCCACGGCAGACGTCGCCGGGGCGGACGTGGAGCCTGGCACCTCGCCCACGCAGGAACCCAGCTCGAACTCGCATCCACACGACTCCGAGTACGACACGGCAAGTGATCTGGAGGGCGGAGAGGACTATGACGACGAGGAGAGCGGCAGCGGAAGTGCCAGTGGCAGCGGCAGCGAGGAAGAGACCGAAACGGAAGACGAGGACGAGGACGTGGGCAGCGAGACGGACGATGGCGAGGCGGAGCATGCCCAAGACCGGTCCATTGCTGACAGCGAGGCGCAGAAAAAGGTGGATGAGGACCGTAGCAATCCGCAGTACATCCCCAAGCGAGGCACATTCTATGAGCATGATGACCGCACTGCGGAAACCGAGGGCGACGTGCTAGTCGAGCCCGAGAACGGCGCCGGGCAAGCGCAGCCAGAGCCAAATGGCGAACTCAATGGACTCGCTACAGCCGGAGCAGCGCCCGCCGGCCAGACGCCACAGATCTCACAGGCCTCCAAGACCATGCGCAAGTGGCAGCCGGCTTCGGGTGGCGATCGGTGGTCCCACGACCGGTTCGAGGCGAGCGAGCAGGCGCCCAAGTCCAGGGCGGAGCTGTTGCAGGCTTACGGCTACGATATTCGAAATGAGGACGCCCCGCCTCGAGCCCGACGACGTCGGCGCTATACGCGCGGTCCTAGCAAATACTCACGGAACTGGGAGGACGAGCAGGCTTATCTCAAGGCCAGTAATAAGGAGCGCAAGCCGCCGCGGCCACAGGACTTCCCGGCCCTCAATGAACGCAAGCCGCGTGGACCTCGCACATCCTCTTCCCGGGAGGAGAAAGAGAACCGGCGCTCTGGCGGTGCTGGTGGCGTAGGTGTGGAAAAGCAGCAAAGTGTGGCTAGCAGCTCGAATCCAAATAGATCCCAGGAGCGAGAGCGCGAACGAGATCGTGAACGCGAACGAGATCGTGAGCCCAAAAACCGTAACTTTGGGCGCATGAACGGAGGCCCAGGCCGACAAAATGCCATGGAGTTCAAGAAATCTGGCCGTGGACAGCAGCCACGCGACCGTGAGAGGGATCGCGAACAACAAATGGACAACCGAAATCAGAAGCAATCGACACCACGCTCCAATCAGCAGCACCCACAGCAGCAGCCTCAGCATCAACAGCAGCCACAGCAACAACGACAGCCGCCTCAGCAGCCACAGACTCCGCTGTCCACCACGAACCTCTCGCAACGCCTGCAGCAAGTGCAGCAGCGCAACGACCCCAGTCACGTGGGCAGCGTCCAGATGCACTCGCTGGCCAACCAAAGCCCACAACAACCGCCGCAGCCTCTTCACCAGGAGCAACGTAACGCGCCCAAGCGCTATTCGAGCCTAAGACGCTCCCAGCAGGAGGCCTCGCAGCATTTGGCGGAGCAGCAACAGCAGCAGCAAATGCAGCAGCAACTGCACCTCCAGCAGCAGCAGCCGCAACCATCTCAGATCATGATCCAGGACCCTCACGTGCTGATGCAAATCGCTTACCAACAGCAGGAGCTGCAGGCGCAGCTGCAGACAATGCAACTGGGACCCACTGGCTCTGGGGCAGTTCCAGCGCCACCAAAGCCACATGCGCCACCGGCAGCTGCGTATCCGCAGGCGCAGCCGGCACCCTACTACGTGACCGGAACGGAGCCAGTGCCAGTGCCCGTTCCCGTGCCCGTACCTCAAGCACCATATGTGAATCCGGCCAGTGCCGCCTACTTGCCCACCACTCCCGCTGCCGTGGCCTATGCGCAGGCAGCGCCGCCTGTGGTGCCGCAGCCCACACCGGCGCCCGCTCAGGCGCCGCCCGCAGCCCAGCCTGCACAACCTTACCAAAACTACAACACTGTTGGTGGTACCACCTACTTTGTGCCGCCGGCTCAGACCGCTAACCGACCAGCTGCCCTGCCCCAGCGACGTCCAACCAACGCTATTCCCATCCTTCCGCCATCGGAGAAACACAAGACGAAGGGCGGAGCCCCAGGAGCCGGAGGCAAGGAGGAGGGCAACTCGGACAACATAGACCACATCATAGACAACATGTTCGTTGCACGGCCTTCGGCTTTCCAGCCGACCGGAGAAGGTGCTGCAGCTGGTGGAGGTGCATCCAAGGAAGAAGCAGCCACTCCTCCGGCAACCGAGCAGAACCTTCAGCCGGTGGCGGCCACTGGGAAGGAATGAGTGCAGGTCTACGCTGGCATGTCGACGACGCAGCAGCAGACACGAGGTCAGAGAATGGCTCCTCCTTCACCCTCGTCGGCCTACAACATGCTGCCGCCGCAGTCGCACGCTGGCTATTACCGCGCTCCGCCGCACTAGCTCCAACCATCTCTGGCTCGGCTCATCAAAAGATTTTTTCCCCATTCTGTCCTCGGATCTGGGATCCGACGAACACCATGAATTGTAGCTTTGAAGTAAGAAACATTTGTAATTAGCATTTAGCTCCCAGATAATCGATCTTACTAACGTCAAACCTACGTATTTAGAACGAGTAAATATATATATATATAATCAGGCGCAAGCTCCCATTAAATTGTATGTAGTATCTAGGACCAGCTGCGGCATTCGTTGATTAAGTCGCAAGTAAAAACGTGCTGGCGGCGAGGCGCTTAGCTTACTTAGGCCGTATTTTAGAGTTGAAACAAGAGATTTATCGTGTGACATGTATTTGCGTAAACTAATAGACCTTGAAATTGAATAAACGTTTAACACGAAGCCACTAACTGTGCACTCTAACTTATCAACTACATAATTATGACACAATTCTCCATTTTGATCCAAATTTTTTGCAAATATTGAATAATTTTAGCTGACCAACACAAAAACCTCAATTAAAAAAGTGTCAGGTTATTTAAAATGCTAGAATGTGGTGCCAGAATGAATATAGAAGATGTCCATTCTTTATACCCTAACATAGGGTTCAAAAAGACGCGATCTCAAAATCTCTCACTATTCATTGTTGGGAATGACAGAATGTATTCAGATTTGATTTAAAACTATTTAAAATCTTTAAAGCTTTGACTCTTTTGCCAGCTCCTCCAAGAGAACGCTAATGCGTCGGAATGAATCCTTGAACATGTGATTAAACTTTCGGGCACTTGTCTTGATGCTGTCCCGATATGCGGTGGTATTGATGTACACGCTGGTCGGGAGTAAAACAGATAAACATTAATAAGTATAATGTTTAAACTGAAAGTAGTTAACTTACGCATCAGAGGTTATGGAGTAGAAGACACCGTATCCGTCGAACAGCATGGGTGCTACGTAGCCCACGTTGGCCGTGAATCCGAGGGTGCTGGTAGAGAGCACAAAGTTGCCTCCGCCGCCACTCTTCGTGTACATGGGATCGTCGTAGAAGGCGGGAATTTCCATTTTGCTCTCGTATGCAGCACACCACAGCCCAAAGAGGTGTCTGTCGATGCCATTTCCCTTCCGAGCCTCGTTCATAAAGTGCTTGTGGTCATCCACAGCGGCCCGAAATGCCCTGGCCAGGACCATGTCTCCCACCTGCTTGTTGGATGACGCCCGCAGGAAGTTAGCCACGGCGCCAGTGCAGGAACGCAGCGTTTCCGTTCGTCCGTTGTAGTATTGACGCATCAGAGCGGTCTCATAGGTGGGAGCAATTCTGTAAGGTAGCTCATTAGCTCCAAGGGGGAATGTGAAATCAGTCAGACAACTTACTCCTGATGCAACTGATAGTAGGTCCATTGCATGACGACTTGCACAAATGAGTCTGGATGCAGGCGGTGTTTTTTCATAAACTCCTTACCATAATCATCGAATACAGTAAAGGTCACTGTCACATCAATTCCCTAAAAAAGAAAATATTTTCAAAATTAATATAGACTTGACAACTCTTGAAGCTTATCAGCTTTCAGCCATGATTCTTGCAGTTGTTTTGTGTTTCACTTACCCTATCTTCAACCTCCTGGCGAACGCGCTTAATCTCGCTCTTCAGTAAGTCATCCAGCTGAAAGTTGAGCTCTTTGATCTCCACCACGCTCGAGTGCTCGGCCTCGCTCCAGTCCGGCTCCGGCACCTCCATGAAGCTCAGCTGCATAAAAGTGGCAAAGCTAATGCTGACAGTGCCGTCGTAGCAGCTGTGCTCGCCCGTCCAATTGAAGCGTCCGTTGCGGAAGGCAATGATGCTGCTGCTGCGATCCCCCCATCGGGAATGCAGATCACCGAAGAGACCCAGCTGCGAGGATTCCTCATAGTCCTTGGGCGACTGGTCGTACCAGCAAATCTCCATGCTGGCGCTCTCTACCAGCAGCAGTGTCTCCTTGTTGGCCTCGGATACCTCCATCAGGCGGTTGCGATTATTGGCCCATGTGGTTCGATCATCGTGGCTTAGCATGGGGACACAGTCACCTTCTGGCTCGTAGTCCAAGATGCTGCGCAGCCTCTGCAGTGCCACAAGGATCTCGGGTGCCGTCAGGATAGTATCATCCTCGTGCACACAGTTCAGGATAAATTGCCTGCCCTTTCCGGAGATGAGAATGTGCGAAGGCGTCTTTCCCTCGTCTTTCGTAAGGAAGTGCTTCTCGATATGATCCTGCTCCACACCCGGAACGCGACAGGTGGAGAAAAAGTGCTTGTACAGCGCGGAAGAGTATTTGATCTTCCCACCGTTTGAGGAGAGCGGCTTGATACTGGACGTGCGAGTGAGGTCCCAGAACTCCAGAGTGTGATGTATGTGACGGGCCAAGCTCTGCGAAAATACATAAAAATAAAACGAGTTCCAAAGTCTATTAATATTGAAATCTCGGTGATTGCACTCGAATCGGCTCACCTTGAGCATGTACTCCGGGGTCTCCGGCACTCCCACCATCTCCAGCTGCGCGGGCATGGACATCAATTGATAGGGCAGCAGCGGCATGCGAATGAGATGGTACCCATAGTCCTCCCACCATGTGCCCAGCCAGTTCTTCATGCTGGCCTCTCGCTTTTTGAGCTGCTCATGGAGTTTGATGCCCACGCCGTTCTGGAACTCGTCAATGGCCCGTCGAGCCTGGGCCAGTTCCTCCTTGGTGCCGAAGGGTTGGATGCAGGCATAGTACCGCTCCATGGTGTCCTTTAACTCGGGCAGAGGCAGCGGCGGCAGCGTCTCGTCAAAGTCGAACGTATTCTTGTCATCCTTGCCCTGAAAGTATAGACTGGTCCGATCCATGGTGGTGGCTTATCTGCGGGTAAAAAGGCTAGATTAGGTTCACAATTTGCTTGTGGTGGCCACCAATAGAGGCCTATGTCGAGATTAGAAATCCAGTCGTATCACTGTTACGGTCAACCGGTCCAAAGTTCTGCACGTAAATTATGGTGAAATTTCCATAAAGACAATAACTTCTCCCTCATCACAGCAAAAATAAGTTGATTATGGCCATCGGACATGCAATTCTGAGGTGTGAATGCCGAAGTTCCTCTGCTCAGACGTACAAAGTCCGTTCTTCTTTGCCGTATTTAGATGCTTTATAAATATTTATATTGGCAAGAAGCTCGTATTTCACCGGTGAAATCACTGGCCAACTGACCTTTGGACTCGTTGGAATAATTACGTTTGTCGGAGACACCCGAAACGCCAGACTGTCGTTGCTCGACTAACCGCCTGCCGGGAGCTGATACCGCAGCAAACCTCCGTGGGATCGTCTCCCACGCCCACCTGGCTCAGTTTGATAAGGGCGGTGGCGGCGGCGGTGGCGGCATATTGACCCAATCATCAGCAAGCGCGCAGACATCGCCTGCGTCTGATAAGACCCATGATAATTCCCATATAGATTCTGTTGAATATGTTGATAAGCAATTGAATTTTGTACCTGAATTGTACTTTCACCGGTAGCGTGCAATTCGAAATTTGCAACTTATTCGCACCTGTAGCTATCGCGTTAAACTGTGCCACTTAATACATGTTTTAATTAACGATTTAATCATTTAATCCCGCCGCCATTAGCCTCAGCTGTTTGTGTTTGTGACAGTGTGACCAGCGCCTCTAATTTATTTAATCCCTTAAAAATAATTGGCTTTATTTAAAAAATGAATTGCACTGCTTGGTTTCCTGAGCATTGCTTACTTGACTTTGATTCTGCTTGGTTTCCATATCAACTGCATTACCAACAGTTATCGATAACACGATAGAAGTCCTTATCGAAGAAAGCCCGTCGCCAGCGAGTTATCGGAATCGATTCCAAACAATAACAAAACAGAATAAATAAAGGAAATTAGACGACAGCGGCGTTGATATATTGCAAAACCGGCGATTTCCGGAATGTTGCCGTCTACTGGGCTATTCAAGGGATTCCTCTGCCCGTATTTTGATGTCAAGGACGGCGGCGACAATGCCTGCCGTCGTCCCTTTTGCCACTTCAAGCATGTCCGGAAAGGTAAGAGCTAGCAGCGAATTTCATCACATACTGTATTTACCGCCTCCGGCTTGCAGACGATGTGGAGACTGCTGCGCCCGCCGAACCAGCTCCCGTTCCGGAGTACAAGCCGGCGCCCAAGCTGCTCTCCCTGCCTCTGCCCCACATCCCGCTGTGCGCCCCCAAGAAGAAAAACAATTTGGAGTACCATCCGGAAAAGCCGGCTCTGGACGCCTCTCCGGCGAAGAAGAAAGCGGATGTGGCCGTGGACAGTGCCCCGATGTATGTGCCCGCTCAGCCATCCGTCTCAAATGGAGGCGGTGCCAACGACGAGGACTGGCAGGCGGTTCTTGAAAAGGAGATTGACGAGCAGATTCAGATTGAGATCGAGGAAACGCCATTGACTTTAGAGACAGAAAAAGAAAAGGACAAGTCAAAGGACCATAGGGACAGGCATAGCAGAGATCACAAGTCCAGCAGGGATCGGGATAATGATAAGTTAAGGGAAAGGGACAAAGAGAAAGGCAGGGACAAGGACAAGGACACGGAGAAGGAAAGGAAAGACAAGGAGAAGCATAAGAGCAAGTCATCGCACAGTGACAAGGATCGCTCGAAGGAGCGCCACTCCTCCAGCTCTAGTTCCTCCAGACACAAATCGTCGTCTTCGTCCACTAGGAAATATTCTACCAGTGACAAGGAGCATGATGAGAAGAGCTCAGGCAGTAGGCACAAGAGTAGCTCCTCATCATCAGATTCGAAGAGTCGCCACAACTCTAGTTCCTCGAGTTCTCGATCCAAGTCAAAGAGCAGCTCTAGCTCATCCAGCAAAAGCTCCAGCACCGGGACTTCCAAGAGCGAACCGGAAGCAGAAAATCAACCCAAAGCTGCCTCTGCGCCCCCAAAGCCAGCTGAAGGACTTGATGAACTGGATTTAGACTTCGAAGTGGACACCTCCGAGGGAGAGATCGTGCGCCAGTGTGAGATGATATTCGACGAGCTGGAGACCAAGTTTGCGCAGATGCACAAATCCAAAGCCGACAATGAGAGTGAAGATGGTCCAGGTGGCTCCCGCAAACGTAAGGCCCCCTCTCCAGACATCGATACCTACACAGAGGCGGTAACGGCGGCGCTGCAGAAAAGGCGTGTGGCCCATGAGAACGCCGACAAGAGTAGGCCAGTAGCGGCACCGGCACCTGCAGTGGGCAAACCGAATCATATACGGAATGCGATGCAAGCTATCTTCGACCGGCGGGCGGAAATGCGCCGCCAGGAGAGGCTGCAGGCGGAGGCAGCTAACGAGCAACTGCGTCAGGCCCAGGAGCGGGTGCGCAAAGCTCAGGAGGAGCTCCGCCAGGCACAGGTTAACTCAAATCTCACACCCCTTATTTCACGCAGTGCCCTGACTCCACCTGTTCGCACAGGTAAGACCTCATTACTAAGTAAAAACCACATTATTGAAAACATCTTATCTTTCAGCTCGTGGCATCGCTCCCGTGGCTAACATTGTGGCCATAGCACGAGCCAAGAAGAAGATCGAGGAGCTGCAGGCCGAGAAGAAACCTGCTTTTACACCTGCCCAGTCCTTTAAAGGTGCCGGTCGGGTTGCCCACAAGTCAACGGTTGCCCTGGACAAGAGTGCTCCGGCAGCCAATGGGGTCAATGCCGAGAAGCCAACCGTATTGGAGCCACGCAGCTCTAAGATATCCTACAACGTGCGCACACAGTATTACGAGATGATGGTGAAGCACTGCACCGTCATCTATCCGCAGCTGGCCGACGCTTGGGAGCGAGCGCAGGTGGAAGAGCTGGCAGTGTTCAAGAAATGCAACACGGTAGCCATCTATAAGAATAGCTGCCTGCTGGCGATCAACAAGCTGCGGAAGGAGGCCGTTGAGGCTGGTAACCGGCCGAGTGCGGCCTGCAAGACGGTTTCCCACGAGATGATGCTGGGCGGCAAGAAGGCCCTTACTACATCCTGGAGCGTCGAAAAGAAGGAGTAAGTTACTGGTTTTAGGCCATGTGACATGGTTTTCTTCATTAAAACTTTAAATTCTTGCAGAAAACTCGGGTTATCGGGCAGCGGCGAACCATTCGACGCTTTAAATCCCCAGAAAGCCTACGAAATGGTATTTAATTTGCGCCTGACGGACGAGCAACTGGTGGAGAACGGATATCCGCGTCCGGGGGCTAAACGAGGCTCGGCGGTGATACGCGCCAGCCGTCCCAATCGGCGACCCAACGAGAGCGAACGGTACTGCTCCCGTTGCGGCAAGGTGTTCAGCCTGAACATTTACGACCGGCACGGAGCAGACATGTGTAACTATCATCCCAAGAGCACTGGCTATCGACGTGGATTCACAGACAATCAGCACCGGTGCTGCCAGCAGCCAGCAGGCACTCCGGGCTGCACCTACGCAAACTACCACGTCAGCGACTACTACGATCCGGACAAGCTCACCTGCTTTGTGAAGACGATCGATCGAGATGAGGATTACGTGGCAACCAAGAAAGACATCTTCGCCTTGGATTGCGAGATGTGCTACACAACGCACGGAATAGAGTTGACCCGTGTCACAGTGGTGGATATTACAGGGCGCAGCGTCTACGATGCTCTGGTCAAGCCGGACAACAAAATTGTGGACTACAATACGACGTAGGTAATGACTTTGGGAAGCTAATGTACCTACTAAACGAAATAATGTCTATTGCAGATACTCTGGCATCACGGAGGCTATGCTCTCCACTCAAACGCGCACGCTTCGCGATGTACAGGCCGTGCTGATGTCCATGTTTCATGCCAGAACCATCCTTGTGGGCCACAGTCTGGAGAGCGATCTGAAGGCCCTGAAAATGATTCATGACGTCGTTGTGGACACCTCGGTGCTCTTCCCCCACAAGATGGGGCCGCCCAAGAAGCGCGCTCTTAAGACGCTCTGTATTGAGCACCTGAAGCGCATCATACAAGAGAATGGTGAGTGCTTCACAGGGTTCTTAACTTACTCAAATAATTCTTATTTCGTTCTCACAGAGGCTGGTCATGACAGTGCCGAGGATGCGGAGGTGTGCATTCAACTGATCAAATTCTATCTGCGCAACAAAATAAGCTGAGCTACTCACCCAGGTCACCTCCACCAGGAGCAATCAGTTCAAAAGCATTACATACATCTGTTAATATGTATAACGCGTTCATCCCGTAATCAAAGTCTAAGACCCCAAAAAAATAATTAATAGATTGTAAAATGATTCTCTATTTTCAAGTTGTACGTCTAGCTTGGGCACAGTTATACCACATGTGATAAAACTCCAGTTCCAGGGTCTTGCAAATGCGCGGGGCGCTGGTGATTAAGACGTCGTCACAGCTCTCTCCGGAGTTGACCCAATTCAGTGAGCCGGTCACAGATACGGACGTTGGCTCCTTCGCACCCTTTGGCTTTAGCTGGCGTAGACTCAGGTATCCATCGATAACGCAGAATTTGTTGTGCATCAACGTGTCCCTTTGCGCTGGAAATTGGCGCACGGGAATGTTGGATAAAGTTTCAATCATTTTCATGCAGTTTGTCTCCGTGACTATACGGACTCGCACTCCACGCACGGAGGCCATGACCAATGATTTTGAAATCTCAGTCGAACACATTGTATACATGGCAAGATCTATCGAGTACTTGGCATTGTTTAAGTGCCAGATGATGCGTTCCACATGGCCGGGTACGAGGATAATCTGATTGTCCTCGGTCCTAAGGGGCCGTTCTGGACAATGGTCGGTCGGTACACCTTCGGGTACCATGAACAATACATCATTCACCAGCTGGCCTTGGCGGTCATCACTCCACTCCACGTACAGGCTCCGAAAGTGGTCGAAAAACTTCAGCGGCTTCTTTTTAACCAGATGGATGAACTTGATCAAATAATACAACATCGTGCTAGCTCCAGAATCCAGAATGCGTAAATGAGAACGAGTTCTTCTAAACGTCAAAAGGCTTGCAGAGTTGACTTTTGACGTTTAGAACAGTTTTCAGGGTATTCATAATCCACTAATGCAACCTCTTTTGCGACTCTGATATATATACCTTGAAACATTTCACGACCAGGTAAAATTCTTTTCAAATTAAATTATAATATGCAACAAATTATGAACATAGTTTATAACTAAAATGAAACTAAGGCAGTTTTTGTCTGCATTTTGTATTATTAGTTTACTTGGCAATTTTTCCACAGCTTTTTCCATCGTTTCCCTATCGATAACAATTCAATGAAAAGCAATTCGAAAGTTTTGTAAAGTTTTTTACCGGCCCGAACCGCGTTACAAACTGTAATTGGAAGCCTCGTTCCTGACGCACGTCACAGAATCGCTTGTGGCCGTGGCCCGGCGTTGCCGCCAGTTTCCAGTTTTCTCCCCGTGTTTTTGTTGTTATTATTTAAATGTAATTTTAATCAGATTGCGGCGATACTTTATATTTTTCAATTACACCCGGCCATGTCGGCTGGCCGTGGGCAACATCTGGATGTTCGCTTCTTGTTGCTCTCCGCAGAGGCGGCGGCATGATTTTTTAATTTTAACGTTTTATAATTCTCTGTTTTCCTCGGTACGGGAAAACTTTGGCTTATTGAATGGTGCTAAAAGAATGCCGGCAAAGTTCCAGCACTTAATTTGGCGTAATTGTTGCCATCGGCAGGAGTCGGGGAAAAATGACAGGAAATGTCAGTAAATGGCAGTGGGAAGAAGGGTTCCCAGGGCTAGCTAAGCACCACCCATCCCACCGAGAAATGGCTGATGGCGACACGTGTTTATCTATTGAGCTGGCACAACAACACACAACCTAACGAAAAGTAAATAATATTAGTGGTACTTGGCAATGACAATGTGCATATGTGGCCCAGTATGAGGAGCAGACCCAACGGCCACAACAGAGCACACACAAACAAGGATGCGGAAGTGCTGCTTGAGGCTTAGCAACCAGAGCAGCAGCAGGCTGGAATCTCAGCTACAGATGAAGAAATTTTTTAACATTTTGAGTTCCAGGATCCAATTCCAAGCTGCGGCTACCTGTTTCTAGCTTCCTACATTGTTGTTCTTATATTCTTAAAGTATAAACATATTCTTCTGTACCAATTCCTGTACCTACATTCACATTTCTCTCAGTGGAGATATTCAGCAGAACCAGAAAGCGGCATGAGTGGAGCCAGTGGGCAAAACAAACACTGGGCCAAATACAAACACAAATAAAAAGCCAAAAACCAAGGGGTACTATGTTGTGGGAACGAAGCCGGTCTAAGGAGGAGGAAAGAGTAGGAGCGGCAGGAGGATTCGGTTCGGTGCTGCTTGACTTGTCACACATTGTTGTTGGGTCCTCGGCTCGGCCTGGTCGGAAGTTTACTTAAGACCGTCGAAATAGAGGCATTAAGATCTTTACAGTTAATCCCTTGAGTAAATGCTGTGCGGTCGCGACGACAGACTACGGTGCGTATGTGTGCTACCTGGTCTAGTTCTACATACATACATACATAGTTAGGGGCATTAAAAAAAGGCTTAAAAGCTTGCCGGGCCCTGGAGCCTGCATATTGGCCCTGCTTTCGCCCATGAATATTTCATTCCGCCTGATGACAACATGCCTGGCGGTTAAGTGCTTTAAACATTTAGCTTAATGCCCGGGCCCCTTTTAATTTGCTGAGGGTTCGTCACGTATTTAAGCAAATTGCGCATACGCCACCGCGTATGCTCTGCTGCAGTAATATTAAAGCGAATCTTGGCGAGCGAGTTATGCTGGAATTTATTTTGGATTTTTTTCTCTCTTTCTTTTTGGGACTAAGCCTGCAGCGCATCTGGTTTTGGGCGAAAACCTTTTTACAACTTTTACATAGCGAAAGCGAACAACAACAAAAAACAACAAGAACAAACGGCTAAGCTGCCGTCGCCCTTGCCAATCTAAATAAGGTGGCTAAAGGCAATGCAAAAGGAAAAAAAGGAAGAAATGCGAGTGTGGGAGGAGCGAGGGAAAAATAAAGAAAGCTGGCAAAGCTGTGCCGGGAGCCAAGAGCCAAAGCTGGCGGTAAACGCAAAATAAAGTCATCACAAACATATTAGCAGCTAAAAACACCTGAGCAAATAGATTTATATGCACGATAAAGCACAGAGTAATTTCCCCTAGATCCTGTCAACCACCGCCCACCAAAACAGCACCGAGCGCGAGGACCAACCACCAAGAACCATCGCCCATCTTGGCCTACACGACGCCTGTTGCCTAAGCCGCAAAGTAGCTGGCAAGCACAAGATAACATCACTTTATTGTAAGAAAGTTAAAACACAAAAATGCAAGCTAGAGTCCCCAGCTGTGGGTTCGAGTATGTGTGCTTTTTTCTGTGGCACTAAAAAAATATCCGAAAAAAAGCAAAAGTACCATGGCGGAAAGTCTGGCCGGGAAACAACAAAGCCAAAAAGGTGGCGTAAAACTTCTCAATGCCGTTTGCCGCTGTTTTACGACCCATTTCCGTTTTGGATGCTGCTCTTCCGCTCACACTCACACTTATGCGCTCACCCTCCCATTTTAGGTGTGAAATTATAAAATTTGTAGCATAATTCTAGGCTGCGCGGCCGCCAGCGACAGCAAGCGAAGCACGCGTGCGTCCATGTTGTAAATACTTATTCGTATATAAGTTCACCTGGTCGCAGTTACAGTCCCAGTCATATATGTAGGTATGTCCGCGACTCCACCGGGAAGTCGGACAGTTTACGACTCCGGCAAGTGCACGTTAGGCTACACACGTAACGCTTTTATTTCGTACTTAGCAGGACATTTTTGTGCACTTGCCTGGGGAGTGTACATAATTCCACTCTCACTGGGGACTGCCGAAACCAAGGCGAAACTTGACTCGGTTCTATCATAGGCGATATATTTTGGATCATTTTTAGCGGAACTTTGGTAAAGTTTCTATTTTCTATCATTATAACTCTTGCAAGGTCTTAAGAATATGTTTTCCTGTGCAGATATACTTAAAAATAAATAGAAATTTAATGCTTCTCTTGACGAAAGTGAAATTGTCTCATGTGTTGGCTTCCCCCTTAGAGAGATTTCCCCAATGATTTGGTCGAGTGCATGGGAGATTCGTTAGCCGAAAATGGCTGGCCGCGTTCCCCTTCTTTTTTTTGCCAACAACTAAGCGAAGCGATGGGCGGTGGAAGGTCGACCCAGGCCATTAGCAGAATGCTTGACAAATAATTAGGGCAAAAACTATTAAGTTGTCGCTCGTGCACCCACTCACACACACGAGCACATGACTGATGATGTCCAGTGAAGGATGAAGCGGAGGACTCGAATTGACATTGCTCAACATGCCAGTCAAGTTGGCGACCAAAGTTCAGGCAAAAACGGCAAAGATTTGTCGCGGCTGGCAACTAAAAAAGTTAATTGCAGTTAATGACGACATTAATCACAAGAAAATGAAGCCCGGGCGCAATGACAATAAGCACAAAGCGACAAATGAAGAGCCAACTTCAAGCGTCCGTTGCTGAGGATGAGGCACTGAGAAAAATAAGTTGCTTCACTTTCACAAAAAGGCAATTACCCCATAAGAAGCATAGTGTTTCAAGTTAAGGATGAAGAGTGAAATAGTTAAGGATTTATATTATATATCTTAGTTCATTTAATTTTTCTCAGTATGCTGACGCAGTTCCTGCTGTTATTTTCTGTTGCTGATGCTGATGCTTGTTGCAGGCGAGTCCGGCGGGCCAGGCGTCTATTAACACCGATACCCAGGACTTGGCCACTCCTCGCCCTCACAAAGGCGCCAAGACAATGGGAAAGTTGCGTCAGCTCCAGCTCTCCAGAGCTGGAGCGCAACAAGCGGCAACAGGAAGTGAGCGCGTAGTAGGAAAAGCAATTTTACTGCGAGTTTCCTCAAGACAAATAAGTCTGCTGGATCAAAAAGGACTTTCAGCCGGGACACAATAGAAATGAATTATAAGCGACAGGCGGGACAGAGGGTATGGGTGTGGGTGCGGGTGTGGGTGCGGGTGCGAGTGTCTCCGGGACTGGGAAGGGATTGGTGGCGGTGTCAGCGATAATAATGAAGTAGCATGACTGATGATGCCGCCGTAGTGCAGCCTGAAAAAAGAACAACTTCGGCGAGGTCCATTGCGATTAGGCGGCAATAAAGGCAGCGACAAGCCAGTAAAATGTTTTTCTTTGTTTTCCCTGTTCGCCGCCTTTGTTT